TATAATTAAATAGAAAAAATTTTTTGAATTAAACAATATGCAATTTTTTATTTAAAAATGTTGCAAAAGTAAATTGATGAATAAAGGTAAGTAAGAAATAATGAATAGTGAATAGATATAATTTCCTAATCAAATATTTATTCGATAATGACTCGATTAAATGAAATAGATATATTAAAGGATATTAATTTTGGGGTCAGATATGGAATAAATATATTAAGGAAATGAAAACAATGGATTATAATGTACTAATGTCGTAAAATTAGAGAATCAATAGAGAGCCTTAATGATATTAGAAAATGAGAGTAATAAATAGGATTATAAAGTTTGAGTTTAGAGAGAATAAGTTGATAAATGACTAATTATTATGAATACTTAATTAAAACAAATATATTCTGCAGAAAAAGTATAAAAGTTTGAATTGTTATTTTTATATCATGAGAGAGATATGAAAGGATTTATCAGTTGTAAGGGTAAAGAATATAGAAGAGATGATTAGATTTACCATTCATTTTAAGAGCAGCAGGTTTACTAATATCAAATAAAGAAATAAATGATTTATAAGTAAAGGAAAAGTTAAGCAAAGATGATTTTTATAAATTATTAATATAGCTTAAAGATAAGAGACCTGTAAAATAGGAGATTGAAGCAAGTGTAAAGGTATTTGATGAAAACAATACAGGATTTATTGATACTAAAGAATTGATGGGAATAGTTTAATAGATAGGAGATGAAGGAATAGAGAAAGATTTTTAATTAATATTAAATAGCGTAAAAGGAAAGGAGAATTAAGTTTAAATAGAGGCTTTGGTAAATCTTTTATTAAAGGAATGAGTCATATAAAAAATATATTAATTAATATATAGATATAGTTAATCATTCTCTTCTATGAATAGAGAATCCGTTTGATGGATCTACTAGAATTTCACTTCCTTCTTCATAGTTTGCTCCTTCAAATTAATTAAGAGTTTATTCATAACGTTGATCAGGATTTATTTCTATATATAATAATATTAAAAACCTTCTTCAACATTCATATCTGGATAAAAAGATTAAGGTAAATCATGAAAACAAATACCAGGTGCAGGTTCAATAGATTTTAAATATCCATATATTTTCTCGACAATTCTTGATAGTTCTTCTTTCTTATTTTTATTTTCTACATTTTATTTGATTGGAAAATGTAATTTATAGTCTGGTGCATAATATTCATAATAGATTTCAGATGTTGGAATAGGAGCATCAATCTTTTTATTTAAACATAATCCTGTTTCATAAGCCCAACATCTAGCAACATTTTATATTGTATATCCTCCTCCTCCAAGTACTAAAATAGGTACATTGTATTTAATCATAAATTCAACACATGCACCATGACCTTTTGTTGATAAATTATATCCTCCTAATCTATCATGACATAAAGAATCTGCTCCACATTATAAAACAACTGCCTCTGGTCTATATATCTCCATTACTTATGTTATTATTTTCTGAAATATTTCTGTAAAAGTCTCATCATTCATACCAATTTTTAATGGAATATTTAAAGCATGATATCTACCTAATCCTTCCCCATAACTATCAATATCACCTGAACCTGGAAAAAAATCATCTCCATATTGATGAAATGAACAAGTCATTACTCTATTTGTTAAAAGAAATGCTTCTTCAACACCATCTCCATGATGGACATCAATATCAACATAAAGTACTCTCTAATGCACTCTTAATAATTCTAATATCGCTATTACTATATCATTCACATAACAAAATCCACTAGCTTCTCTTTTTTTAGCATGATGTAAACCTCCTGAATAATTTATTGCTATCTCAGCATCTTATGAAATTAAAACATGTGCAGCATCTATTGACCCTCCAGCTGATAATTAACAAAAATCATATAGTCCTGGAAAACTAGGGTTGTCTGTAGAGTCTCCCACTCTAAAACTATTTGGTTGAGGATAATTATTATTTGTTTCTATTGGTTCATGGCTGTGCGGAATATTATAATCCAACAAATCAAATTCATTGTAAATGTGGCTTGTAAAATGTGTAATATTTGGTTGTTGGTTATAGTGTTGATACTCATTCACAATTTGACTTCTAACACTTGTGAATTGACTTAAATATTGTAAGTATTCTGGTTCATGGAATTTTTCCATTTCTTTTAATGATGCCTAACGATTCATATACACATCTAGATTTCGATATAATCTAAGAGTTGTTAATATATGATTACCCATAATTCACAATTAAATTATGCGCCATTGCAATTCTTTTTGGTTTCATCGGATGTTCTTTACCATAATGATATCTTCCTATTTATGGATGATAGAAATAAGCAACTCTTTTATTAGTCTCATTTTACATTACTATAAAATAAAATATTAAGAGAATACATATATGTATATATATATAATTCATAGTAGGTACTTTTTAACAAGATATTCTAATTTCTGAATGTCAGTTGGTTTAGAGATACGTTCTTTCATACCACATTAACTCGCTATAAGAACATCTTCATCCCCAGAATATGCTGAATACATAGTGATTGTACAACTTTCATTTAAATTTTGTTCCTTCAGTAATTAAGTTATCTAAATAAGAAAATTACTTACTTCTTAAGAAGCTTAAAATCCATTTTTGCCTGGCATTTCTATGTCCATAAACACTAATCTGTATGTCTTGCAACATTTTTACTATAGTTTTACTTTTACCATATCAATAGCTGAATTCCCATTATAAGCACTATCAGTTGTTAATTTGAATTTTTTAAGTAGAACTTATAATGCAAAATGATTGCAACCGATATCATCAACTATCAAAATCTTGCTACAATCACATTCAGATACTTAAGAGAATTAATGTTTGTCAATTTCAAATTCATTTGAAAAATTCTATATCTGATTAGATAATCTAAAACTCACTTTTGTATACTACTCATATACAGAATCTATTTCAAAGAATTATTCTTTATAAAGATATTTGGCTAATTATTATGAAATTCTTAAGCCTAGACCTAATTTGTTTGAATTATATTCTAAAGAATCTTGAAATAGCAATTCTGCTTACTCTTCAATTTTTTCTATTATTTCCTCTGTAATTCCTTGTCCATCATCTTCTATTTATAACTTATAATAAAGTTGATTTATTTCAGTTGATAATTTAATGGTTCCACCTTAATTAGTAAATTTAACTGAATTATCTAATAAATTGATGAAAATTCTAGTTAATCTTTCTTTATCTGTATATATCGATATATGATTTGCTTAATCAATAATGAGTTTTATATTTTTCTATACACATTCAAAATTAAATAATTCATAAAGTTATTAAAAGACTTCCTATAATTTGAAACAGGATTTATTTAAAATTAAAGATGAACATTAAATTTAAGCATAATCTAAAATATCATTCAATTAAAATTGTAACCTCTTTGCTGATACAATTGCTGGATCTAAATGAGATTCAATTAAACTTTATGATAATTGATTCTTCAATGCATATAATTAAGATACAGTTCCATTAATTGGTGTTCTTAGTTCATGACATAAAGAATTAAGTAAAGCTTATTAGAACTTATATTTATGATTCAATAATTTATATTCTTCCCTTTTCGTAATGTTCTCTAAAAAGAATAAATAAACCACTGATTCCCATTAAACAAAACCTTCCAATTAAAATATTTTAAGCTTCAAACTCTTATATTTGATTTTACCATTAGATTAATTCATATTATCCATTCTGATTATATATTGAAAGTTGTCTCTAGACAAAGATGTTAATTGGCTCTAATGAATTTTTTTAAAATTCTAAAAAATAGATTTTAGATTTTTCCCTATATTACCATCACTGTCTCCTTTAAATTATGATGTGTTATTGTTGTATTAAGACAATACATCAGGAATATGCTCATCTAAGTATTTTTTTTATGGACTAATTGATGGTTATTTTTAGAATGTCCGTTTACTAAGCGATTTTTAAGGTTTTCTTACTTTTTTTGATGATCGGAATTCACAAAAATCTCCGCTTTTATAATCAATTTGAGATACCTCTATATAGCTTTATCTAAAAAAGAAATTATGTCATCAGAATTAGATAGACCTAATAATTATGTTACTCTTTGGTTAAAATCTAAAACTTTTAAGGATTAATCTACAAACAGGATACCAAATGGTAGATTATTCATTATCGATACTATTTCTGAATATTTAGTACTAGGATTTTTCTCAATTTTTAATGGTTCCATATTATAAATGGAATCTGATATAACCGTTGCTGGTAAATTATTCGGTTATTTTTTTACAATGATTCTTTAGTCCATACCATCTTTATTATTTCCAATATATTTATGTTCTTGTTGAGGAGATTCTATTTCTCCATTTAATGCTTTAAGAATAATGCTCTCATTTATATCATATTTGATAAAATCTCTTTTGCTCTCGCTTGATAATAATTAATCTTATTCAAACTAAGTTTACCTAAATTTGAACTCTTGCTAAGCAAAGGTTTAAGTTTATTGTGAACATTTTGCCTATTGTATATATTTCATAATATAATGATTGATTGGTTATAAAAACATGATAATCAAAATCGGATGTAATTCATAATTTGATTATGTAAATATAACTCTTATGGTTATGTAGAGTAATTAAAAATGAACAACAAGTCTAGTTGATAAGGTTTATGAATAAATCTTTAATAAAAGTAGAGCAGAGTATGCTAAATAAGCTACATTGGCAAAGTTAATTCTTTATTAAAATGGAATTTCAGAATTAATTACACACAATCCCGTGATGCCTACTTTTAAATAAATGATTGAAAATTTCCAATAATCAAGAATTAAAAGTATGATCGCAATAGTGAGAGAGATTACATTCAAACAAAAGGTTATTAAATTACTATCTTTCCAAATAAATGCTATATCAACTAAGTCCTTAATTATTAATTAGAGTATCAATAATTTTATAAGTATTTCCATTTGTTAATAAATATAATCATAATAAATATTTATCAAGTAATTGTTTAAGTTGTTTTTACTCTATTGGTTTAGGTAATATCTCTTTGATACCACAATTTTTCATATTGTTATTATTTTCATTTCCATTATAGGCAGAACACATTACTATAGAACATTATTCATATAAATTTTCTTTTATCAAAATTTCAGTTATCTATACAAATGAATTTGTAATTTCTTACATCTTTTGAAGCTTAATAACCATTTTTTACAGGCATTTCAATGTCCATAAAAATCAATTTGTAAGTTTTACAACAAGGAGAATTTAATTTTTCCTTTATTTTCTCAATAGCTTGTTAACCATTATAAGCACTATCCATTTTAACTTTATGTTATTATAAAAGTGCTTCTATGGCACTATGGTTAAATCTTACATCATCCACATTTAATATTTAAATACAGGTACAACTAATTGTAATATTACATCCTTAATATGATGGTAGTTTTTATTGGCTGGTCTACTTTTTATGATTTTCTATTTTGAATGTTATTTTTGTATAAACATTCTCAGTACTATCTATTATTAACTTATTATTAACACATAGAAATTTAGCTATTTATTAAGAGATCTTTAATCCTAAACCTAATTTAGTTTATTAGAATAAATATGAATCATAAAATTACATATCAAAATTATTTCTAATTTACTCTAGAGTCTTTTCAGACATACCAACCCCATTATCCTCTACTGTAAAAATTATACAGGATTTATTTTCATCCACATTTACAATAATTGAACCGCATTAATTTGTAAACTTTATTGAATTATCAATTAAATTAACCAAAATTCTAAGTATTCTTTCTTTATCACTATTTATTATATAATTAAAATTTGTATTAAGTTAAAAATCTAATTGTTTTTCTTTGCATTCCTAATCAAACAATTCTTTTAAAACTTCAAAGATTTCATTTAAATCAAACTGAGATATATTCAATTTAAAATTCTTACAATCAATTTAAGCATAATCTAAAATATCATTCAATTAAAACATTAGTTTTTTAGCTGAAATTATTGCTGGCTACAAATTTTTATCTCTAATATTAGGTTAAATTAATGTAGATAATGCATTTAATTATGATAATGTACTATTCATTGGAGTTCTCAACTCATGACATAATGAATTTAGTAATGCTTATTGATACTTGTATCTAATGTTTAATTATCTTAATTCTTCTTTATTAGTTATGTTTTCAATCAAAAATAGATAATTTACTTTATTATTTATTTCAATTTCATAAACTTTAATCCTCAAATAACATTTCATTTCCCCTACTTCTTAAACAATCTTTATTATCTATATATTTTATCCTATTGATTAAACAGAATAATCTGCATTATTTGTCATAGAAGGAGACTTTTAAGCGAATTTCTTGAACAACAAATTCAAGTTTCTAAATCTTGTCTTTATTGTCATCACTTCATCTCTTATTTAATTATTTGTATTTTGACAATAAGTGATATTATTATTTATATTTGTATTGGTACCTCCCTCTGGATTTATTGAGCTCTATTCAATTAAACTTTTTGATATTATAGACAACTATTGACCTCTTAAGATTCTTTTACTCTAACGATTGCTTTAATTTGAACCTACCTATTTTATTGATTTACTTTCCCAAGATTCACAACTTATTTTATTATTAAATTTTACCTTTCTAATAATGAATCTAAACTCAAAATGATATTTCTTACATCATTGTCTGACACTTTTAAAAACTATAATAATTTTTAATTATTTATCACCATCTCAAATAGATTATTCATCAATCCTATTCCAAATGGTAACAAATCCCATATTTAAGGTATATCTAAATTAGTTGTAGATCTCTATGATCCTAATTCTTTATCTGAATATGTGTTCTTTGAACTTTCCTTGTACTATTCAAAAGGATTCTTGAGGTTTATTTACTTTAACTCTCTCAAATTATTTTAGATTTTTAAACTCCTACAAACACTGCTGCATTATTCATCTTATTCAGATTAATCTTTCATAAGTTATGGAATTTATTCAATATGATATTTCGTTATATCTAAAGATTGTTTCTTAAATGCCATCTGATCATCTTCTTTCTTCAAATGCAACATCCAATGATTCAATGGTTACCATAAAAAGCATGTCAATAATTCAGTTATGTATAATTATTCCTTATATTATATGAGGGTTCTGATAAAAAAATACAACAATATCGAATGCTTCATAAATTTATGCCATTTTTATGCATCTTCAAATTATGTAATCAGAATCACTATGAAGATCCCTAATTAAAGTGTATTGATTTAAGCAATATCTTGGTATATGAACTCTATGTTAAGTACACATAATATTGATGCTCCTATGTTATTTGCATAAATATTTTATTTTTTAAGGGTCTCCATAACCAATAATAAAACTGAAATTGCTAAAGAAATCGAGTTAATTATAATGTATTTCAGTGAGCTTTCTCCATTTATGATTATCTCTATGAGAAAAAAAGTGTTTCTTAGTAAAAATTGCACATATAGGTAACTTGTGTAAATTAGCATTTTAAATAAATATATCATAATCTTGCAATCTCTTTAGTAGAAAATATATAATCTTCTCAAAAATTTTAGAACAATTATCTACTACTAGAGCTTAATTATTTTAATTTAATATTTCTACATGCCTTCCAACTGTTGACATTTTTAGCTAGTATTAATTAAAAGTTTATTTAATATTTTTTTACTACGACTCTTAATTTAGAAAAATTATTTGCTCTTAATCTATGAAAAAAACCTTTAAGATTGTCAATAATATATATTGACTAAATTTAGAGTTAATTTTATTTGCAGTTAGAATAGGAAAGAAATTTTTTAAATTGTAGAAGATCATTATAATATTTTAATTTTATGGTTGAAAATTAATCTAAGTTATTATTAATTACAGCAGTTTATAAACCTTTTGAAATAAATGAAAAATTTAATAATTAATAGATTATAAATCAAGTCTTTATTGACTTTTTATCTTAGGTAATTCTGATGATTATATTTGATATTCGATAGATATACTAAATTATAAAATGATTGATATATCTTAATTTTGTTAATTTTTAACTAGACATTAATTTATAATCTTTTTTTAAGAACAAAAATAAGGTTTTTTCTAATTTTGAAACACTTTGAGTATGAAGTAATTAGTGTATTTGACATATTGAAACATTCTTTTTTTTTTAAGGGAATCGTATTAAGATTTAAATTAGTACTGAAGTAATAATTAATAGATTAATAAAATTGAATTTACTTAAATTATTTATGGTTGAGAGAAAGCAAAATTATGATAATAAGATTGAAAATATTGATTGAATAATTTAAGAATTTGATTATTAGAGAAATAACAATAGATTAAAGAGTAATTTTGAGTTGAAAATGAATAATATGGATTCTATAATAAAAATGAATATAGGTGTAATAAGTGTGTCTATGTGCAAACATGTAATGAAAGCAGCCGATAAATTAAGGATATTCAATAGAACAAAAGAAAAGTCAGAGCCGTTAATAGAAGTAGGAGCAGAGTTTATTGAATCAAGAGAATTGTCAGAAAAAAGGGATGCTGTGTTTTTAATGTTCGGCTATCCAAAAGATGTAGAATAGGTATTATTGAGAGTTTAAGGAATATTACAGTAAGACAAAAGTATGATAAAAAGAATTAACAAGAAAATAAAATTTATATGTAGAAGGGGACATAGTTAATTGATCATACAACTTCATTACCCGAATTAGTAGAAAGGATATTTAAGGAGGTAAGTAAGAGAGGAATAGATTCAATAGATGGTTCAGTAAGTGGAGGAGATGTAGGAGGAGCTCATGAAGGATAATTGGTAATAATGTGTGGAGGTTAATAGAAGGCTTTGGATAGAATAATCGAGGCATTAAAAGTACATAGTTGAGATATCTAATTGATGGGTAATGCTGGATTAGTTAACATACAAAGATGGTGAATTAAATGGTCATAACAGGTACTATGATTGGAACAGTAGAGGGTTTATTATATGGACATAAATGTAGATTAAACTTGGAATAATTATTAAATATAATTAAAAGTGGAGCAGCAAATTCTACAGTAGGGAGTTATTTGGGATTGAGAATGATTAAGGGAGATTTAAGCCAGAATTTTATGTTGAACATTTTATTAAAAATTTGAACATAGCTATAAAGGAAGCGAATAGAATGAATTTAAGTTTACCAGAATTAGCTTTGGTTATATAATTGTATCATGCTTTGTTTGTTCAAGATGGAAGAAGAAATGGAACTTAAGCATTACTTTTAGCATTAGAAACATCGAATTATCATAAGATTAGATAATCATTTATTTTAATATAAATTATAAATTCTGTTATGCCAAAACTCTATACATTCAAGGACCCTAATTTCAATCCTCTTTAGAATTATGTGGTTGACAAAACTTTAGGATAAGGAACTTTTGGAAAAGTGAAGTTGGGTATTCACAAATGCACAAATGAAAAAGTATGAAATCACTTCAATTTACAAAGGTAGCAATAAAGATTCTAGAGAAAGAGAAAATAGAAAATGAGGCTGATTATGTTAGAATTCAACGTGAAATTCACATTCTGCGTAAAATTCGTCATCCAAACATCATTTAATTGTATGAGGTATATAAATAAGTTATAAGAGATAATCGAAAGTGAAATAAAGTTATATTTAATAACTGAATATGCACCAGGAGGAGAGTTATTTGAACATATTGTTTCTAAATCTCGACTTGAAGAGCGTGAAGCTGGTCGTATATTCTTTTAACTTCTTAATGCTATTGAATATATTCATCAATTAGGAATAGTACACAGAGATCTTAAACCTGAAAACATACTCCTTGATTCCAATAAATAAGTTAAAGTTGTAGATTTTGGATTATCAAATCTCTATTAAACTAATTAAAAATTGCATACCCCATGTGGTAGTCCTTGCTATGCTGCCCCTGAGATGGTTAGTGGATTACCTTATGAAGGATTAAAAACTGACATCTGGTCATGTGGAATAATATTGTATGCAATGATTTGTGGGTTTCTTTATATTCTTATTTTAGTTGTGTCCCATTTGAAGATCAAAATACTAAATAACTTTATGAAAAAATTAAACATTCAGATTACAAACTTCCTAAAAGTGTATCTCCTTAAGCTGCTGATCTTCTTCGTAGAATTCTTCAGAAGGATCCTTCCAAAAGAATTTCTATACCTGAAATTCGTCAACACGATTTCATCCTTTTCGCTGGCAAAATGACTATCCCTCAAGGAGTAAACACTAAGTATTATCAATAGAGTATCTAGATCCGATAATTTTAAAATAGATGTCGATTATACTATTTTATCACTATTACTATAATATAACGTCTCTGAGGAAGAAGCTGTCTAAATGATCAAAAATAATAAACACAATTGTATTACTACTTGTTACTATCTTCTCAAACTTAAACAACAAAGAGAAAAGCAGATCAAACCAGATATACCCCCTAAAACTATTTCTATTGAAAAATAGAATTTATTTAATAAAACTCAATAAATCGAATAACAGAAATCCTCTCCTTTAGTCAAACAAAAACTTTACTCCTAATAGTAACCAACTTAACCTTATAGTTAAGATGTCTAACAATAAATTTTATTACATCTCCTATAAAATCAATAACAATAATAATAATAACAATAACAATAATAACAATAATAATAATAACAATAACAATAATCTAAAGAAATTAAATAACCATAGGTTTCAAAAGTTGCTGAAACTGGTGGATCTTCATCAATGGAAATGTTTCTAAATAAAGCATTTTCTGATCGAAATCAAAATAAATCATAAACGTATTAATTTATTTAATATACTCTATAGAAAAGGTAAAACGAAATCTTAAGATCCAGTTCCTCATAGAGAAACGTCTGCTCCTAAAAAAACTTGTTTGCCCTCAAAAAATCATAAATCTATTTCCCAAAAACCTTCTAGTTAATCAAAAGGTTAATTAGCTTAATTACTTGCTGTTAAACAATCCAAATATTTAGGCAATACGTATCAATCTATTTCTATTTTTAGAGATTCAACTACTTATGTAAGACATAAAAGTAATTTGAAATTCAAACAAGGAAGCACTGAAAGATCAGATCGACATAGCAGCAATAGTTAAAGATCTGAAATAACTTATCTAAAAAGAAGTGTTGAAAATAGAAGTAGCTAGCATATAAAAAATGATCGCAAAACAAGAATGATTAGTACTTATGCATACAATGATACTTAAAAACCAATCTAAACCTAACCTAATGAAAGAATAAATGTAATTTAAAACTATGAATTTAGACTGATCTTAGCAAAGAATAATCAAATGTACTTCAATCTTAGTAATAGAGATTGACCCATATGGATAACTTGGCTCTAGGCATTTAAATATATAAGCACAATATTCAAAACAGATTTCTAATTAAATAGTAGTAAAAAAGAAAAAGCAAATAATAATAATGAAATTATCAATTTTTAGACTTATTTTACTTTTTCAGCTTTTCATCATTTTATTTATGTTAAAGCTGAAAATAAGAAGTTATTATTGTTATAATAATTTTAATTTTTCTTTTTTGTTTAAAAATATCATACTTTGATATGTGTAGCTACTGCATTGTCTAATTTTTCAAAGAACTCCTATGAATCATATTATAAATGTTCTTCATTTATTTCATATTCAAGATATGCACCCTAATCAATTCATTAGATATTATACTTTCTATTAAAAATAATTGGCAACTTCTGCATTTACTTAATCAGCTGGGGCAGAACTTTATTCTAAAGCACATTTACTTGGAGTTTAACACTAGATTTATTTGTTTTTTCACTTACATTATTCTAATATCCAGGATGAGTTGGAGTTACAAATGGTAAACTTGTATTAAATACCTTTCCACATGATTAACATGATAAATATGATCCTGCTATTTTCTATGCCAATGATTCAGATAATTTGAATCTGATAGCCAAATTAACACCATCTAATAAACGATCTAGTCTAAGAATTTTTCTATTAAATATTACTTTTCAGCATCAACAGCGCTATTAGGGAATCCAAATAACAATGCACCATTTTTTTGAGTTGATTACAATTGAACCTATTCAGCCAATCTAGCAACACTATCCTAACAATTATTTAATCATTTACTTCTCCACTTGTCTTCTAAGCATCTACAATAGAATATTGAACAAATTGTCTAAAAGAATATAAAATTCAATACTTCTCCACTAAATTTCTTATAAATGGATTTGATTGCAAAAATACAATCTTTGGATATTAAGGCATTTTAGCTGTATATTTAAATTAGTCATATATAACTGACTCTGTGAAGAATAAGTGAAGTTATTGAGCTCTTTGGATTGCCAACCTTGAATTGCCAAAAAATTATTGATTCATTATTATTATTAATAAAATTATATTATATCATATAATCTCTAAATATTCATTATTTTTCAATTATTAATCAAAATCTTTAACTAGTAATATTCTAAATATCATAATCCTTAATCATAAAGAGTTATTTTTAATTTAACACAAAATTTTTGATGGAATTGTTATAATATTGTTATTCTAGAAATATTGCGATTCATTTTTACAATTTCTGTCTACCAAAGAATTTCATTTAAAATTTATTCAGAATAGTATAATAAGATATATTAATAAGAACTTTTTTCTATTTCAAATACTTATAAAACAATCAATTAAGTAAAAATTATATAAATGTATTTTCTAATACATGCCTTATCTAAAGACTTAAAAAAATTTAATAATCCAAGAAATTCTGTAAATAAAAACTAATATATATTAAAATGAATTAAAAATGAATTAATATTGTCATTGATAAGATAGAAATAAATCATATTTTGAATGGATTTTCATTTAAAAATATTTTTACTCTCTAAAAAATGCTTTATCAAATTTATTTGATTTTTTTGGAACAAAAGATAATTGAAGCAATTATTTAATCTTAGACTTTAATGTCAATTTTAGATTATAAACCCTGTAATAATTTATTTAATATTAAGTCTTTTACAAAAGGTAATTTAATAATCGACCTTATATTATTCCTTACTTGTATATATAGGATTTTTGGCAAATATGGAAGTGAATAATTCATTAGATTGTAATTAAGTGTTTTATAAAGAAAGAGTAATTTAAGAATTATTTAAATATAACATTCGAATTGAATATCTAATACATTATTTTTATTATTCTCAAATTATGAATTATAAGGTCTCGACCTCTTTTTTAAATAGTTGTTTTCGCTCAAATTTAGGAAAATTTAAAATGAGAACCTAGATATTAATTATTAACGGCATAATATTGGCAATAATAATTCCTTCAATCATTTTGACCTATACGATAAATTTATATTATGTTTAGAATATATTGAGCAACTCTGAAAAGGACAGTATGCTAAAATAAATGTTTAATCATTTAACTAATTCAGCAGATTCAATAGATGGATAACTTAATTCATTATTTAGAAGAAGTATAATTTCATAAATCATATAAGCTTAAATTACCCTTACTAATCTGAATTAATTGTATTGGTTTTAATTAAGAAATAATATCTGGATCAATAAACCTATCACTCGTCTTTGTGACTATAATTCTACCCATATACCTCCTGATCATTCTTATTCTATCCCTTGTTATTAGTATTTTGCTCTTAATTAAAATGATGTTGAACCTTTGGAAGATTAAACATAATAAATTTTTAGAAATCATACATTTTTAATAAGTTCAATTATTTTAAGTATGATGGGACTTGATGATCCTTTTATTCCTAACTAATTTTATTTTGTATCTTCTATTGACTTTTATGAATTCAGCTACGTCTACCCTTAATATATAAAGTTGGAAAATTTCCATCCTTCAGATAGAATTTGGTTTCAATAACATTTCTAAAATTTAAAAAAAGATAAAAGCAATAATACTTAATTAAGCGATGTTTATAAATATTTTGGAGATGAACCTACTTATTCAATGACTATGACGTAATCAATGTTAAATTTAAATTGGGATGTTGAAGGAATATTTTGTTCTGACATAATTTTTTAGAATAGCATGATTAGAGTTGAGACCATTAACATTATGATAGCTGATCAAAAAGGACAATTATTATTGACAAATTATAAAAATAAAATAGTAGCCAATTCATCCCAACTTAAACACTTTGCAGACTCAGAAATAACTGGATTTAATTAAGAAGACTGGAATTCTCTTATTAATTATTACTAAAACAATACTGTTTAGTCTACTTGCCATTTAACTACTCATAATATTTTATGTAGATATAATACAGTTTATGAAAAAGATGTCGTCATATTTATTTAAAAGCTTAGAAATATTAATTATTATTTGATTCTCTTTTATGATTTGTAAATTGAAAATGATATTGCTAAATAAATGAAACATTTAAATTAAATATTGAATAAAGAAATTTAATAGATGGCATTAATTGTAATATTGATTTCAATATTTTTAATTTTTGTCTCTATTATTATGATTTATTTAATTTTTTTACCCATTTATTAAGTGATTAATTAATCATCTTTATTTCTCAAAAAAAACAAGTAATTTAATAAAACTCAATCATTTGATTTTAAAAATTTAATTTAAAATAAAATTTTAAAAAGAAGAGATGAGCGATATACTAATAGTAATTTATCTGATAAATTTAGGTAATTCTTTAATTTAATTTAAAATTCTATTCGATTCATTGTTTGATAGAGTTTTATCATAAACAATGACAATAAACCCATAATGTAAAATACTTTAATAATTTAAATACCCTCGAAAGAATACACTTAATATTTTGAAAATACAAAAACTGCTAAAGGAAGGTTTAATTAAAGATAATTTCTATGAAGAAAATAATAAGGATAGAAAAACGAAATTGATTTTAATGGAGATCTTTTAGTTTTAAAATTGAATCAAATTGATTTTCAATTCTTTTACATAAAATAATATTAAATCTAATAAAATGTTTTATTGTATAATAAATTTTATTCACATCAAACCCTTGATTGATTCATATGAACCAAATATGATTGCTAAGGCTGTAAATATTGACATAAAAAAATATTCTAGTTTCAATCTCCAGCTTGCTTCTTAATCCTTGAAGCAAATCCAATGTGCTAATAAGGGGATCAAAAACTATTAAAATTTTTATTTACCTTACTTAACAAAATGAACCAAAGAAACTTCCAATTAAATTAATAAATTATGATAGATCTGGTATTTTGTATGATATAAAATAAATTATTAACATTAAAAGCCCTCTGATAATTAACGACATTTTATCTACTACAAATACACTTTCATCTTAATTTTCAGATTGGTCAAATTCTTTGTAAGTAAATGATGAGAATTGTTCTTCAATAATTTATACAGCTGGAAATAATTAAAGTGCATATGTCATTAATATACAAATTCCATAAGCAATCATGGTTACTGATCTTAGATAAAGGTTTTGAATATTGAAAATGATAATTTAATTTATATTATCTTTGTAACCCCAAATAGCAAAAGTTGTTATAAAAATTGCAATAAAAAAGCATAAATATAATGATAGTTCTTAATATCTTTAAAAAGGTTGCTTATTGGTCATATCATTTCTGATTGGTAGAATAGTCAAATTGCACTAAAGTGTTAAACAGGCTATCCCAATAAATTAAAATGTATCTAAATTAATTTCGATATTACTTTATAAATTAATACTAGGTCCATATGAAATGCCATCACGATATATTAAATTCAAAGAATCAGAAAATACTATAATGAAAGTAAGTAAATTAACATAAAATCCCAGTTTACTTACATAATGAAAGTATTTCATCCTTCTGATCAATGATAAAGGAATAATCAGAATCAAGGTTAATAAAAAAATTGTTATTTTTGACAAAGGAATATTAATTTAATTTAAAACTGCATCAGTTGATTGATATAAAAATATTAGATAGGCACAACAAACTCCAATTTAGGACAGAATAATCATTATATTAGTTATCTATGGCCAAACCCATTTCAAAGTTAATTGAACTACATCTCCAAAAAGTAATTTTCTGTTTGAGTAATAATCTGCCACCTCAATTAAAAATGTATTAGATCATAAATGTAAATAAAAATACTTAATAGTGCAAAAAAGTACTGGAATTGTTATTAAAATAGAACCTAACCATCCTACTTTATTAGCTGCAAAAGGAAATGAAATTGCTCCTATTCCGATTATTGATTTAATAAAATTAAAAAAGGCTTATTTTTCATCTTAAACATATGGAATTGATGGTTTTTGTTCAATTGGTTCAATATCCATATTTCTATCACTAATATTCATTTTATTTGTTATATAAATTATAATTTTTATTGATTTCAAATATATATAAGATATAAATTATTAATTATTCTTTATTAGACATTTTATTAGATAATATTTAATTAGATAATACTTATTTATTCTTCATTTGTTTTAAAACGAATTCTCTAAGTATTTTTTATTGTTCATAATTAATAAATGGAAAACAACATTAGAAATACAGAAATAAAATAGTGAATATCTTTTAATAAATAATTATATTTCTTAATAAATGGCACGAAGAGGATAGTAACCACCACCATAATAAGCTCCACCTGCTTAAAAGAATCAATCAGGTAAATTCAATCCAGCTGAATTTGTTAAACCTGGTTTGACAGAAGAAGAAGTCTTGGAAATCAAAGAAGCATTTGACTTATTTGATACAGATGGGTAATTTTTTATAACAAAATTAGCGGTTAATCAATTGATCCAAAAGAATTAAAAGCCGCAATGACTTCTTTAGGATTTGAAGCAAAAAATCAAACTATTTACTAAATGATTAGTGATTTAGATACAGATGGAAGCGGTTAAATTGATTTTGCAGAGTTTTTGAAATTAATGACTGCTAGAATTAGTGAGAGAGATTCTAGAGCTGATATCTAAGTAAAATATACCTTAAATTATATAAGAAAGTCTTCAATTTGTTTGATTCAGAAAGAGCAGGAGTTATAACCTTAAAAGATCTAAGAAAGGTAGCTAAAGAATTAGGAGAAACTATGGATGACTCAGAATTATAAGAAATGATTGATAGAGCTGATTCAGATGGAGATGCTTAAGTCACATTTGATGATTTCTATAATATTATGACAAAAAAGACCTTTGCATGAATTCATTATTACATAAAAAACATATTCAATATAAAGTATTATCAGTCAGGTTTCAATCAACTTATTTGTCTCAATTTTAGAAAACTTACCTTACTTCTAAATTTATAAAAAGAACTGATTTTTATTAGTTTCTAGTTTTAAATTTAAAATTTCTTATATTAGATACAATTATCCTAATCTTTTCTCTAAAGAAAAATGCATTACAAATTATCAATAAAATTCAAACTTTTATTCTTAGACTTTTAATAAAGGATAGAAAATTTAGAATCAGAAATTCATTTATATTATATCCAAATTTAAATTAAATATGAAATATATATTCGATCTTCAAGACAAATAAAATTTATTCATCAATGAATTACTAATCATTTTCTCTGGTTCTTAGGCTGCAGCCCAATAATTACTTATAGCTGGTATTAGAAGCATAGGGTTATCAATTTTATTACTATTTAGAGAGTGGATAAACATATCATTTTAAACAAATGATTGAAAGTATAATTTTGATTCCTCATCAGTTTGGCATACCTATTATAAATCTTGTATTTTTATTTCTGATTATCTTGTTTTTAATCGTTTATCTATCAGAATTTGAATTCCTCGTGGTACTTTTTCTTTCTTTCCTATTTTTTTAACTAAAGTATTTCCAAGTAATTTTGGAAAATTTTTGAAAGAGAACTTTTACTTTTTCGGGTTAATAATTTGACTAATTGTTTAAGTTTTAGTTACTAATTGTTCTGGCATTAACTAAAATTTATAATATATTATTTTTTACAATTTCATACTCCAATGGATATTAATTGAATCCTTGGTCTTATTAAAGAACATATTGGTCCAAAATTTGTTCTTCCTCTACATCAGAAGGTATTTACATCTTTTTATATATTTAATAAATTAAAAACAAAAATGTATAAATAATCAAGTAAATTCTATTAACTAATCCTATAAAATTATTTTTTTATAGTATTTTTTTTTTGAATTAATAATGTGACTGCTAATCATCTTCTCCGGTTCATCAGCTGTAGCAAAATAAGTACTAATTCCATCAATATATTTTAATGGATTTTCTATTTTTGAACTGTGGATTAAATCGATTATAAATTATTTTTTCATGTATTTTTTGAAAATTCTTTTTGACTAAAAGTCAGTTCTGCAAATTTCTCGTAAATCAGATATTTTTGTAGATATTTACTATTCTTTTTTTTATTTTTTTTCTTTATTTTTTTCTTTTTTTACATTTCTTTTCATTAAAAATTTTTCTAAACCTTAAGTTAATGGTATTTGATTTTTATTTTACTCAATATATTTTTTAAAATTGTTTCCAATCAATTTAGGTAAATTTTTATAATCTAATCTCTCATCTTATTCTTCTAATTATATTTAATAGATTTTGCTTTATTTTAACAAGTCTTAATATAATATTTTGTTATCAGGTTCCTTTAAGTATCCATTGTGTTCAAATTGATTATTGCTAACCCCATAGTCATTAATTTAAACTTATGGTTCATTCATTTATGTGTATTAGGTATCATCGTAAAAAACAAATCCTTCCTACATTTGAAATCAATCAAATCAATCAATAATAATAATAATGATTAAAAATTTCTTATTCTATTATTAAACATTATATTAAATTATAGATAGTAAAGTAGTTTTTAAAGTTATAATTGATTTATATAAAAATTATACTTCTAATTTTAAATTACAAATTATCTAATATGCTCATTCCTAAAACTCTTTAAATTATCTAATAAGTTNCTTTTTCGGGTTAATAATTTGACTAATTGTTTAAGTTTTAGTTACTAATTGTTCTGGCATTAACTAAAATTTATAATATATTATTTTTTACAATTTCATACTCCAATGGATATTAATTGAATCCTTGGTCTTATTAAAGAACATATTGGTCCAAAATTTGTTCTTCCTCTACATCAGAAGGTATTTACATCTTTTTATATATTTAATAAATTAAAAACAAAAATGTATAAATAATCAAGTAAATTCTATTAACTAATCCTATAAAATTATTTTTTTATAGTATTTTTTTTTTGAATTAATAATGTGACTGCTAATCATCTTCTCCGGTTCATCAGCTGTAGCAAAATAAGTACTAATTCCATCAATATATTTTAATGGATTTTCTATTTTTGAACTGTGGATTAAATCGATTATAAATTATTTTTTCATGTATTTTTTGAAAATTCTTTTTGACTAAAAGTCAGTTCTGCAAATTTCTCGTAAATCAGATATTTTTGTAGATATTTACTATTCTTTTTTTTATTTTTTTTCTTTATTTTTTTCTTTTTTTACATTTCTTTTCATTAAAAATTTTTCTAAACCTTAAGTTAATGGTATTTGATTTTTATTTTACTCAATATATTTTTTAAAATTGTTTCCAATCAATTTAGGTAAATTTTTATAATCTAATCTCTCATCTTATTCTTCTAATTATATTTAATAGATTTTGCTTTATTTTAACAAGTCTTAATATAATATTTTGTTATCAGGTTCCTTTAAGTATCCATTGTGTTCAAATTGATTATTGCTAACCCCATAGTCATTAATTTAAACTTATGGTTCATTCATTTATGTGTATTAGGTATCATCGTAAAAAACAAATCCTTCCTACATTTGAAATCAATCAAATCAATCAATAATAATAATAATGATTAAAAATTTCTTATTCTATTATTAAACATTATATTAAATTATAGATAGTAAAGTAGTTTTTAAAGTTATAATTGATTTATATAAAAATTATACTTCTAATTTTAAATTACAAATTATCTAATATGCTCATTCCTAAAACTCTTTAAATTATCTAATAAGTTTTAACTAATAAATTCGAATTTAAAAAGGAGTGCTTATTAAATTAAAATTTCATTTCATCTAATAATCAACTCCAATAATAATCTAATAGTTTCATTGTATTGAGAGTCAAATCGATATTCTATATATAATAACTAAATATTTATTATGAATAATCAAGTATGAATATTAATTTAATAAATATTATTATTGATTAAGATGAGCACCAACGTACTTAGAAATTGTAAACACAATAATTATAATAGCTCTTGCGAAAATTGATATTTTTGGACAAAATATTACATTAAATATGAATAAGAATTCTAGTTATACAACAGCTTTTGGTGGAATTTCATCCATTTTGATTATTTTATTGCTTAGTCTAATATTCTTCTCAAACATTGTATAATTTTTTGGAAAAGACAATGTTTTCTATGATAGTGAAATATCCTTTTCAAATGATCCAGAATTGATGGATATGAATGATAATAATTCTATGTTTGCTCTGGCTATTGATTAAGCTAATTTCACTACAAATCCATTTTTTAATATTACTGTAGAGTAAAAGTATGTAATTAAATAATAATTAAGGATTTATTTTAGAAATAAAAATGGATCTCTAACAAAAGAAACCATAGAAGTTCCTATGTAGCCATGTACATTAGAGAGATTTAATAATATATTTCAATAGCAAGGAATAAATTTTACTGATTAGTTTAATTTTTTAGGAATGAGCAAAATGTTATGTCCAAAGTATTTAATAACCTTAGTTAAATTTAAGATCTAACTTTACTTTTTAAATGGAAGGAACTTATTCAAGTGAAACTTTTAAATTTCTAAAAATTACAGTTAAAAATTGTAAGACATCAGATGCAACAAGTGATAGTTTATGGAATCCAACTTGTAGTTCTTAAGAAGATAAAGCAAAATATCTTACTTCAAATGCTTAGTTTAAATTATAAATCTTCTAAATTAATACTGTAGTTAATCCATTAAAGCCAAGAAATTACAAAAGTGTGTTTATTGATGGTGATATGTATTTTTCATTTGTTCCTTATAAACTGGCTAGATTAGCAAATGTTTTTTATAGATAATTTATTGTTAATAATGATTAAAGCATAATGCCATATTAGTATTATAATATATGAATTAATTTTTAGAGATGTTGAACAAGAGAAAGTTATTGTTAGAAAAGCTGAAGATTTTAGAGATCTTACTGAACTTGGTAGAGATAAAGATGATAGTTTTGCAGTGGTTTATTTAAGAAGAAGTCCTTTTACAGAAACAATAAATAGAAAATTCTAAAAATTAGGTGAGTTGCTTTCTTATCTAGGAGGATTTATGTAGATAATGAAATTAATATTCGGATTTGCTATTGCATTTTATAATCGAACATCTATGTTAATTGAATTAGCAAATAAACTCTATGATTTTGAAGATACTTAACATTTAAAAAAGTTTAACACATTAAAAACATTAAAGTACACTGAATAAATTGGATCACCTATAGGTAAATAAGAATCTAATTCAGTTAATCCTTTTATTATCTCTCAAGAGTTTTAGAAAGTTTAATGGAAATAGTATATAAAAGAATTAGTTAAAAAATCAAAACCAATTACCTTCAATTTTAGAATATTTATAAATTAATTAACTTTTGGTTATTTGTTAAAAAATAAAAATTCAGAATTTTTAGAAAAAGCTATGTAAGTTTCTTTTATTATTTTAGAAATAAAATCAATAATGAATTAGACTTGCATAGCATTTTATATTAATTACAGGAAATTAATAAACTTAAATCAGTTTTATTAAGAAAATCTTAGATTATTTTATTTAATTTCTCTCCTAAACCTGTTGTTACATTAGGTTAAGATTAGGTAGTTCCATCTCGTTATGCAGTTGAAGATTTGGAGACTGGCAAATCATATATTAAGAGCAAAGATGTTATTTATAATGAAGAACTATTTCTTAAACTAGAAGAAGTAAATCTTTTTTGATATATATAAAGGCTTATAAAGAAATAGCAGAGGAAGTAGAAAAAACACACTAAAATATTTGTTAAATGAATATTAATTTAAAACTTACTTAACTTATAGGATCTGATGTAAGAAGTATTCTAAGACCTATTTAATAATAACTTTTAAATGGAGTTAAATCTACTGAAATCCAAAACATTAATAATAACTAGGATGATTACAACTAAAGTGATTGAATTTACACTGATACATAATCTCAGAAGTTTTTATATATTATTAATTTATTAAAGTAAAAATAATTTCAAATAAAACTTAATTAAAATCTAATTATAATATTAATACTTTTTTTTTTTATTTTAAATGGAATTTAAACTGAATTTCCTGCAAATTAAAGTTTGTTTCTTTAATTAAATAAATAAATAAATAATTAATGATAAACTCTTTATAGAAAGGTTTAGAAAAAATAGATATTTTTGGATAAACAATTACGTTAAATATGAATAAGAATGCTAACTACACAACCTCATTTGGTGGCTTCTCCTCTATCCTTATTATTTGCCTTTTAAGCATTATATTTTTTTCGAACATCTCAGATTTTTTTAGCAGAGAAAATGTATTCTATGACACATAGACTACTTTTTCTAATGACCCCCATGAAATGGTAATGAATGATTCAAATGCAATGTTTGCACTATCAATTGATCAAAGCAATTTTACAACTAACCCTTTTTTCAACATATCAGTAGAATAAAGGTAAGAATATATTGATTTAGAATATATACAAGATCATTAGATGGATCCCTAAATAAAACTACAATTTAAATACCTCTTTAACCTTGCATGTTGGATAGGTTTAATAATGTTGTATTAAATTAAGGAATAGATCTTGATTTTAATGATGAGTTTAACTATTTGGGAATGAATAAATGGTTATGCCCAGCGTAAAATATATTTATTTCATAGTCAAAATTATAAATTCTAACTAGAAGGTACATATTCAAGTGAAATATTCAAATTTATTAAGATTGTGGTGACAGGATGTAAAAACAATTCAAACTCATCATATTGGAATCCAAAATGTGCCGATGAATTACAGAAAAACAATTATTTAAAAAGCGAAGGATAGTTTAAATTATAAGTATTTTAAATTAACACTATGATCAATCCACAATAAGCAAGAAACTATAAGACTATGTATTTAGATAGTGATATGTACTTTTCTTTTGTACCTTACAAATTAGCAAGGTTGGCTAATGTTTATTATAGATAATATTTAGTGAACAATGATCAGAGTTTACTACCTTATTAGTATTGAAATTTATTTTCTATTTATAGAGATATTAAGACAGAAGAAGTAATTATAAGAAAAGCAGAAGATTTTAGAGATTTAACTGAACTTGGCAGAGATACTGATAATAATTTTGCCACTTTATATTTAAGAAGAAGTCCATTTACTGAAATAATTAATAGGAATTATTAAAAAGTTGGAGATCTCTTATCATATCTTGGAGGATTTATGCAAATATTAAAAGTAATCTTTGGTTTCTTTATCGCTTTTTATAATCGAACATCTATGTTAATTGAATTATCAAATAAACTTTATGATTTTAAAGAAGTTACAAATAGATCTTTTTTGAGAAAAGTGGCACTATCTTAGAAAACTGAGTAAAGAGGATCTATTCCCGATGAAATAAGCAATAAACTTTAAAATTTACAAAACACTGATTTAGAAAAGGCAGAATGGAAATAATTTATTGATAAATTATTAGAAAGATCATAACCTATAAGGTTAAATATAAAAATATTAATTAATTAAATGAGTTGTGGATACTTTTTTAATAATAATAATTCTGAATTTTTTACTAAAGCAATGTAAATTAAATTTAATTTATTAAAGGTTAAAAATTAATAGTGAATTAGATTTGCATAATATTCTGCATTAACTTTAAGAAATAACAAAATTAAAGTCTGTTTTATTATAGAAACCTCAAATAATTCTATTCAATTTTACTCCAAAACCAATAATTACTTTAGGATAAGATCATACTGTTCCAACAAGATTAGAAGTGGCAGAAGATTTGAATAAATAATCATACATTAAAGCAAGTGCTAATCAATTAAATGAAGAACTTTTTGCATCTCTTTAAGAAGTACAAAAAAACAATTTATTATAGGCATATAAGATGGTGACTGAAGAAATGGAAGATAGTCCTAATATAAATCCTTGTTAAAGAACCATAAATTTTAAATTAACCAAATAGATAGATTCTGAATTAGGAAAGCTACTTAAAAATGTTAGACTTAGTTCTTATAAAATAAATGAATCTAACAATAATAATGAAATTTAAGAGGATCATACATGAATTGAAATTAGATATATATATAAATTACTTGCTGATAAGTTTTTATATTGATTCAGTTATCTACGATTTATTGAAGCTTTCTCTATCGAATCTTTCTCAAATCTTCCTATTACATTATTTTAAATTCTGTTTTTCTTCTTTCATATTCCTAACGTTCTCTACTGATGTATGATTATTAATTTTTCAACTCTTATCTTGTTGTTACATATTACTATCCTGTAATTTAATCAATCAAAATAACTTTTTTGTTATTTGCAAATAGATCTAAAAATTCTGAAAAAATAAAAACAGATGCTGCCATCATAAATATCAATAAATATCTGGTAGTTTAATTTGGATTTGAATAATTATCCTAATAAAATAAATTGTGAATAAATAATTACAAATTAATCATCTTTCATATACTTGCTATATGATTTGAATGGATCTTAATAATCATATCTTGAACTTGAATAAAAATGATATTATTTATATGCTTATTGTTTCTTATATTCATCATACATTTTTCTAAATTATTCTTCATTTATATCATATTCCTTATAAGCTAAAACTCCAATATTTTATTACAATTTTATTAATAATATTGTCTCTCATATTTTTACTTCTAATATTTTATAGGATTAGATTAAATTTCATCATATTCCTTTTTTGTGATAGGATTTTTAAGCACTTCATATGCTTCATTAATTGCCTTAAATAGTTCAACTGAATTAGGATTCTTATCTGGATGATGTAATTTAGCCAAATTGTAAAAAGCACTTTTAATTTCATCTTAAGTTGCTTTGTTTGTGAGATTAAGTGTCTGATAGTAATTCTTATTTGGATTGAATTTCAATTAAGAAAAGAAGAATTTTAATTTATAAAACATAATTTTAATATTTTTAGAAAACAGAATTTTCTAATTTCAATACTTTTATTTCACATATTTTAGTTCTTTCATGAATATAATTAAAATTAGTTAGTTAGTTACATTTTAAGATTGATTAAGAAATAGTAGAATATTAAATTCTTAATTATTAAAAATAAAAGTATCATTACAAAAGAAGAAAAAATTAATATAAAACAAATAATCAACTACGAAAGAAACAACATCCCAAAGGTTTAGAATCATTTTTAAAGTAACAAGGATTAGATCTGTATAGAACAGTATTTTATTTTTTGATACCCTCAATCATTAAAAATTCATAATCTGGAACTCTTCCAGTTTATGAGCAAGGCAAAGACGTTATCAATTCTCCATATACTTTTAACTAATTTAGAACTAAATGAATACTCTTTTAAAATCTTTTATCATATCACATGGTAAAGTAGATTTAAGCATATTTAATGCTACAAATAATGGAACAAAACTTAGATCAACTAGAGATAATTCATTTCCATTTATAAATTTCTTATCTTTTAACCATTCTTCAATCCATTTAAAATGCTTTATTAACCATTCTTTTTATTTCACAAATTTCTACAATTTTAGAATTAGAATTACTTCTTATTCAGTAGAGAAAATGAAAGAATAAAGATTCCGAATTATCTCATTTGAAAATTCAAGTTTAGCTCTATCTATTGCTTTTTATAGTGGATCTTCTGGCATCAATTTAGGAGGAGTAATTTCATCAATATATTCCATAATTGCTGCTGATTCTGATAAAACGACTAATTATTATTTATAAATAATACCTTCTTCACCAATTATTAAAATAGGTACATTTCCAAGGGGACTGATTCTCAGAAACCATTCAGGTTTATTATGAATTTCAATGAACTTAATTTCAAATTTAACATTCTTATGACGCATTACTGTAAGGACTTTCATGCTGTATGGGCATATTTTATGTGCAACTAATGTATGTTTGAATCTTTTATCCATCAATAGATTTAAAGTATTTATTCTAATATTTTATTAATAAATTTTTAGATAATTCTTAATTCTTTAAATTTCCAAAAACTAAATATCTTCAGTTATTTATAATAGATTAAGAAATTTTTGTTATTAAAATAATACTTTATATAAATTTTAGAATTATTTAAATCATTATGGATAAAGTATTAGAACTTTGAATATTATATTAAAAAAAAGTCTGATAATATAAAATTGATTAAAATATTTAATTATAAGAGATTTTGAAAATATAAATTTAAGTTGTTTAATATATATCGTAGTTTTATTAGAATTTAAGCAATTTATACTCAAATTAGAAATATTAGTATGTGTAAGGAAACCAAATTAATTTTTTATAAGTTATTATATAAATACAATGTCTTAATTACAAACAAAATGATTAAAAATGACTTTTATGATAATATTTTTAAAAGGATTTTTATTTATAAGTCATTAAAAGAGTGGAAGAAAATTTAGATGGAGAAGAATAATGATATAGAAATTTATTATTTAAACAGAGAATGCTTTTAAGTGTTTGGTGATAACTTAATTGTATATATAAAAAATTAATTTTTGTTAAATGAATAGATTCAAAAGAGTATTTAAAGATAACTTGGCAATGATTATTGTGACTCTTTTGGTAATGTTTTAAAATATCTTTGGAAATGGTACAAATTTAATAGCAGGATTAATAGTACTAATACAGGTTTTAAGAATTATATTATGTTTCATCACTTAAATCAAAGAATATATTCAATATTTTGATTTGATTTAACAATGGAGTTTACTTTTAGCCATTTATTTAGGATCTAATAATAGTACTATGTCTATATTAGCCTTATGTAATGCTAAAGAGTTCTTCAATACAAAAATGAATTTATAAACGATATAACTTAAGAAGCTGCTAATTATTCATCATATAGGTTCTGATATTCTTCTAATTACATTATGTTCAATTTACAGTTTAAAAGAAATTCATCTATCTTTAATAGCTATTTTACTTCATTGGCTAATTTTAATTTATAATTCTAAGCCTAAAAAGTTAAAGAAGAACACAGATAGTTATACTTAAGGAGAAATACATGATAAAATTGTGATAGATAGTGCAGGTCATACAAATAATCATTCTAGAGTCAAATTCTAAGATAAACCAAGTAATAATGATAGTCCAAGGGATAATAAATTAGAGATCTTAAATATATTTCCTTAAGGAATAGCATTATTTAAAGTATGTGAAAATTAATTAGATTTGGAATATCATAATCAAAATATGTTGAAATTATCTTCAGCATAAACTTCTGATGGAATTCTATAAACAATTTTTAATTTAGAACAATAACAAATAAGCGATATTCAATAAAAGTAATAATAAGATTAAAAAAATTCAATGAGTTCTTTTTCTACTTTTCAATAAACTCCAATTCCATGTAATTTTATAAATAATGTTTTTCGAAATTAAAAACGATCATAAACAAATTCATTGTAAGCATCTTAAAAAGTAGAACTTTGTAGATAGAATTCTGTTTTGAGTTCTCTTGAAAATAGAGGGGTTTTATTAAAGAAATGTGATACTTTATATGAAGAATCAGTATAAAATATTAATATTTTTAGCTTTTGGAATAAGAGATCAGATTATTAGTATAACAGATGCACAAATCTGAATTTCAAAATTAAATGAAGTGTTAAAATGAATTAATTTAAGAACATGTAGTTGTCTATGGATATCAAAAAGCATAAGATGGTAATAGGAAAAGAACTATTGAGGTTAAATTATACAATGCATTAATTAATGATAATCCTTACATTTTAATGTTGATTCGAGACATAACTCATAGAGATTATATATAAGCTTTGTAAGAATATAGTAAATAAAAATCAAAAACGTTGTCTTTTGTTAGCCACGAATACAGAACTCCTTTGAATTGTATAATAGAAATGTTGGAATTTGGTATAGATGAAGAATAAAAGCATTAATCACAAACGGTAATAATGGAAAAAGAATGTCGAAGAATTATGAAAGCTAATTATCCAATAAAAATTACTAAATAAATAAAGATTGCTTTAGATAATGCAAAGTATTTATTAAATTTAAGTGATGATCTATTAGATTTAGCTTAAATAAAAGTTGGAAAATTTAAGATTAACAAAGCTAAATTTAATTTTAATTTATTACTTGAAAGCTGTGCAGAACTTTTTTAGGTTACAGCTGAAAAGAAATCTATAAAGTTATTTATAAATTATGAAAGTAAGGCTCCAAGATTTATTTATTCTGATTCTAGCAGATTAAAATAAATTATGATAAATCTTTTAGGAAATGCTTTTAAATTTACAGATGATGGATCTGTGACAATAAAAGTTTCATTAATAAATAAAAAATTGGATGTTTAAGTAATTGATACAGGTATTGGTATCACAGAAGAAGATTAAGCTAAAATATTCTAAGCTTTTGGAAAAGGAAATAGTGAAGAACATAAAAAGATGAATAAATCAGGAGTTGGTTTAGGATTATTAATAAGCAATCAAATACTTTAAAATTTGAACTAAGATTTATAAAGTGGTCTTAAATTCAAATCATAATATAAGAAAGGTATTTTGATAAATAAGATTTAGGTTCTATTTTTTATTTTCAAATAGGGTATTAAGATTTAAATGAGATTTAATCATTAAATAGTTTGGAGGAACGAAATTAAGATAGTGAAGAATCAATAATTATGTAATCATTATAAGAGGAAAGTATACATAAAGTATATGTTCACAATCATATTTCAATATTTAAAAGATCAACTAAAGCTATAATGACTTTTTAGATATTGATTGTAGATGATACTTGCATGAATATAGAAATGATGAGATTGAAACTTGATAGATTGTAAATTATAAATCATATTATAAGAGGATTTGATTAAGTAGATTCAGCATGTAATGGTTATTCTGCAATAGAAAAGTGTGAAAAAAAATGGTAAATAAATCATGATTTCTATAAATTAATTTTTATGGATTTAGAAATGCCTAGCATAAATGGAATTTAAACAACTTAAAAATTATTAGAGTTATCCTAAAAATTCGGAATTAATGTCACAATTATAGGATGTTCTGCTTATGAAAGTAATGAATAGAAAACTGAATGTTTATAAGCAGGTATGAAAGATTACTTAACAAAACCAATTTAATTAAATGATCTCTAAAGAATATTGTAGTAGTATTTATGATATTATTATTCACTTTGTTATATATATATATATTTATATATTTACATACAAAAAATTATCAATATTCATCTTCCTCTGATATTTGAGATAAATTATTTTTAGAGACATTATCCAATTTATCAAATAACTACCATCATAAAAACATTTCTTACATTCTTCCATTCTAACATCTCTCTTAATTTTGCTTATTTTTATTCCTCACAAATAGTGTCTATTTATTTTAAATCGCTTCTCATCTTTTCAAATCGAGTATTTAATTCGTCTGTCAAAGCAGTTAAATCTATTCTCTATAGATTATTAAATCAATACTTATCTTTCAGATCTTTATTCACAAATTTATGAAAGTAGCTATTCCTACTCTCTCATTGAATTTATTTAACTCGTCATTTCTTCATTCTATTAAACTAATTTCTTAATTTAAGTTTCCATTCTAAAAATTTACTTCTCAACTTTTTTCTTCTAAGCTACACAACCCATTATTATTAAAATATTAATTTATTTTTGACAGTTTTTGATAATTTGCGTTCTTAAACATCAAACTGAATCTCATTTACTTCCCATCAACTTATTTCTTTAATTCATCGTTTTTTTCATTTCATGATTGCATATTCATATAATATAACAAGTATTTCACATATTCTTTAGAACTTAATTTATAATAAAGATAAAACAACAATATTCTTTAAATTATAGTAAATTTTTACATGTTAAAACAATAAAATAGCCATTACTGAATTCTTTTTTATTTTCAAAAAAAAAATATAATAAATAATGAATAAACCTATTTATAGGGAGTATCAAAATCATTAAGGTGACAATGAGGATCCCAATAATACAAAAATGGTTCAAATTACAGACGGTAACAGTTTAAATAGAATTAATGATACTCTAAAAGATTCTATTAATGATTTCAATAAATACTAAGTACAAAATATATTTTCACCATCCAATAACATGAATGATAGAAAAGAATTAAAAGATGACTCTTCCTAAGATTCAAAACATATATAATTAGTTATTTAAAATATCACTGAATCGGATAAATTAATTGAAATCAATACCACAGATCACGGAGAAAAAGAGGAGAATTCTAAGATTTAAAGAGGCATGTTAAGTTCATAGACTATTAAATATTAGAAAAAAAGAATTTAATTTAGAAATCCTTATTATGAATAAAAATAAAGACCTAAAAAAGGATTTAATTGGAATACAGAAGTTATGAAGAAATGGAAAATGACTCTCATTATTGTTCTATTTTTATTGAGTTTAAAAAGAGGATTGAAAAATAAGAGATAAGAGAATAAAATTACATAAACACAAGATATAGAGAGAAATAAAAATGTTAAGTCTAATTTTAGGTTAAGAAATATTGGACTTACAATTCTTAAGTTAATTTTCGGCATTTCTTTAGCATTACTAATAAGTGTTTTACTTTTCCCTTTCATTTTAATATCAGATTTATTTTTAAGGATTTACACATATAACAATTTATATGTGAGATATGCTCTATCTCATGAGAATTTGTTTTATAAATTCATTTTATTGATACAATTATATATGTATGTGATTGCAACAGGTATTGCTGTATTTACTAATTTTTATCAATCAATTATCACAACAGTAGAATTGATATACAATATAATTGGAACGTTATAAAATAATATTTCAGATCTCTCTAGATTATTATTTTAAACTATATAAAATCCATTCTCAAAACAAAAATGAGTATAATTTGTTTTATTTACCTCAAAATATACAAAATCTCAAAAAATTAGACATCTTTTATATTTATAATAATAAATTTTAACTGAAATATAAATAATTTAAATTTGAAATGAGTAGATAATAAATTATAATATCATAAAATCAATCTTTTTCTAATTGTTATCTCAATTTTTAATCTTAATTTTCCCTATTTTTTTGAGCAATAGGCAGAATATTATGTTTTACATGTTAAAGCCAATCAGAAATAGCTTCTCCTTTATTAAAATTCTGAAGAATCCAAGGATGACTTAATAATTCAATAGCTGAAGCTCTCATTGATATTTTTTTCTATAAACAACGAGTCAGAAAATCTTTCAATTCTATAGAAAATTGATTTCCTGAGAGTTCTGGTTGTGCTTCATTTACAACAGCATCTAGCATTTCAAAATAAGTTTTAGCACTAGAAAATGGATACTTTCCCATAGCTAATTCATATAAAACAATTCCAAAACTCCAAATGTCACTTAAATGATTATATTTTTTGGCTCCAATTCTTTCAGGGCTCATATAAGCTTATGTACCACAATTAGTAGTGCAGAAAGCTGATTATTCAAGATCTCTTGAAATACCAAAATCAGTTAATTTAACATAGCCTTATGAATTCAAGAGGATATTATCTGGTTTGATATCTCTGTGAATTTGATTAGAAATTAGATGTAAGTAACTTAATCCATTCAAAATTTGTTGGCTAATTTTAGCTAGTATAGGTTCACTTATGATAGGGCCATTAATTTAAGCAGCTCTATAAATTCTTAATATATCTCCTAAGGAACCAGCATCCATTAATTCTAAAACAACTTTAACACTGCCTTCATCAAAATAAGCTCCATATAAATTAACTAAAAATTAACAATAATAGCCTGAATTGTTTTCAGCATTCATTTTATTTTGTAAGAGTATCTTAATATCATTCATCAATTAGTATCTTTTCTCTCGATCATAAGCATTGATAGACTTTCATAGGAATTAAAATTACTTTAATAGCAACTCTAATGCCAAGTGGTTTATAAATAGCTTCACTAACAGTTCCTGCTGCACCTCTTCCTAAATGTTTATTGACAATTTGAATATAATCAGCATTGATTGGTTGAAGTTATTGTTATCCTTGAACTTGAAGACCATCTTTTGAAACTTTGATGTTTTCTTTTAGAAATCTCAATCCATCAGGTCCAATTTCTGAATAAACACTACCTGCTTAAACAGAATCTTCATCTGTATCAAGACAGAGGTTCTTCTTTTGGAATGTCTTTTTCTTCATTAGAGTATGAATGTTTGAAATAAATAAATAAATTAATTTAAAAATAAATTTAAATAATGGACCAAGATTTATTGAGACCTTAATATGAAAGTGAAAAGAGAAAGCATAAATTAAAGAGATTGATTTAAGCACCAAATTCATATTTCATGGATGTAAAATGCCCATAATGCTCAACCAATAACACTGTATTTTCCCATGCTAGAGGAATTGTTACATGCATGTATAGAATCTTTATAATATATTAGCAAATGTTCAAGTCAATTAGGTAGATCAACAGGAGGAAAATTATAACTTGTTCTTGGAGCAAAATACAAAACAAAAAAATGATAGTATATGATAGTATAATAAATAACACATTAGCACATTTCGATATTCTAATAAGAATGTTGCTCAACTTTTTTTTATCTAAGCTATTTATTATATGGTTAATTCTCAAATAACTATAAATATAAGATGTAATTTCTTATATAGTATTTTAATAATTGTAATAATAATTATTATTATTATTAATATTATTAAAAATCAGTATTAGAAAATATGTAAGCAGATAAAAAAGAATGGCCTGAAACAGTTGGAAAGAATGTAGATGAAGCTAAGTAATTAATCTTGGCAGATGATGCAAATATCTAAGTGCAAGTATTGATTGAAGGATCTATGACAACAAGAGATTTCAGAATTAATAGAGTGAGAATCTTTCATAATGATTAAAATATCGTTGTATCAATTCCAAGAAGAGGATGATATTTATATAATTAGAATAAATAATCTACAATACTTTGTAAATAATATATATATGAATTGTCATGCTGTATAGAAATATAGACAATTGAGGCAAGCAATAGCAACAAGATTTTAAGTCTAACACATACTAATTTTCTAGACTTTTCGATTAAAATCATATTATGATCCTAAATTCTCGAAATATTTAGGTGGGATTTATCTAACAATAGTCTTCTTGTTGAAATTTAATTCATATTATGAATTGCATTCACCTATAATTATATAAACAAATTTGAATACCTAATCTATCAACAATATGAAATGTACTATTAAAATTACCAGTTACAAAACTATTTGAATCAAGTGAGGATTATATGGAAAATTTGTCAAAGATGCATTCATTCTCATATAAATCACATAATTTTGATTTAAGTGGTTCAAATACTTGAACAGTAGCAACTGGTTTATTAGTCATAGCAATATCCCACACTTTTACTGTTAAGAAATCTCTTGAAAATATATATTTTCCATTTCGACTAAAACAGGCATCTGAAATAGATGTAACTATTTCAGTAAAGAAATTCTTTTTTGATGGATCCTCTGTTTCTGCCATTGTAATAGCTGTATTATCACATATTCCTGATTTTCTCATATCACATAATTTAATTATTCCTTTGCTAGTTGTATATAAAAATTAATTATCCAATGTCGGATGAAATGTTGAAGATGTTATTACTTCACTTAATTCATCTAAATTCTCAGGTTTGAGATCTACTGCTACAAATGCTTTTGATGGTTATTCTACACTCCATAAATATACTTTTAAATCATCTGATGTTAAAACAAATTCTTCATTATTTGATGCTGTTAATGAATTTATATGATAATTATGCAAATTTGGAAATACTTTTCTTACACTTTATAATTAATAATTATTTTTTTTACCTTGGAATCAATCCACTTTCAACAACTTATAATTTAGGCATTGCTAAATCTTTTCCACTCTATTTGATAACCTTAGTTACGTTTTTTTCACTGATCTTCCACAACTTCACCGTTTTATCATTTGTTGTCAATACATACATATTCTTCCCTTATGATCTTAACCACTAAATTTGATTTATCTTCTCTTCTATATCAGTACTCTTTAAAAAATCAAATTCCCTTGTATGTGATTATAATTCTGTCAAATATCTAATTTATCATCTAAATTCATACTAATATTCAGCCTTATCTTTCTTCTTACTTTATGGTACCTCAAATACTATTAATCGCCCAGCCCTGTCTCCTAATCCTAAAAATCTACCAGTCCTCTCAAATTAAACTGCAGATATGATATCTTCATCACTCACATTATCTGAGGATGCCTTATCCCCAAATACCTACATGAATTTCCAATCTTATTTCTTCATTTTTAATTTATATATATAAACTTTATTTTATCACTGTTCTATTCTTCCTAATTTAAAATTCATTATTAACTATCACGTTATTTCTATCTATTTTTTTCAACTTAAACTTTATTCATTCCATTTTTAACTATTCATTATTTTTACCATTCTGAAATCTATTTTTTTTAATTCTTATCAATTCTGAAGATAACATTAAACAATCTTATCATATAATATATAATTATTAACTATGTAGCTATCATTTATATAATCAAAATTAATATATTTTATTCTTATAATGCAAGAGAGAACATGTTTTAATTTATTATACAAAATATTAATCATTTTACANCTTGAAAATATATATTTTCCATTTCGACTAAAACAGGCATCTGAAATAGATGTAACTATTTCAGTAAAGAAATTCTTTTTTGATGGATCCTCTGTTTCTGCCATTGTAATAGCTGTATTATCACATATTCCTGATTTTCTCATATCACATAATTTAATTATTCCTTTGCTAGTTGTATATAAAAATTAATTATCCAATGTCGGATGAAATGTTGAAGATGTTATTACTTCACTTAATTCATCTAAATTCTCAGGTTTGAGATCTACTGCTACAAATGCTTTTGATGGTTATTCTACACTCCATAAATATACTTTTAAATCATCTGATGTTAAAACAAATTCTTCATTATTTGATGCTGTTAATGAATTTATATGATAATTATGCAAATTTGGAAATACTTTTCTTACACTTTATAATTAATAATTATTTTTTTTACCTTGGAATCAATCCACTTTCAACAACTTATAATTTAGGCATTGCTAAATCTTTTCCACTCTATTTGATAACCTTAGTTACGTTTTTTTCACTGATCTTCCACAACTTCACCGTTTTATCATTTGTTGTCAATACATACATATTCTTCCCTTATGATCTTAACCACTAAATTTGATTTATCTTCTCTTCTATATCAGTACTCTTTAAAAAATCAAATTCCCTTGTATGTGATTATAATTCTGTCAAATATCTAATTTATCATCTAAATTCATACTAATATTCAGCCTTATCTTTCTTCTTACTTTATGGTACCTCAAATACTATTAATCGCCCAGCCCTGTCTCCTAATCCTAAAAATCTACCAGTCCTCTCAAATTAAACTGCAGATATGATATCTTCATCACTCACATTATCTGAGGATGCCTTATCCCCAAATACCTACATGAATTTCCAATCTTATTTCTTCATTTTTAATTTATATATATAAACTTTATTTTATCACTGTTCTATTCTTCCTAATTTAAAATTCATTATTAACTATCACGTTATTTCTATCTATTTTTTTCAACTTAAACTTTATTCATTCCATTTTTAACTATTCATTATTTTTACCATTCTGAAATCTATTTTTTTTAATTCTTATCAATTCTGAAGATAACATTAAACAATCTTATCATATAATATATAATTATTAACTATGTAGCTATCATTTATATAATCAAAATTAATATATTTTATTCTTATAATGCAAGAGAGAACATGTTTTAATTTATTATACAAAATATTAATCATTTTACATTAAAATTTCTATTCATTTGACCTATATGTTCATAAATATTCACTACACTTAAGTAGATACTCTTTAGTAATATCTATTTCCAAAATAGAGCAAAAAAACTATCAAAAAAATTGCAATTAGGGGTAGAATTAATAATAAAAATAAATTATTTACGGCATAAAAATATAACCCAATTAATATGGAAATTAAGCTAGATGTTATTTCCATTCTAACTATCAAAATTTTTGTGTTAACTTAAATTGTGGAAATTAGAATTTAATTTAATAAAAAGAGTTTGTATAATTAAAATCGTAATAATATCACTAATATGATAGTAAATAAATGATGCTTATCTTTTACACAATTTAAAATTTAAAACTGTATTCAGACATTCTAATAAAGGATGAAGCTCATTTAAAAAGAAATACTTTATTTATATAGAATTAGTGAAATTTGACTTTTTTATGTTCAAATATCCATAATATTAATCACCATTTTTCTCTATGTATACTCTATTTTAAAAGAAATTAATACAAACTTTAAAGAGAAAAATTTTATTTTAGTTCTTAAAACATTTATCAGAAATATGTGAATCAATTTGAGTGACTTTTTATATAATGTTTCTTTTTACGAAACCTCTTAAAGCTTTAAGCACACCAATATCAAATAAAATAGATAAATTTATTTATTCATCAAATTTAAATTTTAGCATTAATGTTAACTTAATAATCAATTTTTAGTTGTTTTATAAAATTGGATGGATTTGTTGAAATTCTTTAGTTTTCCATTTATAAAATTTTATATAAAATATATTCTTTCCTTGAAAGATAATAATAATATTTAGATTTTACTGTTGAATTCTAAGTTGTATGTAAAATTTTTTATTTATATTAAAAATATTTAAAGTAAATAAGATTTTTGATTCTTTTCTTGAATCTCCAAATTTAAATAAGGTTTAAATTTAAAATATTATTAATCTTATAATTAATATTAAAAGAAAAAGAGTTTTAAAAGAAAACTTTTAAATTGTTTTAATATGAATATTTGTTTTGAAATAATATTAAATATTTATATATCGTAATGGAAACAATATATCAATGTAAATATAGATTGATACTAGAATGAGACTTAAGAGTTTGCGATATCTTTGCTTAGTCCCCTAGCCTTGGAATGAATCACAAATCTACTTATTAATCATCATTTGGTGGTTTTACTTCAATAGCAACAATCTTTCTTGTGTTTATATTTTTTTCAACCAATTTTATCGATTATTTGGCTGGAAAAAATATAATAACTAAGCAAACGTAAGTTTATGATAACAACCTTTCGAATCTGTAATTAGATGACTAAGATTTTATGATGGCATTAGGAATTGAACAAAATAACTTTATAAATCAAGCATATTTTACAATAAATTTATAGTAGAGGTACTAAATTAGAAGATTATGTAGAGAGTATCAAAGACTTCCTAATGGTACATTTATAAAAAAAATTACATAACTTCCTTTAGTTCCATGTACTTTAGAGCGTTTCTAGTCAATTTATTAGCGCTATGGAAAAAATTTTACAGAAGACTTTGATAGACTTTAACTAAAGAACTTGTTTTGTCCTTAGTATTTATAATTAATATGATATAGAAATTAAGTAAGAATGAATATTGGAGGAACATTTACATGTAACAAAGTGTTATTATTTAAGCTAATAATTTTAACTTTCTTAAAATCGAAGTTACTCCTTGCAAATAAAGTACATAAACAGATAATAATTGTGCATCAGATGATGATATAAAAGAATAGTTAAAAGAGAATGGAAATTTCAAAGTATAGGTATATCTAATAAATAAAGTAAATTGTTAATTATCAATTAAAAATAGGTAATCAATCCTAATAAAATTGGATCTGATTACATATCTGTATACTTAGATGATCAAAGTTACCTAACTTTTGTTCCAAAATAAATAAACAAATATGCAAACATATACTTCAGATAATATTAGTTCTAAAATAGTTTCGATTTTTATCCATTTAAGTATGAACATCATTGTGAATTTGAAGTGAGGATCAAAATTTGAATTTCATATCAATAGATAATACAGAGACCAAAGAAATAACTGATTTAGGAAGAGATTCTGATACTATTTATGCAGCATTCTATATTCGTAAAAGTCCGATTACAATTTTGGTTGAAAGAAAGAATTAAAGTATAACTGATTTGCTATCTAAATTGGGTGGTTTACTATAGATATCTTTAATTGTTATGGGATTCATAATAACAGCGTATAATAAAATAACAAGTTAGTGTTTGTTATAAATTACGTAGTGCTTGTTGAATTATCAAATAAGATTTATGAGTTTAGTCCTGATATTGAAGAGTAGAATAAATAGCATTAATAAAATCTAAAACTTATAGATAATGCTTATGAAGATAAATAATTCAGACAAGAATATTATGTAAATAGGGAAGGCTAATAACAACAAGTTCCTAATAGTGAAATCAAACATAAAAGCAAAATTCTACGTCTTTTTGGAAAAAGTTAGCCTGATAAACATATTATGTTGATCGATCGACCAACAACTGAAAATAATGAGTATGCAAATTAAGGTTAAAATGAAAATGAAGATAAGAGTAATTAAATTACATAGTAGGCAATAAAGGATCACAATATTTTAGCTTAAAAGCTTAATTGTATAAGTGGATTAGATTACTTCAAAAAGTAAATTAATCTTATCTTAAATCGATCGTAACCATTGAGGTTTAATTTTAAGATATTTTTAAATCAATTGTGTTTGAGAAAGGCCTTCTCAAATTCACTTTCGGTTCTATTTTATAATTAAGCAGTGTATAAATTTTCATTTAATAAAAGTGACAAAATAAATGAATAATTAGATGTTTTTAACATTTTGACAAAAATGAGTGAAATAGATAAATTAAAAGATATTCTTCTAACAAATTCTTAATAATTACTATTTGATTTTGCATCAAAACCAATTATTTCAATGATGGAGGAAAAAGAAATGCCTTTTTCTAGAACTTTTTTGGAAGAGAGAGCTAGAAGCACGTAAATATTTAATAATAATAATAATAAAGAAACGGGACTATTAAAAAAAAAAGAACCCGAAAAAGTTAGATAGTTTAATAAAATTAAAAATCCTTCTTTCGAAGTTAAAGTCTAGATCGAGACAACAGAATATATAATAGAATCTATAGAGTAATTTAACAAATAAAATAGGCATATGATTTGATATTATAATAAAGTGCTGATTAGCATCCTTAACATGAAGTAAATAGAAAATTGATCAAGAAATTAGGAGATGAAATGTAAGCCATTTTTAAATTGTCTAAATTACTTGATTTTGATGGAATCAGAAGATTGAGAGCTAATTCAAATATTGATTAAATTTGTAGGAATACTTAAAATGCTCCTGAAGAGATAATGAGCAAGTGATTGATCTTTAATTTTATAATATTAAAAAACATAACTAAAATCATGAAGTTATCTTAAATTTAAGATTAAAAAGTTTAGATGAATTTTGCTAAATTCTATTATATTTCTTTTTTATAAATAAATAAGCTGATTATTTTTAATAATCAATTTTTATGATAAAAGTATAAAAAGAATTGTATCACCTCATAAATTTAAAGATGTAGTCTAATCAATATTATCAAAAAAATTCCATTTCATAAATGTTTTTAAAATATAGTATAATTTTAATATGTATGGTAAATGAATATGAATATAATATAATAATGCATGTTAATTTAAAAATTAAAGTGGCCAGGTTAATTTGAAATTAGATAATAAATAAAGGTTTCACCTTTTTAAATTTAATGATGATATAAAAGTTATATAAGAAAATACTATATAGTTGTTTTATGGTTAACCAAATAAAATATACACAATTATAATCTTAGTTCTAATAGATTCTAATTCACTTTCTATTGATTTTTTAGAAAATGTTGGTATTTAGTGCTAAAAAGGATGAATATTTCAAAATCAAGCAAGGAAACGATCAAATAAAATTAGATCTTTACAATTAAATTGTTTCGCGATCATTTTAAAATGAGAGAAAAGATATATTAATGAATAATAACTTTGTAAATAAATATTTTGGAAGTTGAATGAATAATTGAAAGGTTATAGAAACAATTTGTAATAATAAATAACTCTATTATGTTTCAGAAGAACCATCAAGACATTTTTATTGAGCAGATAGTTAAGACTTTTGAAACAATTTAAAAGATTCCTTATTTATTGTAATAAATGAATAGATTTCTAAAAATAATTAAATATTATGATGAGATATTAAAATATAGAGATAATATATATTAAAATAAATAATTGATTCAAAAATTTGGACCTTGTTTATAAATAGTTTTCAAATAGTTAAGATTGATAGATAGTCAAGCTAAAATTGATAATAAAGAGGAATTCTTACAAGGATAAGATTTTGATGTAAAAATATTTTATTATAATAGGGAAAATAGTTTAAAAATAAATAATTTATATATTAATCATTATTAAAATATCTATGGAACAGGTTTACCGCTAGTGATTTTACAACCAGCACAATGAAGTAAGGCTACTGCAGGATAAATAGGTCCTTATTTTAATCTTTCATCTTTATAAGCACATCCCATAAATTCTCCATTCAAACTAAACATTAAAGTACCTTAGTTCATATTTAAACAGATTCCTAAAGTACCTTCTTTTTTAAATCTCTTACCAAATGATGGACCAGTTGCATTACTATTATGTCTTAACTATTTTATATAATTAAAATAAATACTTATGCTAATCCATAATATGCCCAACCATATTCAAAATCACAAAAGGCTGAATTATAATTGAAATCTCTTTGTGTAGTTACACCTATTTTTAATTCATTTTCAGTTCTATCATCTGCTTCAATTTCCCAATATACAATACCAGATTCAAAACCAAAATTAGCTATAATTGTTCTAAACATGTAGGCTTATTCCTTTAAAAAAACCTTTTAATCTCCATCTGTAAGTTCCATACCTGCTCCCATTCTATTTCTATCCCATTTTATAGATTAATTTTATATTATAGGTGCAGATGAATTTACAATCTGTAAAACTCTATCAATTTGATAATTATCTGGTCTTTATCCATTTGTTTATACAAATTATTTTATATGCCAATAAATTTCAGATTTTGACTTGTCATTTTTCACTTGACTAAATAATAAACAGACAGAATCACAAACCTTTGCTATTTAATTATGATAGAATACTTTCTCATTATTTTCTATTAATAAATTATTTCCACATTAATCATAATTTTTACATTTTATCGATTTGCAACCAATTTCATGATTTTCAAATTAATTTATTTTTATTCCTTTTAAACAATTAGAACCTTTAAATATTATTTGTAAAATTACATTTTAATTCTAGATCATCATAAATTTTTTTCAAAGCCCTTGATATAGGATTTATTGATAGCTTTTAAGGACAACGAAATATACATTCACCACTAAGAAATTAATAAAATCACATTACCCAGATTTTTTTAACCAATTATCAATACAATATCCACAAAAAATTCCCCCACATTAATTACATTCTTTAGGATTACGAGCAACACATGAACAAATTGCACAGTCAAAAGAATCTGAATTGTAATTTATAAATTTAGATCGATCATAGCCTTCTTCACTGTTCATGCTTCACTTATTTTGTTGAAATATAATTATAAATAAATAATGTCTAATATTAAATAATTTATTAATTCATATATCATTAAAATATCTATCAAATCATACTCTTTCTGTATATTTTAGTATATTAAATTATAACTTTTCACATATAATCAGTATATTAATAAAAAATACTCATTTTCTTTTTAAATTTTTATGTTTATTATCTAAAAATTCTTAATAATTCCAAATAATGTTTAATCTCAAAATAATGAGATTAAGCTTGAATCAAATGTTTCAATTACCTTATGAAATATACATTAATGAAGTAATTTAAAATGTCTCAATTTTTAATGATAACATTTAAAATCTAATAGAAATAAAAATTTAATGTATTATTTTTTAAATAAAATCATTAAAAAAAAAATATTCTTGAATTATAAATCATCAATAGATATTATCTCAGATAATATTTTACTTAATAGCTTTTTGGACATTATTAACTAAAACTTTTGTTGGGAGAAAGAATCAAAATTTTTTTTATCTGATTTACTCCTTCTATTTTAATTTTTAAATATTTAATGAAGTATCCTAAGCGAATATAATTTTTAGTTATTAATTTATTTATAAAGTATGTTTAATATTGAATTTGATTAAGATGTTGAATTAAGAGCTGTCTAAAATGAAGATTTTGAATAATAATATCTTGATAATTGTTTAAGGGAATCTAGAAAAGAGCCGAATACAACTTACCCTCACATAAGCAGATCAATTAGTTCAAAAAGTATTGAAGCTGAATATCTTCATAAAACCCCGGATACACCATTCGATGAGGTTGTTACTTCTGCTTAAAGTTTTGAACTTCTTGGTCGCAAGATTGTTTAACAATAAGATAGAAGAGGTAGTATTCCTAGTGCAGGAACAAGTTTGATGTGTAGTTTTTATATTAGAAGATTCATCGAAAAAATCTCTTCAAGTCGAAAAAGAATATTAAATATGAATGAAACTCATTTTAATTTAATAGAAGATAGAGCAGCTGATATGTATATTTTATTTTAATGTAGGTAAAATTTATTTAATTACTAACATCAATGTAAAAAACAAGGATCTTCCTCTGGAAGAATGAGAGCCTTTTTAAGGAAAGATACTGGTTTAAGGAATCAAACTCTTATAGAATAAATAAAAGCAAGATTAAAAATAATGAAGAAAAACATTTTAGACATCATTACTACTGTAGTCAATAAAATTCCTATCATTTAACCTGAATCACGTTTTAAGATGATTTGGGACTTCTTTGCTTCTTTTTTTAGAATTATTTTAGTCTTGCTTATCCCTTTAGAAATAGCATTCAATCCTGGTATATTATTTTTAAATTATATTTATTTGACTGCTCTAATAATTGTAATATTATAAATTGACTTTCTAATAAGAATTAACACATTATAATATAGAAATGGAGCTGCAATTTAAAATAGGTGGGATTTATTAATTCATTAATTAAAATAAGAATTTATGACTGATTTTTCAACTTCATCTGTACTTATAATTTTTATGATTGAACCTGAACTCAATAACAATATAAATTTATTTTTGCTTGTTGTATTAGCATAATATAGATATATTTATGAGACATTTGCAAAGAGTGATTAAATTTCTTATTTAACAAGACCATTAAGAGGAGTTATAAGTTTAATTAAATTGGTATTAACATTATTGTTTATACTCCATCTTTTTAGTTGTATATGGTTTTGGTTTAGTTAAATAAGTTTAGATGATTCTTGGATAAAATTTAATGGTTTAGATTTAAAAGCATGGGAGTTGCAATATTTAGAATCATTATATTTTGCTGTAGTTACAATGTTAACTATTGGTTATGGAGATAATGTTCCTAAAAATTCAATAGAAAAAATGGTGACAATAATGTTTATTTTATGGGCATGTAAGATTTCTCATTAAATTTTAGGTTTATGGCTTTCTTATAGTGTAAATTTTATAGGTGGAATCATTGATGATATTACTTAGAACTAGATAGAAAGAAATAGAAAAATGAGAGTTATTAATAAATATATGGATCAAAGAAAAATTCCATTTAATATGAAACATAAGTAAATATTATATTAAATTGTTTTAGAATAAAAGAGTACTTAACATTTAGATGGAAAGAAGATGATGAAGTTGATTTAGAAATTGAATAAACTCTATTAGAATAATTATCAGATGAACTCAAGGAAGAATTAGATAAGGAAGTTCACAAAATCTTCATTAAAAAATCAGCTTTTCTTTAAAATTTTGGCGAAGATTTAAAGGATGCCCTATCAAAATCTATTAAAAGAAAAATCATTCCTCCATAAAATACATTTTCAATTGATTTTGATGGCTAAATGCATTTATGTTTTGTAGAATAAGGAATTCTGCTTTATTAACATCCTGATAGAAAACAGAGATCAAAAATGAATTCATAAATTAAATAAGAATAATTCTTTTGTGTTAGAGAATTCATTATTTAAAGTCCTAATATTGAATATTTTAAATCAAATGGTTATGTAAGTTTACTAATACTTTCTAAAAAGGAATTTTTAGATACAATAAAGAATTATCCTGAGGATTATCAAAAGTTTTGTGAAATAAGAGAATAAATGAATTTAAATATGTATCCTCCTTAAATAGAAAATGGAGTATTTTGTCCAGCTTGTCTTTAATTTAATCATAATTTAAAAAGCTGCCCATAAATTCAATACACACCTGATAAAGAAGTTATTTTAAAAAGATATTTATTAACAAAAGAATAGAAACGGAAATATAAATAGAGAAATAATTCTAAAAGATTTTAAAGTGAGTAAACCATAAAAAATGCAAGATCAGAAAAGGATTTGATTTAGTAATTTGCATAAGTATTTTAATCTGAAAATATTTAATTAATTTAAGAATAATAAAAGATTCAATTAATTTATGAATAAGAATCAATGACTTCAAGTGCAGATGTTAGTCCTTGTTTTAAAGTTTAAAATGATGGTAGATTTTAAGCAGCTGTTTAAAAATCAAAAAAAATAATAAATGATTAACAACCCTAAGGAATTAATACTTCTAAACTTGTAGATGTTAGAGCAAATCTTCATTAAGCATTGTAAAATAGAAAATAATCAATATTTAATTTAAATATCTCATCAGGTATAGGAAGAAGTCCAAAAGGCATGATTATCTACTAAGAAGATTATATAAAAGAAGGTAATGAAAGTGATGAGAATAGCGATAGTAATGATGAAAGTTAAAAATCAGAAAAAAAATACGATAAAAAATTAATTACAATAACAGATTTTAATGATAATATGATAGAAAACATAACTAATTTATATCATTAGCTCTAAAGAGAATTAGAACTTAATGAAAATGATCAAACTATTTAAAAGGCTTACTGTTAAATTGAACCTCTTTATTGGTAATTTAATCAACAAAGATTGTACGATTTTGAAGTCATGGCTTCATATGAGAGTTTCTTTAAAAATGGAAACTTTAATGAAATCATTAAAAATAATAATCAAAATCATTTCGATTGGCAACTATAATTTCTTCAAAAATTACAAAAATATATGCTTTATCCATTTATTTTTATTTAAAAATACTTAAATAAGAAAAGAAATCTTATAAATCTATAATAAATTAAGCATAATCCATTCAAAAGATTAAATAGTAGACTAAAAACTTTAAAAAATAGTTTGAAACTAAAAAAAAAAACAGTATTACTTAAACCAATTTAAAAACTTGGGTAAGTCGTACCAGAAATATGATTTCTAATTTTGAATTTAATAATTAATTGATTTTATTATGTAATTCTAAAAATTTTATTTACAATTTCATCAAATGGCAGATTTTAATTTAACTTACTATCATTTTTCTGTGAAAATTAAAGCTTATAATGTAATAGATGATTTTTTAATTAAATTCATTTAATTTTAATGAAAAATCTCAAACCAGAAGATAATTATAGTAACAGTTTAGATAGAGAATTAAGAGCTGAACAAAATGAAGACTTTGAACAATAATATTTAGAATTTTGTTTAAAGGAATCACGACCTAGTAGTATTTTTTAGAATGCAATGTTTTCATTGAGTAGAACAGATAAAACACCAGATATCACATATACACCAAAACCAGAAAATGATTTTCTTTAAAATGATGTTATTTCATTATCTGAGATGCAGACTTAAATTAATAAAACATCAAAAGATACTGGTTCTAGTCTTATGGCTTTTTTTTTCATTAGAAGGTTTTTAGAGAAAGTTGGATAAAAAAGACGATAGTTAGAAACTCTAAATTGGAGTATTTTAAATTTAATAAGTGATAAAGCATCTGAAAAGTATAATTTTCAATAATTATAGTACAAATGTGATGGCCTATGCCAAGTAATTTTAGCGTAAGGAACTTTCTTTTTTATCAGTATAAAGAATATTAACTTAATAAATTATTAAAAAACGAACTCTTGAGAAATTGAAAGAAACTCTTCACTATATGTAAAGGTAAGCTTTTAAATATTTCTTATTGACTCTTTCTTTTATACCATTAATTTAACCAGAGAGTATATTTAAGATGTATTGGGATTTTTTTGTCACATTTATTAGAGGAATACTGGTATGTTTAGTACCTTTAGAAATATCTTTTAATTCTTAAATTTTATTATCTGAAGATAGAATTTTTTCAATGTTGATATTTATTGTTTTGTGGTTGGATTATTTTATTAATATTAATACAATAACTTATAAATCTGGCAAAGCATTAGTAGATCATTGGGAAATTATCAAAGCTTAAACAAATAACTCAATATTAATTGATCAAAGTATAACCTTTATATTAATAATTAACATTTATTTACCTTCAGGAAATTATGATTTAATTTTGATTCTTCTTTTAGGTTAATTGAAACACATCTATGATACATTTTTAAAAGTAGATTAGATATCGTATCTTACTAGACCTTTGAGAGGAAGAATAAGTTTAGTAAAATTTTTGGTATCATTAATATATGTAGCTCATTTATTTAGTTGTATATGGTTTTGGTTCAGCAGTATAGATTAAAATGATTCTTGGATAATTACAAAAAGATTAGGAAATCTTAAATGGCCATCTCAATATTTAGAAGCATTTTATTTTGCAATAGTAACAATGTTAACTATTGGTTATGGAGATAATGTACCATAAAATTAAATAGAAAAAATAGTTACAATAATATTTATTCTTTGTGCATGTTTGTGGTTCTCTTATAGTGTAAACTTTATTGGTGGTATAATTGATGATATTACTCAAAATTAAGTTGAAAGAAATAAAAAAATGAGGGTTATAAATAAATATATGAGAGAAAGAGAGATTCCATTTGCTTTATAATATTAGTAAATGAAATAATTAACTAAATAATAGAATTAAAGAATACCTGACATATCGTTGGAAAGAAGATGATGAAATAGATTTGGAAATGGAGTAAACATTACTTGGATAATTATCAGATGAATTAAAAGAAGAATTAGATAAATAAGCTTATAAAATGTTTATATTGAAATGTGAATTTTTATAGAAATTTTTTAGTCTTGAATTTCGAAATGCTCTTTTTAAGTCAATTAAAAGAAAGATCATTCAACCTTAAAATACATTTTCAATTGAATTTAATGGAGAACATCATTTATGTTATATAGAATAAGGAACATTATTATATCAACATGTAGATGGAAAACAACGATCTAAAATTAATTCTCATATTGATCATGGAAGATTTATATGTGTGAAAGAATTTCTATTAAATAGTTAAGAAAGAGAATTATTTAAAGCTGCTGGATATGTTAGTTTATTGATATTATCAAAGTAAGATTTTTTAGAAACCTTAAAAGATTTCCCTGAAGATTTTTAAAAATATTGTTAATTAAGAGATTAATTAACACTTAATTTAGATTAAGAACTTATTAAAGAAGGATAATTTTGTCCTGTCTGTAATAAAATTGATCATCAATTAAATAAATGTCCTTAAGTATAATTGATTCCAAATAAAGAAATAGTAATTAAGAGACACAACTTTCATCATACTTAAGAAAGAAGACATCATAAAAGAAGATTTATTGATAAACCAATTATGACAAGAGCAGAAATGCTTTTTGTTTAAGAATGTGCTAGAATATTTGCTTAGGATAATCCTCAATTTATTTAAAATTAATAAAAGTGTTAACATATAGTTGAATAAGAACTAGAACCTAATATAATATTTATTGCAACTGAAGAATAACCTTCTGTTAAAGTATTTCCTGTATCTGAAGAATTTCTTGTTACTTCTGGTCATCAAGCAGCTAAAAGATGTATTGATTTAGAAATCTAATCTGATATTAGAATTGATAAACAAAATAAACCTTAATAAAAGTATAATTCAAAAAGAATTTATAAAGTTGGATCTATATATGATCATTAATTCTTAAGATAAAATACAAAAAGTCCTTCTCTTCTATCCAGTTTAAATGAACCATCTATTGAATAAAATAATAATGAAGCTTTTATTAATAATGAAGTTGATGCTTTTAGAAAATAAATTAAAGATTTTTAATAAATGCATGCTGAAAATATCAAAATAGTTTATCATCAATTATAAAAATTTAGTGATGATCCTTAACTTACTAAATAAGTAAAAGAAATCACTTATCTTTATATACAGCAATATAATCAATCTGAACCTAATTTAGATTTAATATATAATTATGATTTCTATTTTCCATCTCACAATATCACTTCAATTATTGAGTAAATTAATAAAAACAAATAAAGCTGGCAACAATTAATTTTAAATAGATTTTAAGTTTATATGCTTTATCCCTTTTAATTTATACTCAAATTTATGAAATACAAAAGAACTAAAAATTATGTTTCAATTATAAATAAATTTGAAAATATTTAAAGGGTAAAACGTAAAATTATGTTTCTAAGAGCTCCGTAAAGTCAAATTAAAAGAAATAAAGTGTTGCCAGAAGTTTAAGTTAAAAATAGTAAATTGTAAAAAAAAATATGAAATTTTTCTACATTTTTTTTAATATATTTATAATTTCATTTCAATAAAATTGAATTGATTCATAGAAATATGTTTTTTATTTAAAAAAATAAATTTTTCTACATATCATCTTCTAAGTTAATTTATAAAGATTCTAAATTTGTCTAAAATAGAGTTTTTTATTCTTTCTTTGAAAAAATTATAACATATTTTTTGAGAAAAATTTACAAACCTTGAAGGATAAAAAAAATGACTTAATAATAAAAATTATAAAATAACTAAGAAAGCTTATGTTATAGGAAATTAAGAAAATATTTATTAATGTAAATATGATGATATATTTAAATAAGATTATAAAAATAAAGATGTAGAAATGTAAATAAAAACAATATAGATTTGATTAAGTAATTTTATATAAAAAAATAAATATGATAGTTTATTTAAGATCTCATATGAGATAAGAATCAAAAGTGAATTATTAATGATTTATAAATATATAAAGAAAATAAAAGAAAAAATTATAAATAAAAATGAATACAACAATTAAATAACTATTTCAAAGAGATTAGCGATAATTGGATAAGGAATACTAAAATAAGTTGTAAATAGCTAAATATACAAATCTATCTGATATTGAAAAGAGCAATTTTATATAATGTTCAAGTATTTTAGTTTTTAGAGTGTATGTTTAGGTCTAAAAAATTTATGCTTTTTGTTTAATGGAAATAAATAACAAGAATTTGATAACAATAGGATTGAATTTCACATTATAAATTTCTTAGATAATAAAATAAATCAAAAGTATTTAATTACAATATTATTAGTTCTTATAATATCGTTTATATAGTAGCATAAAAACAAGGAGATAAGGAATTGATTAGATTTTAAAAAATAATAAAATAATTTCCTAGCAAATATATTACTCATTTAATATAGTTTTACATATATTAAGCAAGTTGGAAGATCAAAACAAAATTATGGATAAATCATTTTAAGTTAGGAAATTTATTATGGAAAAAAACTAAATGTATTGATGAGTATGCTTAAATTTATTTTAAGAATAGAAGATCTAATAAAAATTCCTAATTTTTAAGTCAGTTGGATTAATTTGGAGCTAAAACAAATTTCATTTAGAGAATAAAATGAGACAAATCAATTAATTTAATAATAGATAAGACCTTTTGGTTTAAACTTGATAAATTAAAAATTAAATCAATTTGGAATTCCAATAATAGTTGATTGTCTGCTATCTTATTTTTTAGTAAATCCTGACAGATTCTTAAGACCTCATATTTTTAGAAAATAAGGTTCAATAGACGAAGAGGAATAATTATATACATTATTAAATAATTAGAATTATGAATGTTTGAATGTTGTAGAGGATGTACGAATAGTATGCAGTATGATTAAGCGATTTTTTATTGAGTTACCAGATCCTTTAATTCCATAAGACATTTTAAAACTTATATATACTTAATTATAATGTAAGTTGCTATTAAAAAATAATTAGAAGTAACATCTTAAACAGAGATTATATTATTAGAGGAGGTTTTTGGAAAATTATCTAGATTAAATAGAATATTATTGAAAATGATGATAAGTTTTCTTTAATGTGTTGGAAATAATTCTGAATTTAATTATATGAATGTGAATAATTTGGCAATAATATTTGCTCCTTGTTTTATGAGGATATAAACAAATGATATTTCATCATAAGAATAAATTTAATAATCTGTGAGATTTTTAAAAATTTTGTTTGATAATTTTGATAAGTTGTTTCCAAATTTTACCTTTAAATAATTTTTGCAATAAAAATAAAATTAGTTTTGCTTATCAACAAATAGCAACAGTTCAACAGGTACAGAAAATATGTTTAAAAATCAAATTGTGTTATCATAAGAAGATGATATAATTTTTTAATTCTAATAAAAGTAGCAATGATTTTATGATAAATAATAAAATATACAACTTTTAAATTCATTTATTATTTGTTTATTTTTAAAATAAAATAAAATTTCAAAAAAAACTTAAGGTCATACCAGGACTCGAACCTGGGTCACTGGATTCAAAGTCCAAGGTGCTAACCACTACACCATACGACCTAAGCTAATGAATAAAAGTTAAGAATATTTATAACACGTATGCTATAAATAAAAATTACATCTAGCCGCGCTTTAAATAATATTTTAAATCAAATGATCTATGTGAAAAGATTAGTTGAGAAAGCAATCCTACCAAAAAAGGGGTCATTAAAAGCAGCTGGCTATGATTTATTTAGTGCTGAAGATACTATTGTTCCAGCAAAAGGAAAATAAGTAATAAAGACTGGTATATCAATGGCTTTAATTGAAGGCACTTATGGTAGAATAGGTATGTTTAATCTTTATAGTTATAGCTCCTCGTTCAGGATTAGCAGCTAAGAATTTTATAGATGTAGGAGCAGGAGTGATTGATGAAGATTATAGAGGAGAAATCTGTGTTTTATTATTTAACTTTGGAGAAAATGATTTTAAAGTTAATTATGGAGATAGGATTGCTTAAATGATTATTGAATATGTTGTACAAACTGATATTTAAGAAACAGATAATCTGACTCAAACTTAAAGAGGAGAAGGAGGTTTTGGATCAACAGGAGTCAAATTAATTTAAAATACAAATAACCAATACTAATAATTAAAGGACAAGTTATCAAATCTTCAGCAATTAAATCATGATTAACCAGAACCTTGGCAAGAATTAACCATCTTAGATTTATATAGTTTATTCTCAAATGGACAAATTAATAGTAAATAAAAGTAGCGATTGGGTGAACTAACAATGAAAGGAGATAAAAAGGTCTATGAATTATTTAAAAAGAATGAAGGAAAAAATGAATAAATCATAATTTAATAGTTACTTAATTTAATTGAAGAATGATGATAATTATATAGTTAAATTATTAATAGTCTAAAATTATTATTAAATACATTTCCGAATTCACTTTTTTATTATTATTGATTTAGAACCATAAAATTTAACAGTTTTGGTTTAGCTTCTTTCTCTTCTAATTAAGTGATTAATTAATTCTAAATTAATTATCAGTTTTAAATATCCTACCTTAGAATTTGATTCTATTTTTTTAATTCATTAATTTAATTATCCTTAAATAGGAATATGTATTCATACTTTTATTTCTTGTTCTAAGTTGATAATTGGTTTTGTGATTTAATTTTCTTTTATTGGCAATTTAAATAATCTAGTTGGTATTAAAAGAGATGAATTTATGGATGATCTAATTTTTTAGTAGGTTTTGTTTAACTTATATTACGAATATTTTCTAAGTATAATTGAATTTAATTTAAATTATCTTAGAAATCTCTATCTTATTGAATTTTCTTTTCAATTTTAATTTATGAGATGCATTATTTGATAATGTCTTATACNGTGCTGAAGATACTATTGTTCCAGCAAAAGGAAAATAAGTAATAAAGACTGGTATATCAATGGCTTTAATTGAAGGCACTTATGGTAGAATAGGTATGTTTAATCTTTATAGTTATAGCTCCTCGTTCAGGATTAGCAGCTAAGAATTTTATAGATGTAGGAGCAGGAGTGATTGATGAAGATTATAGAGGAGAAATCTGTGTTTTATTATTTAACTTTGGAGAAAATGATTTTAAAGTTAATTATGGAGATAGGATTGCTTAAATGATTATTGAATATGTTGTACAAACTGATATTTAAGAAACAGATAATCTGACTCAAACTTAAAGAGGAGAAGGAGGTTTTGGATCAACAGGAGTCAAATTAATTTAAAATACAAATAACCAATACTAATAATTAAAGGACAAGTTATCAAATCTTCAGCAATTAAATCATGATTAACCAGAACCTTGGCAAGAATTAACCATCTTAGATTTATATAGTTTATTCTCAAATGGACAAATTAATAGTAAATAAAAGTAGCGATTGGGTGAACTAACAATGAAAGGAGATAAAAAGGTCTATGAATTATTTAAAAAGAATGAAGGAAAAAATGAATAAATCATAATTTAATAGTTACTTAATTTAATTGAAGAATGATGATAATTATATAGTTAAATTATTAATAGTCTAAAATTATTATTAAATACATTTCCGAATTCACTTTTTTATTATTATTGATTTAGAACCATAAAATTTAACAGTTTTGGTTTAGCTTCTTTCTCTTCTAATTAAGTGATTAATTAATTCTAAATTAATTATCAGTTTTAAATATCCTACCTTAGAATTTGATTCTATTTTTTTAATTCATTAATTTAATTATCCTTAAATAGGAATATGTATTCATACTTTTATTTCTTGTTCTAAGTTGATAATTGGTTTTGTGATTTAATTTTCTTTTATTGGCAATTTAAATAATCTAGTTGGTATTAAAAGAGATGAATTTATGGATGATCTAATTTTTTAGTAGGTTTTGTTTAACTTATATTACGAATATTTTCTAAGTATAATTGAATTTAATTTAAATTATCTTAGAAATCTCTATCTTATTGAATTTTCTTTTCAATTTTAATTTATGAGATGCATTATTTGATAATGTCTTATACATTTATTTTAATTTGTTCATTTTCAGTCTAACATGTTGCATCTTACGAGAGATATTTAGATTAGATTTGATCTTGAGATAAGGTTTATCTAAACATGGGTTATTAATATTTTATGATAGGTTGTTGAGATGTAAATGTAATGGTTTCTTAATTTAGAGAATGTATTCATCCATTTATATTTCGATAGACTCTTGAGGCATAATTTTAATATTCTATTCGTTAAAAATATTTATAAATTTTGTCATATTTCATATACTTCAGAATTGAATATAATTTATACAGAGAGAATAATGATTGATAATTTTAGTTGAATGTTTTAATTGAATTAGTAATTTATAACAATATTTTGTCAATATTATTTATTAAATGATATTGGGGACAGAAGTAAATGAGTTTGTGACTAATCGTCAATAGTCTAAAATACATTATTTGTCTTAGGAGAACAAACTTCTCTAAGATTATATTAGTGATTTAGAGAATGCACTAAAATTAAATAAATAGGCAATGTCATTAGCATTAGATAACAGGAAATGTCAAGTAATAATTTATATTTAATAATTAGTTATAGCAAACAAAAGATGGAAGTACTATTTCAAATGAGTAAAGTTCATTTTCCGATTTGATCAAACATTTGAATGAGGAAAACAAGAAATTGATGGAGGCTTTGACAAAGTAATAAAAAGTGAGTAGTCAGTTGCAAACTAAGATACTTCTACAAGAATAGATAGCTGAAGAATAATCTAATTATTATAAAGATTTGATTAGTGATTTGGAATATAAGTTAATTGAGTTGAAACGCAACATTCACGATAAGGAGTACGCAATCCAAGAGTTAGAACGAATGAAGCCAATTTAAGAAAAAGAAGGATAATTAGTTAAACTGATAGAAGTGGTAACACCTTCAGAATAGAATTTAAAATTACATGAAGAATTAGAAAATGTAAGAGGGGTTTTGCAGAAAATCACAGCTGAAGCTTAAAGCATATCAGAAAGCAATAATGCTTTAAGAGAAGTCAATTATCATTTGAAAAGAGAAATATTTAAAATGAGAATAGTACTGAGAAGTTAAGTGAACTATTAGAATATGAAAGGTAAATATTATTAATATTTCAAGATTTCGTATTTAACGAATATCTTGAGAAAACAGATAATAATCTTGATTTAAACAGGGAGTTATAAAATCATAGAGGAAGACTAGAATAAATGCATTAAGACTTGTATGGTACAAGCAGTTTAGGCTATGGATTTTCTCCTGAACCATAACAATTGAAATATTTGAGCAAAAATGAAAGGATGATTTATCAAGAAAAATTACATAAGATGGAAATGATGGTAAAAGGATTCAAGGAATTGTTTGAGAAAGAAAAAAACAGCAATCTGAATATTAGCAAATTATATAATGAATTAGTTAAGAAGTATGATCAAATTTAAGATACTAATGAATTATTGATCCGTTCTAATCAACTCAAAGATTAAAAAAATGAATAATTGATGGCAGAATTACAATTTTATAAAAAATAGAATCAAAATTTTATGGAACAACTTAAAACTAGAAAATAATTCAATTCTATTACTTTAAATCAAGAATAAGACATAGCTGTTGGTATATTCAGTCCAAGATTTAATTAAAATAATGAGCGAGTCAATACCTAACCATCTTATTTTGTTAGACAATCTTAATAACTATCAAATGCTGATGTGAAACTTGATGATACAGAACCAAAAGAAAATATATCTCTCTAACTAAATAATTCTAATTAAAAGTAACCCTAAAAAGCTGTTCCTTAATTTAAGATGAAGAAACTTTAATTAAAAGAATTATAAATCAATAATGATGAAAATTTTGAATAAGCTCCTTATTGTTAAACTGCAAGAGCTGATTCTAAACCACTTGTTAAAAATTAAATTGAATTCAAGAAAGCCTAATATTATGATATGACTAGAGAAGAATGTGTCAATTTCATTATGTCTATGTCTAGTGAATTCTTCTAACATTTTGATGTATGATATTATCTAAATTTTAGATAAGTAACATAAAAAAAAAATAGTTAATTAAACAAATGGAGGATCCTCTTTCATAAATAAAAAGACCAAAAAGATCTTACAGTAATCCATTTTCTTACTTTTCAAATGAGAGTCAGGTCGCATTTTCGAAACCTCCCAAATAATCAGTTGTTGCTATTGTAATTATTTATCATATTAAACTTAAGACAAAAAATGAAATCTAGCAATTATTAGTTGAATTAACATGCAAAAAAAAATAATAATCTGAACAGTTTGATTTATTCAGTGTTGACGTATCTTAAATTGATGGTAATAAGAACAAGAAATAAATGCTTGATTAAGATATTAGTTTTATTTCAAATATCGATTAACAAGATTGAGTATTCTTTGTTTCTATGTTTGTATGAATAAAAATCATTTTAATATAAATTTTTATCTAAATAAATGTTCAAAAAATAGAAAGTAGGCAAACTAAAATTCCATTTTACATTGATTTAAAATAATACTCTTTTCTCATTCCTTTTTATAGTAAATGAAAAAGAAATATTATGAAGTAATAATAATATTTTATCGGATATTTTTTTTTGAATTAAAGTTTTAGGTCGATAAATTTTGATAAGATTATCAAATATCCAATATTATGAATTGAAATTTTTTGAGATGGTAAAAAAGATTTTAAACAATATGAAAAAGGAATAATCATGGGAAGTTTAGATTTTCTACTTCTTGTAAAAGAATTTCAACAATAAAAAGAGAAAATTAAATTTCGAATTAGAATTTATTTATTCTAGTCAAAATTTCTCTTTAGCAGATTACTCATGTTATTAAGATGATATCCTTTATCATATTTAATAATTAGAACTAATTTTAATTAGAATAATTTGAATTGATTGTTTAAAATAACTAAAGGAAATTTTTTAATCATAAAATCTTCTTTAGAAAGTAAGGTCAACTTTAGTTAATTATAAAGAGAATAAAAGCTGAAGGAATAAATGCTTTGTTGCATGCAGCATTGGACCTTTATTCTATTCATGATGTAGCAAAATAGCAGTAAATAAAAGTAATCATTTTCGAATAGTAGTTTTATGTGATGGAGAAGATAATTTGAATAAACACTATCTTATGAGTAATGAATATGTTTACTAGTCAAAACCATAGATAATTTAATTGGTATCGGTATAATTTAAATTTGAAGCCTAATTATCTTGAAGAATTATAGTATTTATGCTGATGCATTTAAAAAGGATATTTTTATTGAATCTGTATAAATTGAAGATCAAACTATTACATCCTAATGAATCAGCAATCTAATATTTGGAACTTCAAGTATTTATGATGAGGGATTGAATTGATTTATTTCATATTAAATAAAATATGATTATATTAATTATTTCATATTGTTAAGGCACTTACTTAAGTATGCTATTCATTGCTCACTATTATATTATATATAGACAAAAATAGTTTTATATAATGATTTCCCAACCAAAACATGAATTTTAAATAATTTTTAGTAGCTATTGAAAATTTTCTAACAATTTTAAAATCTTTTATATATTTTTATTATAATAAAAACTTGGTGTTAAAAGGAGAGTAATGTAAACCAAGGTATTTTGACTTCTATTGTTGGGAATAGCTATTTTAGTCTAAGATAATCATTTTTAATAGAGAATTGAGTGTTGGAGATGTGTTAAATAAATAATGGATTTTTTGATCAATAATTTCATAATTTATTTGTAGAAAGGATTAATGTGATTAGAGATTGATAAAATTAGTAAGAATCACAATTGAATTTTGTAATCTGAAAATCTTGTAAAATTGTCAACTATATAAATACAATTTTGAAAGAATTAAATTTTATTTAGATAATAAAAATTCTGAAGGATTCTTATAGAATTAAGGATAATATAGGTTGTAAACTGTATAGGAATAAATCTATTATATTATAATAAGAAAATAATTAAGTCAGTATGAAATAAGTAAATAATTTTGGAAGAAGAATAGAAAAATAATAATAAAAAAAGTATCTTATAAAGGCCCATAATTTATAATACACTTTTATAATGTACAATTATAAGTGAAATAAAATCTTTTTAAATGAGTCTAAGTATATTTAGTGCTAAGACAAGTTACTATAAGAATGGTATATGGTGGTTCACAAAAATGGCTGTACGTGTAGTAGGAGAAGAGAGATGGGATTCTATGAGAATGTTTAGAAGAATCTATGCTAACAAATTTTATTATGGAAGATAATAAGTCTTATTTGATATCTTCTATGATTGGCCAGCCTTAGCTAATATGATTGGTATATACCCAAAAGTATGATGATTTTTATAGTTTATAGATTGATACTTCTCATGGATTTCTTCATTGGTCAACTTATGAAGCTTATAGAGATTGGTAAGAACATACATTGAACTCAGATGTAAAAAATAAGTAATTCTTAGGGTGCATTTGCAATGTGGATTTACTTAATGTGTGGAATTTATATTGGACATTTTGTTTATTCATATATGGTTCCTTATTATTGGACGTATCTTATTATGACTATAAAATAGAAATCTATTCCCTGCCAAAAATGAAGAATTCGTTAGACTAAGAATGAAGGATGCTATAGCTTCAACTGTTCATGAAGAATTATTCGGAAATCAATTTGCAGAATTTGGTTGGGCTCCTCATGATTTCCATTATAATAGACGTAGATGCATGGCAGGTTACAGTCATCCTGATGATCCTCGTACTATGCATATGGGCAGTTTTAATAGTAATCTATTTTCAATTATTCAAAAGGAAAACATAAATATAAGGAACACTATATTAAGAGAGTTGGATAGCAAAGTAGAATGACTGATCTATGAAACAAAAATATATAACAATAATAATAATTATCTTTCTTTATTTACTCTACATCTCATCATATTTTTATCTTATAAGCATTCTTTTTTATTCTAATTAATAAGTAACAATATTTTTCATTCTCCTGAAGTTCTTTATTATTATTATTTAATAAAAATATAATCAAGAAATTATTAATTGCCACGTTATAGAAATTGCTAATTACTAAATAACTCATTTCACTTAATCATTTCTATCTAAAATACATTTATAATAACTATTACAATCAAAAAAGAATAAAAAACTTATATTTCCTTTCTTAACTTAATTATAATTTCTATATATAATTTCATTTTTCAAAGAATATTTATTTTAATCTACTTAACCCTTATATTAAAATCTATTATTTCCTAAGTAAAAAATGATATTTGCCAAATTCATAACTATCTAAATCAATTTTTTTAAATTAATTAGACAATTATTTATATCAATCAATATTTAATTTTGTTCAAACTAATACAATAAAAACATCTCATCCATTTAACAAACTATTTTATCTATACCATTTAATCAAATTAGGTATAGTTTAATTACTTTAAAAATCAAATTATAAGAAGAATAAAAAAAATTGAATGAATGAAGATAAATTAATCAAGAAAAATTTTTATCAAAAATATTTAAAAGTTAAATGAAATTGAAGAAGATAATAATGTTTGACCAAAAATTAAAATGAGGAAAAATTAGTTTCCTAACAGAAAATTGATGTTTATTTCAAATGGTTGGAACTATGGTAATAATCAAATAAACTTTGATTCAAAGAATTGATAAATATATGCCGATGAAACTTCATTGGGTATTAATAAGGGACTTCACAACTATTAAATCACATAAATTAATAAGTTCATACAAAGGTAAAATATTTAAAAGTTGTTCTAATTTTATTTATTTTTGCTTTTATTACATTCTATTTATTTTATGAATTAAATACATATAATTGAGCAAATTAAAATTTAATTATATAATTCTATCTCACTTTTTAAGAAAATGTTTAATTTTATAAATTAATCAATAAAATAAATTACAGATGTTTATCAAAAATATTTATTTTTTAAATTATTTTACAGATCAGAAAATTTTCTTTAAATCTATTAAAAACTAAAGATCAAAAAAATTTCAACCAAACAACTTTCAAATGATGATATAATTAAAATTTTAGTCTATTTTCTTAATTATCAATTTATATAAAAATTTGTAATATGTTGAAATTTAAAATTTCCGAATTCATCTATTTATCATTTAAAAAAAAACAACCGTTTTTTAGAGATATTTTAAAAGATTTCCTAAAAAAAAGGGAAAAATGAAATTCAAAATTTAATGTTAAAGATAGAAAGAATACAAAAATTATAGGTTAAAAGAAAGAAAAAATATAACAAAGTTATGAGGATTATAGGTTTGCAAATATATTATTAATACAATAAAAAATAAATAAATTGATTTGGTTGTAAATATTTGCTAATATTAAATTTCATTATATTGAGGTATTTTGATCAAAACGTTGTTCAAATCATACATTCATACTATCTGATTAGATCATATTTCTACTTAATTTTAAAATTATTTGAAGTTGACTTTCATTTATTAATTGTACCACGTTTATTGAAATTAAAAGGACTTACTAAAGATATTACTTTTTTTTAGAATAAAATAAAGAATCTCAAAAATTTTAACCTATTAATAATAATTGAGCTTTCAGTTTTTGATAGAATACTTATGATTATTTTTATTCTTAATTTTAGAAATAATTGTTTTAAATAAAATAATTAATACAATTTAAAGATAATAAAGATCTTTCAAATAAAAGTTAAATGAAAAATAATTGATTCTTAAAATGTATTAAAAGAAGGAGAAAGAGAAATAGATTTAATAAATTAGATTGAAATTTTATTTCTGAAATATAAAATAATTAATAGAGTTAAAATAAAAAATTGAGATAGTTTAAATGATTCTTCCACATAATTTAGATAAGGCAAGTATTAGTTTATTTTAAAATAAAATATTTATTTAATAAAAGAATTCTTATAGATATTTATTAATATAATGTTTATGGTCTTTTTGTTTTTAATTTAAAATAAAGATTTAAAATATTTATCATAATGGCAGAGGTTGAATAATTATCAGAAGAGCTCACAACTTTAAAAAGAGTTGTTTAGACATCATTGCATAGAGGTTAATTATCTAAGGGTGTACATGAAGTATGCAAAGCCATTGAAAGCAAATAAGTTTTAATTTTCATACTATGCATTTATAGGCTAAGTTTGTTGTTTTAGCTGATGATTGCACTGAAGAATCATATAAAAAATTAGTTGTTGCTTTAGCTAAATAATTCTAAATTCCAATCTGGAGAATAGAAAAAGGTGCATTACTTGGTGAATGGATTGGAATTTCTAAGTTTTTGACTAAAACTAAGAAAATCAAATCAAGAAAATGCTCATCTGTTGCAGTTAAAGATTTTGCAATTGAAGTTAGCGAAGCTGAAAAACAATTTATCGAAAATAAAATCAAAGGATTATGAGAATATTTATCTGTACAACATATAAAAAGTATAATAATAATTGATAATTAAAAATACTTCTTATTGTATTTCTATTTAATAGGTTAATAATAGNACAATAAAAAATAAATAAATTGATTTGGTTGTAAATATTTGCTAATATTAAATTTCATTATATTGAGGTATTTTGATCAAAACGTTGTTCAAATCATACATTCATACTATCTGATTAGATCATATTTCTACTTAATTTTAAAATTATTTGAAGTTGACTTTCATTTATTAATTGTACCACGTTTATTGAAATTAAAAGGACTTACTAAAGATATTACTTTTTTTTAGAATAAAATAAAGAATCTCAAAAATTTTAACCTATTAATAATAATTGAGCTTTCAGTTTTTGATAGAATACTTATGATTATTTTTATTCTTAATTTTAGAAATAATTGTTTTAAATAAAATAATTAATACAATTTAAAGATAATAAAGATCTTTCAAATAAAAGTTAAATGAAAAATAATTGATTCTTAAAATGTATTAAAAGAAGGAGAAAGAGAAATAGATTTAATAAATTAGATTGAAATTTTATTTCTGAAATATAAAATAATTAATAGAGTTAAAATAAAAAATTGAGATAGTTTAAATGATTCTTCCACATAATTTAGATAAGGCAAGTATTAGTTTATTTTAAAATAAAATATTTATTTAATAAAAGAATTCTTATAGATATTTATTAATATAATGTTTATGGTCTTTTTGTTTTTAATTTAAAATAAAGATTTAAAATATTTATCATAATGGCAGAGGTTGAATAATTATCAGAAGAGCTCACAACTTTAAAAAGAGTTGTTTAGACATCATTGCATAGAGGTTAATTATCTAAGGGTGTACATGAAGTATGCAAAGCCATTGAAAGCAAATAAGTTTTAATTTTCATACTATGCATTTATAGGCTAAGTTTGTTGTTTTAGCTGATGATTGCACTGAAGAATCATATAAAAAATTAGTTGTTGCTTTAGCTAAATAATTCTAAATTCCAATCTGGAGAATAGAAAAAGGTGCATTACTTGGTGAATGGATTGGAATTTCTAAGTTTTTGACTAAAACTAAGAAAATCAAATCAAGAAAATGCTCATCTGTTGCAGTTAAAGATTTTGCAATTGAAGTTAGCGAAGCTGAAAAACAATTTATCGAAAATAAAATCAAAGGATTATGAGAATATTTATCTGTACAACATATAAAAAGTATAATAATAATTGATAATTAAAAATACTTCTTATTGTATTTCTATTTAATAGGTTAATAATAGATACTCTACATTATTTATATTGATTAATGAATAATACTTTCAGAATAAAACACCCTTCTCTTAGATATTAAGTGGTCTAGCTGAATTTGGATTTGTATATCTTCTAATAAAATCTTACAAAATCAATTCAGAATCTTTAAAATCTGTAGCAGCATGATCATTGGCTTATCTATGAACTCTACACAATGTTTCTTTATAATCTTCATACCACCATACAAATCTCTTGATATCTTTTATATCAATAAAATTCATTAATACCTTCATGTTCCAATAAATATTCATTCTCTCTTACCAATTCCTAAGCTCTTAATTAAACATATTCATCAAACAAATTAACTTTAGTTAATTCAGATTTATATTCAAAGTATATTTTTCCAAATATCACACATTAAACAACAGGAAATAAATATCTAAATGTTCTAAATCTAATGTTTTGTGTAATTACATTGTAATTATAAGCATAAAGGAACTATTATAAATTAATTACATCTTTATACTAAGTTAATTCCAAAAGCAACAGCTTAATATCCAAACTTATTATATTCAATCACTGGATAAGTCATATCATCTTCCCATTCAGCTAAAGTATAATAAACATAATAAATATACGATCTTAAGAACTTAAACAAAAAGCATTGTATGGAATTTTTGGCTATGTCCAACCAGCTGTTTCTATCAACTCAACCATCTTCTTTATAGATCTATATCTCTTCAAACGAGCTTCTCTTTAATAATATTTATCATTTCAAACCTGAAAGGAGGAAGATTTTAGTTTCTCAATCCAAGTAAACTAATGATTGTGAAATAATTATCCATTTAATTTATTATTCAAAATTAACATAAATTTTATGTAATTCTCACATATCATATCTCTATTTTCAAATCAAAATATTATTCTTTTATTCTATACATTTATATGTATATCATGATTGTTGTAAAAATATATACATTAATTTATTTTTAATATGAATATTATATATATTTTTATTTTAGCTATTCTTGGCTATTATTACTTTCATTACTTTCACCTTTATAATTACGAAGTTATATTGATAGGTAAAATCCTATATATCAACACTCAAATTAAAAATAAGTAATTCATACATTAGCTGATTCAAAGTTTTGCTATATGTTTCTCAGCTGATTTACTATTCAGATCAATCATTTTTGAATATTAAGATAAGGACTTACCAAAACTAATCAATTCTATTATAGCTCATTTCCTTATCACAATCTTTTAATGGAAATATGAATTTAGTTTTAAATACGATATATTTTTTAATTTGAGTCAAGCCAAAATACTTACATGGGCATTTAAAAACTAATATTTATATTCACAAGAATAAGATGAAATCAAACTATTTATTCAATTATTGTCAGCCTCAATTTATTAAAATTTGCTTCTTGGATCACAGAAAAATGTTATAACAACATTTATTTCACTTTTATCCAATTATTATTATCAACCATATTTTTACCAATATTAACCTACCAATTATGGTCTAACTGCATATAGAAATAAGCATTATTTATCCTAATTTGTATTTTATAGTATGAAATTATTTTGAGATATCATTATTAAAAATATAAATTATTTGTTATTAATTCCATTTCGATCTTCTATAATTTAAAAATTTTTAGCTATTTGTTAGAAGTGTAATCATATCTAAATTTCTAAAAATTATTATCATTTATGATCATAAATTTTTCACTTTTGATTAGATAAAATAATAGAAAAGTTTTTTTAACAATGAAAAAATACTAAATACATGTATATATAAATGATATAAAAAATAAGTGAAATCTTCAAACAGGATTCTGAATTTTTACGTTTTTTAAAGAAAAGTAGCCTTTCAAAAGATAATTAAGTTTATAATGAGGAAGAAATAGAGTTTTTATCATAATTCATGATTAAGGAGAAAAATCTCAAAGATTTCTTTGACTTTTATTAAAATTTTGAGATGCAAACTTATAATGTTAAAATGAAAATGCTCATTATCACTCAATAGTTTATTCATTCAAACGAAGATTTCTCGAAAATGTTTTCTTCTTTAAGACTAACTAATTTTTTTTTACTCAAACACACTCATAGAAATTATGAAACTTGGTTACTTTTAAATATATAAATTCCATTTATATCTTATTTATAAAAGTTAGCTATCAACTTCAAAGAAATAAAAAGTTACAAAACCTGTATTTTTATAAAACAAAATTGCTTGAAGTAATTATTATATATAATTCTAGCTTAATGATCGATAGTTTTAAAATGGTGAATATTATCAATATGGCTCTTTTTCTTGTGCCTAATTTGCAAACAGCCTTAATAAACTATCCATAAGATCTATTATTATAAAGATTAACATTAAGAATTTATTAAGAAGTTTAAGGATACTAATAGAATTTAATAGATTCTATGGTATCAATATTCAATGATAATCCATAGAATTAAAGTGTTGAATTTTATGAACTTTTAAGAGAAGTAATTATTTAGTATATAATAGATAAAAACTATTGAATAGAAGATGATACTCTTTTATAAATTTCGTAGTCTTTTTGACCAAAAAGAAATTACTAAATCTCCATTGTAGATATTGATATAATTCAAAGATTAGAGTAAATCCCCGATATCATAAAATATTTGTAGAAATTAGAAAAAAAGAGAATATCTTTAATTATCATCAAGAAAAAGATAATCAACAGGTGGAGAAGCTAATACACCAAAGAGTTCAAGGTTTTTCAATTATTTTGAAAATCAATACTCATCTTGTGCACAGCTTTTAATAAAAAATTAGGAAAAGGTGATCAAAGAAGTGTCAGAAACATAGATTGATTAAACTTTATAACCATGAATATTCTTATTAAAATAATTATTATTATTTCTTTATTGAATAAATTTGATTTTTGTTTATATGAATTTGATTGATGCTTATAAATGAGCAGAAATAAGGATACTAAACGTATTTAGAAAATTTGTTTAAGATTTTTTCAATTGAGAAAAATAAATATTTAAGTGTAATCACTATTTCATATAAAAATATGTTGGAGCTAATAAAAAATTTATTTTTCAAAGATCATGTTTAATTTTTGATTTTTCATCTTCGAATTTAACTTCAAGATAATTTTGATTTTATTGAGGTTTATAAGTAATTTACAAAATCTCATGTTAGAAGAAAGAAAAGATTATAAATATTGGCATTTTTTGAAGTTGCTTTGATTTAATTCAGTTTCTATTTCTAAGTTTTAATTAATAATTGATATTATCTTAAAAGTTGTTGTTAATATGGAATTGAGCCAAAATCTGTAAGAAGATGAGCAATATTTAAAAGATTGTTTTAAATTTATGAATAACAAAATACGATTAAGACTCATATAAAATCTATTCTATTTTTTATATAAAATGATATGAATTCATAAGGAATAATTAAACAGGTAGAGAATCTTAAATTTAAAGAAACATAAATTAATTTAACTGATTAAATTTTTCAAAAGATANTAATTATTTAGTATATAATAGATAAAAACTATTGAATAGAAGATGATACTCTTTTATAAATTTCGTAGTCTTTTTGACCAAAAAGAAATTACTAAATCTCCATTGTAGATATTGATATAATTCAAAGATTAGAGTAAATCCCCGATATCATAAAATATTTGTAGAAATTAGAAAAAAAGAGAATATCTTTAATTATCATCAAGAAAAAGATAATCAACAGGTGGAGAAGCTAATACACCAAAGAGTTCAAGGTTTTTCAATTATTTTGAAAATCAATACTCATCTTGTGCACAGCTTTTAATAAAAAATTAGGAAAAGGTGATCAAAGAAGTGTCAGAAACATAGATTGATTAAACTTTATAACCATGAATATTCTTATTAAAATAATTATTATTATTTCTTTATTGAATAAATTTGATTTTTGTTTATATGAATTTGATTGATGCTTATAAATGAGCAGAAATAAGGATACTAAACGTATTTAGAAAATTTGTTTAAGATTTTTTCAATTGAGAAAAATAAATATTTAAGTGTAATCACTATTTCATATAAAAATATGTTGGAGCTAATAAAAAATTTATTTTTCAAAGATCATGTTTAATTTTTGATTTTTCATCTTCGAATTTAACTTCAAGATAATTTTGATTTTATTGAGGTTTATAAGTAATTTACAAAATCTCATGTTAGAAGAAAGAAAAGATTATAAATATTGGCATTTTTTGAAGTTGCTTTGATTTAATTCAGTTTCTATTTCTAAGTTTTAATTAATAATTGATATTATCTTAAAAGTTGTTGTTAATATGGAATTGAGCCAAAATCTGTAAGAAGATGAGCAATATTTAAAAGATTGTTTTAAATTTATGAATAACAAAATACGATTAAGACTCATATAAAATCTATTCTATTTTTTATATAAAATGATATGAATTCATAAGGAATAATTAAACAGGTAGAGAATCTTAAATTTAAAGAAACATAAATTAATTTAACTGATTAAATTTTTCAAAAGATATTGTTTTCATCATTAAATTATTTACTTTTTTAATAATTTGTGAAATTTTAAAAAAGACTTGATGATGATCAAATATATTTTTTTTTAAATTAAAACATAATTAGAAAATTTTATGTAATAATAAAAGAAATTAAGAAAAGCTATAATCCAAACTTTGTCAAAAGTTCAACAAAATGCTACAATAATTTTGATTATTTATAATCTTATTCATATAATTAAATACTTCTCATTAGATTAATCGAGCTTAATATTGAGATTTTAAGTTCATTCATCAAGATCTTTTGTGAATATAATTTTTTAATTATACCAGCAAATTTTGATAATTTTTGAGAAAACTTATAAATTACATAACAAAATAATTTTATAATTGAACACCTATCACCATAATTCTTATCAATAAATTTTAATTTATCATATCCAAAAATATTTTAAATTTTAGATTGGTTTATAGAAATTTTTATTAAATAAACTATTTAATTATTTTAACATTCATTTTAAACTTTACTTTCTCATTTTTTGTTGATAAGGTAAAACGAATTTTTCTAAGATGTTATTCTCTAAAAATTTGATTTCATGTTATGCTATATTTGAATTACAAAAAAATACATTTTCCAGTATATATTATATGGATATCCTTTGATTCCTATCTTCTAGTTTTATCGACTAAATTATATTTAATAAATTGATTTTTGCGAATATTTAGATATTCAACTTTCATGAACAATTTTAATCAATTTAAATGAACCAATTAAGTAATGAAGTAGATAAATATTCTACATTAATTAATCAATCTTAAATTGTAAAAAACTACAAAGAAAATCTTCAAATTTAAAGAAATAGTTTGTACAAATAAGAAATTAATATCTTAAGATGAGATTTGGTTTATAATATAAGGAACAAAATAGCAATTTACAAATAAAACAACAAAATTAAAAATATATATTGACTTCTTTATTTTTCAGAAAATTAGATTAACAATAATATAAATAAAATAATAGGATTATTTTTAAAATAGTTAAATAGTTCGAAATTTCAGATAAATATAAATTTGAATATTAAATTTTTATAAGCTAAACAATCTTAAAAACTGATCAATTATTATTTGATCTTGATTTTGTGTATATTTAGAGTCAGATTTAATTAAATATATATTTTTTAATTGTAAATATTATATTTTTTGTTTAATGTCTTAATTGTTGGATTAAGCTTTACGGCAACAAAAATAAAGGAAGTAAGAATTTTAAATATTAAGAGTCACACAGTTAAAGGAATTTTAAAATTTCGTTAAGACTTTACAATGGCACACTGCGATAACAATAGTGAAGACGCTTCTTTTGAGCCAAATATTTGTTCAAATAGAAAAATCGAATTATAGTTACCAGAAAAATAGTCTTTTAAAGGTGATTGTTTAAGTCCAGATCCTGATTAAGATGAAGAAAGTCGTAGTATGCTAAATGTAGAAACAAAACAAAAAGTAAATTTATGGGTACATGGTGGATTAAGAATAATGTTTTATATAACTAAATTTAGTAAACAAATGAAAACTTATTCAACAGAAGTAAAGTTTAAATCTTTGACCAACAATATTGTAAGTTTGATATCTGATGCTGCCAGTGATGCAGATATTTTATTTTTTTTTTCATAACATTTTTAATAAATTGATTTTTAAATTCAATTTTATAAAATTGAAATTATTTTATTAAATCATCTATATTGCATAAATTAAATAAAGTTGAGCAAGTAATGTAATCTCTTAGGTGGTTTATAAATCAAATTCCTGTACTTGATCCTGATTCTCTAATTAAAGTAATTTGGGATATCTTTGTTTTGACACAGATTATAATTAATATTTTCTATATTCCTATGAAATTAGGATTTGATTTTGAAAGAGAAGATTTATTAACTGGAATATTTTTGGAAAGTTTGCCTTCTTGGACATTTGTAATGGATATAATTTTGACATTTTTCACTGCATACTATAGTTAAGGATAAATTCATAGAGATAAATAATAAATTCTTAAACACTATGCAAATACAACATTGTTTTGGGATTTAATGATAGTAATACCATTTATATTATCATCTTATTCAGTACCTTATACAGAATATATTTTATTACTTAGAGTAACAAAAGTAAAATCCATGATTGAATCTATTGAAGAGGTTACAAATCCATCAAATAATGTGTAAACTATTTTAGAATTATTCAAATCAATATTTTTAGTTTTATTTGTATCACATTTTTGTGCTTGTTTATGGAATTTGATTGGAGAAATAGAAATAGATAAAGGATAAAATTCTTGGTTAAATACTAAAAATATTGTAGAGGCAGAATGGTCTACAAAATATATTCATGCTTTTTATTTTAGTACAATAACTACCTTAACAATTGGTTATGGTGATATAGTTCCATAAACTGATCTTGAAAGAATATATGTAATAATTATGGCAATGGTAATTTGTGGTTTATTTGGTTACACTATTTCTAGTATTGGAAACATACTTAAATAATTAACTGAAAAAGAATAATTATTTAAATAATAGATGATGCATATAAATAACTTTCTTAAAAAAAAATAAATAAATAAATAATTAATGTTATAAGTTAGAAAATATTTTGAATATTTTCTTAAAATGGAATAAGATTATAATGAATTTGGAGAGAAAATGATGAGCAATTTAGATAAAAAATTAAAAGAATAGGTTGCTATAGATATTTATTGTGATATGTTAAAAAAATCAAGACTAATTAAATAAACATTATCTTTAAAAAGTGTTTAAAAATTATGTTCTTTTGTTCATGAAATAAAAGTCCCTCCTGAAGAAATTATTGCATACTAAAATGAATAAGCTAATAAATTAATTTTCCTTTAGAATGGAGAGTTAAGTCTAATATGTATGTCTATCTATCTTAATTTATAGGTGATTAAAAACTTAGAGAAACTATTCTAACTAAAATAGAAAAAGGTAAATTTGTGGGAGAAAAGGAATTTATTACATAAGCACGATATGAATATACAATTAGATCAGTGAAATTTTGTTAAATAGCCTACATTAAGTAATTATCATAAGAATTTATAGTTATGAAGATTTCTTAAGAATTATAAGGGAAGATCCACTTGAAGAAGAAAATTATTGTATGCTTAGAGATTAAATGTTATTTACAGAAGAAAAATAAAATTATGGTGAAGTATGTTATATATGTAAATGGACACATCAATTTAAAAAGTTAAATTATATGTTTAATTAGATGTCCATTAGTTTTTGTCCATTTTAATTAAGATAGAATAAGAAAAAAGTTTATGATATCAGAAGATATGAATAGATTAAAATATGATAGGGATAGGACTAAAAGTAGATTCGAAAGAAATATAATTAGAGAGCATGCTTTAGCATTAATTGTGAATGATAATATAATAGCAATAGATGATTTGACAGATTAATATTTAGATACCCTTGGATTTAATATGGAGAATGGTGAAAATGAAAAATTAATAAAAACAATTAAAAGTTAAAAATCTAGTAAATCTGTTCTTAGAGGTCTTACAGGCTTTGAATAGTTTGATAGTGATTCAGATGGTTCAAATATTTCAGATATTTAATTAAATAAAACTAAAACACCTAAATCATCTAAATTTAATCGTTTATAAAGCATAGAATAAAAAAAAGTTAAATTTTAAGAAATTTCTGAACCTGAACCTAAAATATTAAGAGCATAAAATTCATTTAGAAGAAAAGCAGATAATAGACACAAAACATTTTAAAGATTAACTTAAATCTCAAATAATAGATTTACAAATAGTTCTTTAATTTCATAAGAATAAAATTTTCAAAGTCAATCTGTTTCAGGTTAGAATTCAAGTATGCATAAAATTAAAAAAAATAATACAAGTTCATATTCAAATATAGAAATAGAATTACCTAATAAAACTTAATCAAAATTAGAAATTATTAATTAATTGGATGATGTAATCTTACATAAGTAAAATGATTATCAAAATTAAAGAGTTGATTTTGAATTAGATCGGTATTTTATAACTACATACTATTTCATAAATTCAAATTTGGATTAAGTCCTATAAAAACTTAAGAGAACAAAGAAAAATTAAAGATCAGATCATATTTAAAGTATAATTAGAAAATCAAAATATAAACCAAGCCTTTATAGTCCTCCATCATAATGAAGATTTTTATTAATTTATTCTTATTTCTCATCCAAATTAATAGAATCAAATTAAACTTTAACTAAATTCTTTAAAAATTAAATATTATTGAATTATAATAACTTATTTAAATTTATTCTGATAATTATTCTTTTTCTTTTTAAAAATAATAAATGTAAGTCTATCCTTAAAAAATAAAGGAGGACCTTCAATAACTATAAAATTGGAGTAGTTAAAGATAATTGACTGATATGGGATCTTAAATAGGTGGATTTTAATCAAACAGTGCTCTATTATAACCTATTCAATCCTCCAAAAAGATTATTAGAGCTAAAACTGTAAAAAATTTGTAAGATTATCTTAATAATAATTAAGTATTTAATTGACAACTTTAAGTATGTCTCCCTTAAATGGAGAAAGATAGAATAAAAAGAATTAATTAAAGAAGATAATGAAAAAAATAAGAATAGCATTACAATTTATAAATTAACTTCAAAATTATGCTTAACAATTAAAGAGTTATAGAGCTAAATATTAATATAGAAAGAGAGGCATATTGCCATTATTTCCTGATGATATAATTTATATAGTCTGGGGATTGGGAATTAATTTATGTACAGATATAGCTGCACTTCTATATCCAATAGAAGTAGCTTTTGAATATGAAGTATATTTTAACAACAATAATAGAGGGAGTTGGCCATTAATTAACTTTTATTTTATAGATAATCTTTTGGGTTGATTTGTTGATGAATTTTATTATTTGTCATGTAAATAAGTAATTAGATTTAATACATAATTTGAAGGATATAGCACATTATTATATTACTACATGGTTTTTTTGTGATTTATTATCAATTTTACCTGATTTTGATTAATAAACTTTGAAACCAATAAAATTATTGAGATTATTAAGATTCTTTTTTTATGAAAGAAGAATAAATTATAATTAATCAATAGAGTTATTAAGAAAACAAAAATCTTTATAGGATGAGTTAATAGTAAGAAATGAATTCAATTTAGATCTAAGAATAAAAAAATTAATTAAAATATTTTTAGAGATGATTATTTTAAATCATTTATTTGCATGTTTATGGATATGGATATGTAAATTTAATTCAACTTAAAATTGGATGGAAACTTCAAATGTAAAATAAGCCAATGATTTTACTAAACTGATATATGCTTTTTTTTGGGCCTATTAGACAATTACAGTAATTGGATATGGTGATCTAGAAGCTCATAATAGTAATGAATATTTATTAAGTATAATTTGGATGTTAATTGGAGTAGGTTATTATTCTTTTACTATTGGTAATATAACATTTATATTAATTTAATCAAATCCAAATTAAGAGTTTGATGATTAATTATTGAATCTAGAAGATATTACTATGAATATGCCTGAAAGAATTTAAAATGATTGGATAAGATTTGCCAAATTTAATATATAAAGGAATCCTTTTTGGGCTGAGGATTCTAAAATTATTCTTTCAGAACTTCCTCAATAATTAGCTTTGTATACCGTAGCAGCTGTTCATAAAGAAATTTTAAGAATAATTCCCTTTATGTCAAATGATATTAATTTTTCAAGGTCTATACTCCCTCATAGTACTATAGTATGTTATTAAAAATATGAAGCTGTTTATCATATAGGATAAAATGCAAATGATTTTTTCTTTCTTATCAAAGGTGACATTCGATTATGTGACAACTATGGAGAAACTTTAGTTGGAGTAATGGAAGGTACTTGTTTTGGAGAAATTGAATGCATAGAATCTAGTTTAAGACGTTGGAGTGCTCATGCTATGTAAGAAAGTGTTGTTTTAATGTGCTCAGCTAATTTTTTTTCGTAATTTCTTGAAAATGAATCACCTTAATTTTTTGAATTATAATAAATGTATAAAAGAAGAAAAATACTTTTAATTCAATAAACTAGAATTAAAAGATGTAATTAATTCTTATTTATTTAATAGAAAGATAATAAAAATTAAAAAGAGGATCTGCTATCAATGATTTACATTCATATAATAAGAAAAGAGAATCTGTTTAATAATAAGAAGAATTAAGATTTAAAATTGATTTAAGAGAATTTTAAAGTGTATAATAAGATTTATTGCTTTAAATTGTTGGACATAAATAAGCCAGAAAGAAAATTATTAGAGAAAAGTTTATTAATGTATTTTATTGTATTTATTATAGGCCATTAATAAAATTAGATATTATGTTTAAAGAGTTTCAAAATTTAAAAGAATTTCTATACATGATCTTGATTATAAAATAATTCACAATTTAATTAATACAAGAATAAAAGATTGTGTTTGGGAAAAATAGATTAAAAGAAAGATGGGATAAAAATTATTAAAGAATTTTGATTAGGTTCATGAAGATGAAAATTTAATCAAAGCTTTTTTATTAAAAAGTAAATAAGAATCAAATTAAAGACTTGTAAGAAAAAAATTAATTCATATTATAAGAAATATTCTTACTATATAGAAAAAGGATAATTCAAAAATTAAAAAGATTGATATATTCTATAATGAATATCATTAAAAAATATATGAAACGGCTAAAAATGAAAAATTAGAAGAAAAAATAAAATAAAAACAAAAACTTGAAAGTATCAAAAGATGTTTTGTATTGAAAGATTAAATATAAAATTTAAGCTAAAATTTAAAAAAATTAATGAATCTCTAAACGTCAATGTCGATGGCTATGTTTGAAATAAATTAATAGGAATATGAGATTGATTGTTTGGTTTAAGATATTAAAAAAGCACTAATGTTAGTTAAAATAGAAGGTTGAAATTAATTGAATTTGATTAAATATTATTTAAAAAATCAATTTTTATGAAATTATTAGGTATAAATATTTAGATGTCGTTTAAATAAAAATTTAAAAAAAGTTATTTTTTCAAATATAAAAGTCATTTATACTTTTTATCTAACACCATATTTCTTAATATTTTTCTCTGATATCGCTGCCTGTATCTGTGTAAGTTTCTTTTAATATAATTGATTTATCGCGATTTTGATAAAAGATATTGACATTATTTATAGGAATAACTAAATGAATCCATTATTCATCCTAATATTTGACCTATATTTTACTAAATTATTGTATAATATTACTCCTAAGTTTGATTATCATATTTATAAACAGTTGGACAATAAAATGAGTCTACTTATCGTTTATGATAATTAAGTGGGGCTAATGCCTTACCATTATTTTACTTTGCCTTTTCTTTATTATAATTAATCATTTCATTAACAAAACTTTCTTTACTATTTAAGATAGCTCTATAAGTAGTATCATAAAATTTATGATTATATTCTGAATTATATTCCATTATATCTGTCATTCCTTTAATTCTACCAATTTAAATTTACTCTAAAATTTCATATTATTTATCTGTGTCATTTAATTATCTAATAAATACTTTATCTTATTTATTTTATAAAGAGGCACTCAAATTTTGAGATTAAGTATCGAATTTAAGATAGAAACAAGCAAAAATAGTCAAAATAACCATAAATGAATATCCTAATTTACCTAAACCTCTATTTTTAGAAACAGAAATAGGAGCTTCTTCTTCAAAAACAAATTATTTACTTCCACAATTAATACAAGTTAGATTAGATTATTAGGATTATAATATATTATTAAGTTTCTATGTTTCTTCTAAATGTTATTGTAAACAACTAATTTATTCTGTTAATTCTTGAATGTAATTCGACTATTTATTAAAATCATCTTCTAATTTTTAAAGATAAGCTTTCTTTCTATCTCTAGAATTTTATGCAGAAATTCTATTTCTAATCATTTATAAAGTTTTTTTATCTGTTGTATCTCTTATAAGTTTTTTTTCATCCAAATTTGCTTTATTAAGATTTTGATTCTTCTTCGTTTTCTTTATTTTTTTCCCCACGCCTTTTATACATAAAACGATATACCTTCAGAGGATTGACAAGATACAGAACCTGTAGAACCAGAAAAGAGAGCAGGAATAATATTAGATGATTCTGTAGAACTTTCTTATTCCACTTACTATTGATAAATTTTCTAGAATAAACTAGATTGGTCATTGTCTTCTTAATATTTCTATTACAATTCTACTATTAGTAATGAAAGTGGCTTTTCTTTGATTTATTTTAACATATTACAATAATATAATATTTATTAATGAACAAGCAAAAACAATAGATTCTTGTACGTGGTTATTTAAATATTCATTAAAATTAGAATATTTAAATTATTATAAAATATGAATAGATTAAAAAAGTTTGCATTTAGTAAAAAGTTAAATAAAATAATTCAAACAGAAGCTGAACGTGAGAGAATTAGGAAATAAGTAGGAGAATCAGGAACATTTGAAGAGAATGGCAAAGCTTATTACTATAGAGATGGTAAAATAAATAAACTTGATTACTTAAAGAGAGAAGAATTAAAAATGCAAGCAAAACTTGATTCATATATTGAAGATAAAGAGACTAAATAATAATTACCATTTATAATAATTAGTACAAGTAATAAAGTTTAATAAATTTAACTTTAGTTTTGGCAGTCTTTTTAGGATCTATATTTATAAGATCTTTAAAGAAACCTGAAAAAAAAAATGAAATAGAAGATAATTCAAATTATGAAGCAAATTATCAATAAGCAGTAAAAGAATAGGAAGAATATGATGAGAAAATAAAAGAAGAAAAGCTTAAAAAGTTTAGAGAGTAGGAAAATAGTGATATGGAAATCGACAAGAAAAAAAGAGATTTTAAATGAGTATATAATTTTATAATGAATGGGACTGATATAATATTTTCAGCTTTAAGTTCATAACCTGAGAATCTACAGATAGAATTATAGGCTGAATAGTAAAATGAATATGAAAAAGAATACTTGGAAGCAGATTTGTGTTCAAGAATACGAACAAGAAATCCAAGTTCCAACAATTTCACAATTAAATCAACAACAAACATTGACACTCGTAGAAATTGTGAAGTAATACTTTACACATTACAAAGCCATTAATTAACTAAGATGATGATAACAAGAAAAATATTTGTAAAAAGACAGGCACTAATCTAATGAAATATTTTTATTTGAAAAGATTTATTTAACGTATCAGAAACAATAGAACTAAGTTATAAAATGTCAATGAAAATCATATCAAATTAATTAACGATAATTCAAGTGATAGTTAATTCATGATGTAAATTCTTAAATTAAACAATCATCCTCATTTTTAAATACGCAACGTTACTAAATTATTTAGAGAAAATACTCTATCCTCACATGAACATGCATTCATTATTTGGATGAGAGAAAAGACTTAATAAAGTAGAAAATATATCTATGAAATTTTATCTAAAATACCTTAAATACATCCTGAATCACTTAAGAAGATAGTTTGGGATTATTGGACTATTCTTTTTCGATTACTTTTATTAATAATGATTCCATTAGAAATTGCATACCAACCATAATTTTTATTTGATAAGTCAATGGGACTTACTATTTCGATTATCTTTATTTTAATTATTGATAATATATTAAGATTTAATACTATATGTTACTTAAGTGGATAAGCAGTCTATGATAGATGGTAGATTACTTAAGTAAATTTAAATTTTTAAACTTTTTCTGACTTAGCTTTAATATTTTTATTAATATACTTTCTTTAAAATGAAGGAAATTAATTTTAATATTTAATGCTTTTAATATCTCTGACACAACACTACCAAATTAATTAAACGTTATAAAAAAGTGAAGAATCCCAATATTTTACAAAAAAATAAAAAGCGTTCATTAATTTATTCAAGTTACTAATTTATTTGATCTATGTTCTTCACTTGTTTTCTTGTATATGGTTTTTTAATAGTTCTTTAAATTATGGAAATTCTTGGATTATTTTAAAAGAATTAGATCATCAACAATGGCAACTTTAATATTTAGAAGCATTTTATTTTGCAATAGTTACTATGCTTACAATTGGATATGGTGATAATGTGCCGAAAACATGGAATGAAAAAATTGTAGCGATCTTTTTTATCTTGAGTGCTTGTTTATGGTTTTCATATAGTATAAATGCAATTGGAACTATAATTAAAGAAATAAATCTACATTTTATGGAAAGGAGCAAGAAAATTAGAGTTATCAATAGATATATGCATTAAAGAAATATACCTTTCTCTTTGTAATACAGAATAAGAGAGTATTTAACATTTAGATGGAAAGAAGAAGCTGAAATTGATTTATAATAAGAAGAAACTTTATTAAATGAATTATCTGAAGAATTAAAGTAAGATTTAAAAAAATAAGCAAATAATGTATTTTTCAAACATTGCGACTTTTTATTTAAAAATTTTAGTTTAGAATTATAGAATTCTCTCTCTCCTTTTATAAAAAGGAAAATAATTTAACCTTAGAATACATTTTCTATTTACACTCTAAGTGATTTTTATTAGCCACATTTGTGTTTTGTTGAATAAGGTCAATTGTAGTATCAAAATGTTTTAAATGTTTCTTTAAAAAGTGTTTAGAATTAAGGTTAATTTTTGGAAGTTTAAGAATTCATAGAAGAGAATGATAACTCATAAACATTTAAGGCCATAGGATATGTAAGTTTACTTGTTTTAAGCAAGGTAATGTTGTTGTTTAAAGCTTTTAGTCAGATTTTATATCTATTATACGTTAATATCCAAAAGATTACCAAAAATATTGCAATTTAAGAGATTAATTTATACTTCAAATTAATCGTTAACATTTAGTATTTGGATAATACTGTGCTGCTTGTAATACTAATAGTCATACCTTAAAGGAATGCCCAAATTTATCTATCAGTCTTGATAGAGAATTAATAATCAAAAGATATCAATATACATACGAATAATAAAGAAAATTCAGAAAGAGATCCAAAAAAAGGGGAAAGACATCTTTTTCAACAAGATGCGATAGAGAGATCATAGAATAATTTGCTATATATTTTTAAAATGAATAGCCAAAATTAGTTTAAAATTAGTTATCAAAATAATTAACTTATGAATAGGATTTTGATGATGCAAAATCAGATATTAATGAATAATCTCCAATAAATAAAACATTTCACTTTAAAAGATAGGAATCAATATAATTACCAAGATATTCTTTATAAAGTGGAGAGGCAATATCAATTTAAAAATAAAATAATATTAATGACTCTATTGCTTCGAGTGAAAATAACTCTATTTAAAATTTGAAATTGTCTACTAGATAATAATGTATGATAAGTACTAATAAATTTATGTCTGCAAAATTATCAAAATACAAAAAAATGTGCTCATAATAAAATCCTAAGATAGCTTTGATTGATACTGATGAATCATTAAAGATTGATATTTAAGATTGCATCTATTAGAATATTGAATAATTGTACAATAAAATCTTTAATGAAGAAGCAATGATACCTATAGATAGATCAATACAAGATTTATAAATTTTATACTTTTCATTGAAAGCCTAGTAAGGTATAGAATAATTCGAGATTGTAAAGAATTTTAGTTCTTATATGATTAATCATAATATCGAAAATATTATATTGTAAACAGAACAGAAATATCATAGTCTACTTTTGAAACCTATCAATCAATTAATAAGATTTATGTATTATCCATATGAGTTTATAATGAAATTTTAAAAGATTAAGACATAAAGATTGAAATTGTTGAATTTTTATAAGAAAAGATCATTTAAGAATTTGAAATAGAAATAATCAAAAATAAATGATTTGGTAAGGAAATGGGAGACTCCAAGGAAATCATATCGTTTTAGTGTAATAATTCCAAATGATGAGTGATAATATTGATTGATTAGTATTTGAAAAGTATTGAATAATATAAATTATAAATAAAATGTTATAAGGTAGAATGGATGATAACTAATGGATAAATGATGATCATATGGATTAGGTATAAATATATAAGTTAAAATATAAAGCCTGAAGATGTTGGATTTGATAAGGAAGAAATAAGAAGAGTTGATTTATTTGTGAATAAGCCATTTGATATTCCAAATTTTCCAAAGAATGAATAAATAAAGTAAGCAGGAATATCTTCAAAAATGTTTGTGATAATAACAAGATAGAATAATATATATAGATGGAGACCAGATAAGGATGATTATTGTGTATAAATGGAATTGCCAGAAGTTCAATAAGGTGGATTGACAGGGAAATTACTTGGAAGTAAAAAGAATGAGAGAAAGGATATAATATTGGAGAAATTATTTTTATTCGGACCACATGCTTTGATAGTGTCAGATAATGGAGAAAGTTTTTATATAAATGTAAGATCAGAGAAAATTAGATCAATGGAATAATTAAAGGGTAAATAGATTAAATGTATTGGTTGGGATGATTAATGTGATGAAACTGATACTCATGAAATTCTATTAGCTACAAAAGATTCAAAAATATATATATATAGAATTGATTGTAGATAAGGAGATGTAAGAGAAGAAGAAGCAAAGTTAATGGTTACCATTCCTAATGAAAGATAAATTAATTAAATTGAACAATTTACTGTGATGTATGATAATAACAAATACTCATGTGTAGTTGTATCAACTAATTTTAGTTTATTTTTCTTTTATGGATTAAATAGTCTTAGCATTTTATTTACTAAATACAAAGATCCTTAAAGTGTAGCAAGAGCAGAATCATAACCATCACGTTATCATACTAGTTTATTGGCTGTATCTTCAAAAAAGAATTCATTTCTCTTTACAAATGGAAAAGCATTAAATTTATTTACTCTTCCTGAAAAAGATTTAAATGAATCAATATTACAATAAGCTAAACAATTAAAAAGTGTGAACAATTATTCAGAAATGCCAGTACAGATTGGATTAACAGACTTTCATTACTTTATTCTTAGTGCTGATTCTTTGACCATTTTTAGTAAAATAACCTAGTAAGAAGTCTAAAAATATGAACTCAGAAGTATGGGTAGAATTATGGGTATGTAATATGAAAAGGATGATAAAGTATTTTGGATATTCTCTGAAAGAACTTTCTGTAAAATTGAAACTGAAGATGAAGACAAAGAAGCATGGAAGTTATTAATGGATTAAAAAATGTATGTAGCTGCATATGAAATATCTAATAAGTATAATTCAGAATATACTCAATATATTGCTGGATTATGTGGTGATCAATTATTTTCCTAAAAGAAATATAATGAAGCTGCTTAATACTATCAAAAGTCCTCAAAAAACTTTGAAGAGATTTTTTTGAAATTTTTAAATTGTGATGATATGAAAGCAAGAATTGGATTAGAATAATATCTCAAACATTTAATTAATAATTTGAAGGGAGAAACTGAAAGAACATTAGTTTTAGGATGGCTTTCAGAATTATTAATATATAGATTAAATGAATAAGAAAAGTTAATACATGAAACAAGATCATATGAAACTGATATTTAAAGAGATAAAGATATTAAAGAAAAGAAATAATAGTTAAATTAATTAAATGAAGATCTTGATAACTTTCTCAAAACATATAAAGCAGAATTAGATTAAAATTTAGTTTATTAAATAATGGTAAGTCATGGTAGATTATAAAATTGTGTTGAATATGCTAAACTAAATAATAATTATGAAATGATTATTTAACATTATATCAATGAAGAAAATTATAAGGAGGCAATTAAAAATTTGAATAATGTTAAAGAAAAGAGTTCAATGGAAATTATTTAGAAATACTCATTTATTCTTATGAGACATGAACCAGAATAAACATTAGATATTTTATAAAAGAATATAAAAAAATTTGATTAAACTAAAATAATAGGTGGTCTCATGAATATCCCTGTTGATAAAAGAGAATTCGGAATTAGATTCTTAGAGCATTCAATTAATAAATTAGATTGCGCTGATAAAAGTATACACAATATATTAATATTTTTCTTAACTTAACCTTTATAGAAAGAAAAGCTTAATTATTATTTATAGGAATAAGAGGCTTTATTAAAAAAAACAGAAAAAGTAAATTTTGATTTAGATTTTGCATTAAGATTATTTAAACAAGCAAGTTGTATAGATGCTCAAATCACTATATATGGAATGATGTCTCTTTATACTGAATCTGTTACTTTAGCTCTAGATTATGGAATGATAGAGAAAGCAAAAGAATATGCATAAAAACCTGAAGATGATGATGAGAAAAAGAAGAAATTATGGATGATGATAGCTGAAAGATTATTATCTTAAAATTAAGATATTGATAAGGTGATTGAACTTACAAAAAATAGTCAATTAATAAAAATTGAAGATCTTCTTCCTCATTTTAATGAAAATATTAAAATAGAATAATTTAAAGATGAGATTTGTAATTCTCTTAAAAAGTATAATGAAGAGATTGAGAAATTAAAAGATGAAATGAAAAAACTATCATCTAATTCTGATTAATTAAAGAATGAATTAAAAATGACAAAGAATAAATTTTTAATAATTGATACACAATAGAAATGTGATCATTGTGCTAAATAATTATTCAATGATACATTTTATATATTTCCATGTAATCATGGATTTCATAAAGTAAAATAATTTTATATAATTTAGGATTGTATAGTTACAAAGATTAAATCACTCCCTCAACATTAACCAAATATTCATTAAATAGAGACACATGATATGACAATGTAATCTATTTTAGTAAAATCTAATCCAAATTAGAATGCTAGTAAAAAATAATAAGGTAAAATATAAAATATATATAAATTGATTAGATGGTTAATCATTCTTTTAAATAATGAATATTTTTGGAGGAGCAAAATAAGAATAGAGACCATAATCAACATTAACTCCAGATGAAGAAAAGTTATTAAGAGAAACAAAAGAGAAATTCGATAAAATTGTTGCTAGTGAATGTATATTTTGTGGACCTAAAGTTGTTGATTCTATTCAATTTGGATTTGAATTGGATGCAAGAGAGAAAGATACATGGAGTATATGAATAAATTATATAATAAACAATATTAAAAATTAATTTTTATTGCATACTCAGAAATTAGGTAATCTACTTCCACCATCTAATCTAATTACTTCTCCTGTTAAATATGAACATTAACAAATTCCAATTACAGATTCAGCAAATTCAGAAGGTTAACCAAATCTTTCCAAAGCAGCAGATTTTCTTAAAGGAGCTAACACTTTTTCTGATAAATTATGCCCCATTGGAGTTTGAAATACCTTAAAATTATTATACAAAATATTACTCCTGGTGCCAAAGTCATTACTCTTATTCCATATTTTCCTAAATCTCTTGCCATGGGTAATGTCATTCCTATTACAGCACCTTTGCTTGCAGAATAAACTGTCTATCCTTTTTATCCTTCGATCCCTGCAAGACTGGCAACATTAATTATTACACCTCTTTCTTTAAATTCTCCTTATGGTTCTTATTTTATCATTTCTACAGCTGCATGCTTCGTTACATTAAAAGTTCCAACAACATTAATTTTTAAGACTCTCATCATTTCATCAACAGGAATAGTTCCTTTGGGTGTAACTAAGTATCCAGCAGAGATGACACCAGCTGAATTAACAACAATATGAATTGCTCCAAATTCATTTACTGTGTATTTGATTAATTGAATTACATTTTCTTCATTTGAAACATCAGTCTTAAAAAATTTTAAATTTGGTGTATTCTATTCCTATAGAATTTTATCTCCAGCTTCCTTATTAGAATAAGAATACAAATTTACTTAATTAAAATCAGCAATCATAACTTTACATCCTTTTGCTAATAAAGCTAAAACAGTAGCTAATCCTAAGCCAGAAGCTCCTCCTGTGACTAAGCAAACAGTATTCTGATCTAATTTCATTAATAATGACGTCTGATTTATTAATAATATTAATCATAAATGAGGCACGCGTAATCCTCCATCTAAACGTAATACACACCCCGTTAAATACTATGATTAGTATATCATTTCGACTAATTATGCAAATTCTTAAGCTGCTCCTAATCTTCCTAAAGCTACTTGTTATGACAATTATTCTTTAATTTTAGGTTAGATCATTTCAAACATAGGTGTATATATAATCTAATAAATATATGATAATAAAGTTTTACTCCTGGTGCTATAGTAACAACTCTGATTCCATGTTTACCCAAATCTCTTGCCATAGGTAATGTCATAGCAATCACCGCTCCTTTTGATGCTGAATAAATTACTTAACCTCTTTATCCTTCTATTCCAGCTAAGCTTGCAACATTCACTATAACTCCTTTAACTTAAGATTTGATCATATGTTAAGCTGCATATTTACAAACATTAAATGTGCCAATTACATTAATCTACAATAATATATTCATTTCAGATGTTGATGCAACACTTGATCTAGTTGCTGTCATTTAAGCAGATGGAATCCCAGCAGAATTCACTACTAAATTTATCTATCCAAATTCTTTCACTGTGAATTCTATTAATTTCTTTATTTCATCTTCATTTTGAACATCAACCTTAAAAAATTTTACATTCCCGTTCTCAAATCTCTTTATTAACTCTTAACCTTTCTCCTTATAAATTATTTTTATATTCTAACCTCATTAAAATCTGCTGCCACCACTTTACATTATTTTTAATTTAACAATTCAACTGTTGCCAATCCTAATCCTGATGCTCCACCTGTTACTATTGCCACCGTTTTACAATCAAGTTACATATTATTTTATTAAAATTAAAATAGAATACTTATACACAGAATTTTTTCATTTCTAAAAATAAATTATCACTTTTTTATATTATATTATAATAACATTCTTATATTAATTAACTTAGATTATATTTCAATTATATTTATGAATACCGAATAAATCCTTATATCCTTCTTCTTTATACATGCCTTACTGTCTATTGTTGTTTATTGCTTAGAACTAAATATTTTTAAACTAATAATTGAAGGATTACTTATGACTACCATAATATTATTTTTTATTTTTAGGAATAAAAAGAAACTAATTTTCATTATTTAAACTCTTTTGTCTCTCAATATATTCATAATTGGACTTATTTATATCAATTCGTCATACATATTTATACATTTTTTAGGTTGGTTCATTTTTACAAGAAAATTCTTAAAAACTCATAAAATTATACGATTACTTCATTGTATAATTATAATACTTACTTCTATATTTCAAATTTGGAGACTTTGGAAAAATGATACATATCAATCAATCATACATATGTAAGGAGTATTAAGTTTCACTGCTTGTTATTTTTATTATGAATACTAAAATCATATAAAATAGAACAACACAGAAATGTTTTAAAGCTCATAAAAAGTTATTAGTGAAGATTTTCATAGATTCTTAACAACAAGAAGATCAATGAATACTTTATGCTCTGATTTTGTTATTTTAGATATCATTCCTCATGGCGTAGTTTTACTTACTTGTAAATATGAATTCTAACACATAAATGAAAAAGCTTCAGATTAAATCTTTGGTTTAACTGGAATTAAACCTAATGAAGATAATATTGTTGATCTTATAAATTCAGTTTTAAAAGAGTAATCAATTTTATTCACTAATTAGTTTAATAAGCTAAAAAAATTCCCCTTTAAGCAAATCTGAAAAATAAGTTTCCAAATTGATTAATCCATAGAATTTAAAAAATCTTGATTAAAATCATGATATTTAATTAAGTCCTTTAGAACATATCATCAATAATCAAAAAGGATCCTCAATTATGACTGTAACATATTCATTTAAATTTATTAGAGTAAACTCATTACTAATTATTAATCTTAAGGAAAAATAAGAAGTGTCAAATTTTAAATTTAAAAATAAGAACTACCAAATATAATAATCATTTTAATCTTAGATGTTACATCTAAAATCTAAAAACAAAATTAAGAAAAACGATTCAGATTTCAACATTAATTACTGAATTCTTTTTCTCATGAATTAAGAACTCCTCTTAATTGTTCTCAATAATTATTAGAAAGTTTAATTGAAAAATAATAAAACGAAGAGCAGTTAAAGTGTTTATATTAGGTTTTTCATCAAAATGATTTACTTTTATGTTAAATTAATGATATTCTAGATTATGCTTCAATGGAAACTGATAATTTTTATTCTTTTTATTCAGTATTTACACTTGATCAACTCTTTAATCAATGTCTTGAAATGTATTAATAAGGATGTAAATTAAAAAATATCAATTTAAATATTAAAAACACTGTTTATTCTCCTATACGTAATGATTATATGAGAATCAAATAAGTTTTAGTTAATCTTATTAACAATTCAATAAAATTTTGTTCTTAAAAAGGAAATATAACCATTCAAGCCAAAGAAAAAATTTAAATTGATAAAAAATTGATAAAAATAAAAATTAAAGACAACGGCATAGGTTTCGCTTAAACATAATTATCATTAATAAATCATGTTCTTGATTAAAATAACGATTATTTTGATGCCACTACTTCAAAGTGTATTGGATTAGGTTTAAAAGTAGCTAATAAATAAGTTAGATCTTTCATTAAAGGATACAATAGAATAAAAATATCATCCATTTAAAATTAAAAAACGAATGTTTCGTTTTACATAGAAGATTAAATTGAGGAATAAGAAATAGATTGTCAATCAAGAGCGTCTAAAACTCTTCATTGTAATATCTCTACAATGACGAATTCAGAATATAAATTTATATCTGCTTTAAAATGTAAATGCCCTAAAATTTTGGTTGTTGATGATATTCCATTTAATCATTAAGCCTTATAAATCATGTTAAGTGCTTTTAATTAGTTATGTGATCATGCTTTTGATGGTTTAGAAGCATTTTAATGTGTAAACAAACGGCTTTAGAATAATAAATGTCATCCTTATTATTAATTAATTTTAATGGACATAGAAATGCCAAAAATGAATGGATTTGATTCTGCTATGAAAATTGCAGAATTACTTGAGAAAAATCAAAATTAAACTAAAATTGTTATGTGCACAGCATATGATAATTTGGAAAGTAGATTAATTGCTAAATAATGTATGATAGATGATTATTTACCAAAACCTATTTAGAGGAGTAATTTGCTTCATATTCTAAATATATTTATTAAATGAAATTGTATCATTATTTCTTATTTTTATAACAAAAAGCTTTGAATCATATCTATTTTCTGAATTAATTTAATTATTAATGATTAAACATAAATTAATAATAATTTAGATTATATGCAATTCTACAGCAGGAATAGTGATTAATGCAATTTTCAAAGAATACATATCCTTATCCATCTATGGTTCCATTTTATTATTTGCAATACTAATTTGTATTTTGAAATAAACTAAACTTTAGTAATTCATTCAATTTATACTAATACTTGTAATATAAGAAAACTCTTAATATAATAAAATGGAATTTTAACATTTTCATTATTAATTGAGTTGGATTTATTTGGCTTATCAATTGATTAAAAATAATTCCACTTTTGAATTACCAATTTTATTGGAATTACTATTTTCATCCATAATTAAGATAATTATTTCATTTGATGCTTACAATTCTAAATTTTACTTTGCAATTACAACTACATTTATCTATGCACTTAGCATCATTGCTTACTATTATATAAAGAGTAAAGAATAATTTACGAAGTCTTTAGATTTAGAATTGGTTACTCCAAAAATCAATGAATTTTAAAGAATATATACAAACAAAACATAAACATCAAGAAATAATGAAATACAAATTTTCGATCATTTACCAATTGGATTAGTTGTGTTAACATAAGATCATGATTTTTAATATATGAATAAAAGAGCAAGAGCTTTATTAGAAAGAGCTTCAAATACTCAAATTACAGAGGATAATGTTGTTATTATTATAAAAGAACTGTTGAAGAAGTAAGAATTTAAAATTTATTAAAAGATGTATTAACGACAAAATTACAAGTGTGGGAAATCTAACAAGACCCAGTTAAACTAGAATCCATTAATTATTATCCAAATTCAATTAGAAGTAGAGAGTGAGCTTACCACATTTAGATGATAACTTTCTTAAATAAATCGATCCTATCAATAGTATATTGCATCAGCAAAATGATTTTGTTCCATACTCATAATAATTAATGGATGTAATATAATATATATTCAAAAGAACAAATATAGAATCCAATTCAATTATAAAGGAAAAAAAAGATGCTTTCGATTTCATTTTACGAAGCATCATTATTAAATTTTAATTAATTTATTAGATGAAACTTCTAAAATAGGAAAATTAGATTAAAAAAGCAAGCATATTTTTTAGAATTAATTGTTAAATTCATTCTCTCATGAATTAAAAACACCCTTAAATTGTATACAACAATTATTGGAAGTTGTTATGTTGAAAGTGGATTCAGATCTATAAGAAAATATTTTAAAACCAATAAAATGGCAAACTGATTTATTGCTATGTTAAATTAATGACATACTTGATTATGCATCATTTGAGATAAATGATTTTAATTGGGATTTTTCATTATTTTATTTAGAAGATTTATTATAAGATTGTATTTCAATATATTTGTCAGCTTGTAAATAAAAAAAAATAGAATTAAAATTAGAAACAAATTCTTCAGAAGATAAACAAATGATAAATAATGATTACAAAAGATTGAAACAAGTAATTGTAAATCTTTTAAATAATTCAATCAAATTTACTTAATAATATGGAGAGATCGTCTTAAGAGTATCAGATATAAAAAATAATATGTATTTAATTTAAGTGATTGATACTGGATTAGGTTTATCATAAGAATAGCTAAGTTAGCTCTAAATGAATATTGAATAAGACAATTAAGAAAACGAATATAATCAATTTCATGTTGGATTAGGATTGAAAGTAGCAAATAGATTGATTTTAGGATTATCATCTTTAAAAAAAGGTTTAAAAATAAATTCAACTTTGAATAAAGGCACAATCATTTCCTTTACTATTGAAGACTTTTTGGAGGAAAATAAGAGTTAAGTATCAGAAATAAATTTAAAAGATGCTTAAATTAGTAGATAGTTAAGTTAATTGACAACAAGAGAATTTAAATTTATTAAATAAATAATTTGTAAATGTAATAAAATATTAATCGTTGATGATATACCTTTTAATCATCATGCTTTAAAAATGATTTTAAATGAATTGAATTGTCAAGCAGACAGTGCCTATGATGGATAATAAGCAATAGATCTTATTAAATCAAGAATTAAGAATAACAATTGTCATCCTTATTATTCATTAATTTTAATGGATATTGAAATGCCTAAATAAAATGGATTTGAAGCTTCTCTTAAAATTAAGTAGATTCTTGGAGACCAAAGTGATTAGACTACAATAGTAATGTGTTCAGCTTATGATAATTAAGAATGTGTTCAAATGAGTTAGAGATGCTTTATGAGTGATGTATTGCCAAAACCAATCACCAAAATGAGTTTACAGTACATCTTAGAAAAATATTTAAGGTGAAACATAAGTTAAAATATACTAGCATAAAATTGATTGTAAGATTCTGATTTTATGTAAATATTAAATATTAATAATCAGTTTAAAACAATTATGGATAATTCATTCTTAATATCAATTGCATTACTAATAAGTGGAATTCTAATCTTGATATAATTGATAGTTTTCAACTCAGACATGAATAAATTGCAATTGACTATAACTATTGGATAGATAATTGCAAGCAGTGTATTTTTAATTAAACCTTTTTTAAGAAGAAAAATAGTTTATCTTATTTCTTTTATCAATGCCCAATAAATTTTATAGTAAACAAATTTTGATTTCTTATTTCTGGTATTAACCCAGATTTTAAGTAGTGAATTAGATATAGAGATTAAACTAAATAAAGCTTTTAGAATTTTACTTATAATCTCTTAAGTCTTTAGAGTAATATTTAATTGGGAAAATGATATATTTGAAGCAGTTTAAAATATTTTTTCGCTCATTATTTCTTGTATGTTGTGGATGAAATAATATTTATAATCTAAAAAGAAGAAATCTAGTATTATCCAAAATTCAGATGCTAACAACAATAATCTATAGTATAATTCTTAGACAAACTTTATAGTATCATTAAAATTATTAGATAGTGAATTATCGATCCTAGATAATCTGCCTATCGGAATAATGCTCTTAGATTATTAATAAAGTATAAAATATTGTAATTAATTTGCAAAATAATATTTTAAAAATTTTGATTGTGAAACAAATGAAGAAATCAGCCTTTAGTTAAAAAATTAGTTAATTAAGTAATATTTTCAAATTCAAATAGGATATTACTGGATCATATTGGAGGACCTGAAGAAATAAATAATAATAATGATATGTAAAAATCAAATAGAGCTTTTTTATCAAGCATAAGGATAGATGATCCTATTTAAGCAATTTTTAATTAAAAGGAAGAATAATTTAATCTTATCTACAAATACAAAGAATTAAGCAAAAATGGGATATCTAAATCAAAAGTAGTAAAAATTTCTTTATTACAATAATTTTATAAATCTGAGTAAGTTACAATAGTTCTAATTTAAAATGTGTCAAGCAAAGAAAGAAAGAAAGAGTTAGCTTAATTTATCAAATTTTAAAATAGTATTTTAAATTCCTTTTCTCATGAATTAAGAACACCTTTAAATAGTTCATTATAGCTATTAGAAGTATTATCATCATAATTGAATGATAAAATGAATCATGAGTATGTTTATCCTGCTTTAAATTCAAATAAGTTATTACTATTTCAAATTAATGATATACTTGATTATGCAGCAATGCAATCCAATTCATTTGTACATCACTATTCCAAATTTAATATAAGAGAGATCGCAGATTATTTAAAGTAATTATACACAGCAGCATGTAAAAGTAAAGGAATACTTTTAACTTTTAAAACTAAATTAATAAATTAAATTGTGATAAATGATAAATAAAGAATAATCTAAGTTCTCATAAATTTATTAAATAATTCAATAAAGTTTTCTCCCTCAAATACTCACATTCGAGTTCAATTTAAAAATAAGTTTAAATTTTCTCATTAATACATTAAAATAAAAGTCAAGGATTAAGGTTTTGGGATATCGGAGTAAAAATTAAGTTTTATTTTTCGAGAATTGCATTCCGTTTCATCTGAAGAAAGTGGATATTGGATGACTCAAAATTAATTATCTTCAGGTATTGGATTGAAAATGTCAAATCGTTTAATTCAAGGCTTGGCAATAATTGAATCAAGAAAAAATTAATTTTCAATTAAATCTGCTCTCTAAAAATATACATATATTTCATTTTACATTTCAGATATGTTATTCATTAAAGATGATAATGAATCAATTTCAAATGCTTAAAGTGATGATATATTCTGTATATCAATGAATAAGAGTCTTGATTTTAAATTAATTCAAAATATAAGCCAAAAATCTTGTGATTGTTCAGCAATATTACTTGTTGATGATGTTCCATTTAATGTTTAAGCTTTAAAGACTATTTTATTGTAATATAAAATTAATAGTGATACTGCTTATAATGGTTTTGAGGCTATAGATTTAGTTATCTCAAAGTATTAACAAAAATAATGCCATCCTTTTTATTAATTGATATTGATGGATATAGAAATGCCATTGCTAAATGGTATACAAGCGACTTAAAAGGTATAAATAACATATAGAATAAGATAATATCATTTTTCAATTCAATCAATGTAAATCCTCCAGTAATTGTAGCTAATTCTGCTTATGATTCAAATAAAGAAGACTTGTCCATATTTTAGGATACGTTACCAAAACCTGTAGATTAATCGAAACTTAAATCTATTTTACAAAAGTATTTAACTAATTTTTTTTGATTAAATATGAATTTACTCAATACTGTAATGTAAAATGCAAAAATTGATTATTTTTTTATTTCAATTTTTTTATATAAATTGTATTCATTAAATGTGAAGAGGTAAATTTTTTAGTTTCTATAATTCTTTAAGAATAGTAAAATTTAATATTAAATATAACTAACTTTTATAATTTATTTAATTAATAATGGCATAACTTCCATAGTTAATTCCTTGTGAAGAAATTTATGATTTGGATACATTTCAATTAGAAGATATGTAATCTATGTTAAAATCCTTTGCTACTGATGATGCTTAATGGAATAAGAAGGCTAAAAAGATTTTAGATTTAATTGAAGTTGAACTTAAAGAAAGATAAGCAATAGAAAATTTTGCTTTTAATATACAAATTGAAGATTTCATTCAATAGCCTATTTATTAAAACAATGCCCTTTAAGCTATTTTAAATGATATCAAAAATAGACCAGCGAATTATTTAGATGTACAAATTTCAAAACCTCCTTTATAAAAAAATGAATAGACAAATCATGAAAAATCATAACAATAAACAAATCAATAACATTAACAATAATAAACTAAATAATAAGTCTAATAATACTCTTAAAAAGTTTTATAATAGTAATAAAATTAATCTGATGCATTATCAACAAGTACAACAACAGGAAGCAGTCATCTTTAAAATAAGATGTAATAAAAAAAATCGAATTAGTTGTAGGATTTCATGAAAGATGTTTTAAAAAAGACTGATGTTACAAATTAATAATTTATAATAGGAGCTACAGTAAATCATAGATATATTCCACCTCCTCCAAAACCATAATTAAATACTGTTGAAAAAATTAAATAAGAAAAACTTATGAGAAAAAAGAAAAAGAAAAAAGTAAGAACTGAAAGTTTAGGAAAAGCTGTTGAACATCTTCCAGCAATTGGTAAACAATCATCTTCTATTAAAACTTAATCTAAAATGGAATAATCAAATGTTCATTCCTAAAGTAGTACTACTAAACAGAATTTTGAAATTAAATAGAAATCATTAGATTGCAATATTAATCATTAAGAAAACAAGGAAGAATTAATTTATAAATCTGATATCAATTAATAGATTTAATCAAATAGTTTAACTTCAAATAATATATTAGATCAGCATGAAACCAATGATAAGATCAAAGAAAAATCAATCATTAAGAATTCAAATGAATTAAATGCAAAAAACAATTTTAATTTACCTGAAGAAGAATGTTAAACTAATAATAATGATAATAATAATTTTAAAGATTAAACTAGTATTTAAAAATGTTAGACAGAATCTAAAAGTTTTGGCAATGAAGGAGACAGTTATAATAAAATTTAAATTAATCTTGAAGAGAAATATTAGGAATGCAAAGATAAAAAGAATATCGCACTTTAAAATGAGATTCTTAATAGTTAAATTATTCATTAATAAAAGTAAGATTAAGCTTAAGATTAAATTTAAAGCTAAAATTTTGAACAATAAAATAATTTCTAGATTCCAAATTAAGAAAAACATTAAAATACTTTTTAATAAAGTGAATAAGAAAAGAAAACAGATATTAAGTTTGGAGAATAGAAAACAAATAAGAAAGAAGTTGAAGAGAAAGAATAGATTTAAAAAAGAGATTAAATGTTATAAGATCATTATAATTATGTCATAAATGAATATAGAAATAATGAAGAATTGACAGGAGATTTAAAAGATGATTATTTAAGATAAATTTAATAGTTATAAAATAAATAAATAGAAAAGGAAGAATTTGAAGATAATATAAATGATGAAGATGAAGTAGACAATGAAATAGAAGATTATAATGATCAATAATAAAAACAAAAATAGGGAAATAATAAATAAAAAAATAATGAAGATGAAAATGTTATTTCACTTAAAGTTTAAAAGACTTCAATATAAAAGAATTAATCAAAAAATTAATTTATTACAAAATAAAGTATAAGCCAATAATCTTAAAGAAGATAAGATCTAAAAAGTAAACCTGGTAGTTAATAACAGTTAAATCATAAAGGTAATATTCAAAAGTAATTAACAATGGAATCTAAAAAATAAAATGATGAAGGTATGTCTATTAATTATAATTGAATAGTTGATGATTTTAATGAAATAGAGAGTGATCATGAATAAATTGTAGATGAAAAATAAAAAAAACCTAAAGAATTAGGAGTAAAATAAAATGGAAAAGTAGATTCTAAACAGAAAGGAGGATTTGAAAATAAATAAAAGATTGTTTTAACTGATAAAGAAAAAATGGATGAAATTAATAATATCTGTAAAGAAATGGGATTAGATGAATTTAAGATTAAATAATAATAATAATAAGTCAATCAAACTTAAATAGTTAAAGCAATAACCCCAAGTACTAATAATCGTCCAAAAAATCCATAATCAAAATATATATAGAAAATGCTTTAATGTATAGATGATTCAAAACTAGAAGATTATTCAGATATTGTTCCTACATTTTAACATTTGTTTAGTGGATTTTTTAATAATAGCCCTCATTATAATAATTTAGATGTAATGAGAGATATATTTTCTATATTTTCATAACACATAGATAAAGTAGATAATGTTGAATCTCTGTTATGTAAGTACAAATAAAATCCTTTGGCAATAAATCCGAATGAACTTGTTTATATTAATGATCCACATAGATTAATTCAATATTCAACAAGAACAGGGGTTGATATTTAATAATATATATAAAGATAGATGGTTTTTAATAGGAGAATATAAAATGATTCAACAAATTAAGGAAAATAAGAAAGATATTTTAGAGTAGTGAAAAATAAAGAAGAGGTATATGGTAATAAATATATTAACAATAGATATAATAACTAGGTCATTTATGAGAAAATAAGGTTGGACTGAGTTACCTCATGGAATTGGACTTCGAACATCTTGGAATGTATTATGGACATGGTCTAAACCATAAATAGATTTAAATAAATTGCTTCTCTTTTAAAAAGTTAATCATTTTCCTTTTAATAAGAATTTAGGAAGAAAGGACTTATTAAAAAAGAATATAGAGAGATGTTAAAAATTAGGTACAAAAGCTTAATAAATATTTGACATAATTCCATCAACTTTTTTGTTACCTAAAGAGTATGTGTAATTTATGGAGAAATTTTATAAGGATTCTGAATCAGAAGGGTAATAAAATATCTGGATAATGAAACCAACTGGAAAATCTAGAGGTAGAGGCATAACTGTTTTAAATGATATATCAGATGTAATGTATGCTGAACCAGTTGTATTACAAAAATATCTAAAGAATCCTCTCTTATTAAAAGGACATAAATTTGATATGCGAATTTATGTATTAGTAACATCCTTTAATCCATTAGAAGTATTTCTATACAAAGAAGGATTTGCTCGATTAACTACATAACCTTTTACTCTGGATATTAATGATCTCAAAAATCAACTTGTTCATCTGACCAATTTTGCAGTTTAAAAAACTCATGTATAAATCTAAGATTTAGAATAATAATTAGGAGGTTGTAAAATATCTTTAAGATAATTAAGAGAAAAATTAATTGATAAAAATATTGATTGGAGTAAAATCTGGGAATAAGTGTAGGATATTGTTTTAAAATCTTTAGTTGCTTGTTAATCAGAAATACCAAATAATCCTAATAGTTTTGAATTATTTGGTTATGATATTATAATTGATACAAATTAGAAATGCTGGCTATTAGAAGTAAATGCTTCTCCATCTTTAGCTAGAGATTATATTTTAGATGAATTGATAAAATAATAGCTAATTGATGATATCTTTGATTTAATAGATAGTCCAAATTATGATCGATAGAGACTTTGTGAAGTTTTGGAAAGAAGAATTTAAGAAGAATAAGGTTGCAAATCAGTCATTAACACAATGAACAATTCTAAATTACAATTGTAGAGAGATTTAAATTATATTTTAAATGGTACTCATTTAAGGAGGTATGGAGAAATGCCAAAATAGATGGGAGGATTTATGAGATTGGCACCTTCTGAAAAATATGATAAATTAAAATCTTTAGTTTAAAGTTATAAAACTATTAATGGTAGAGGAACTATAGATTGAGTTTTATTAATTTATTTTATAACATACTTTATATTTTCAAAAAAAACAATAATTATTTTATTATTTAAATAAAAGAAATAAAATTATTGAGTTTTTTATGTTTTAATATGAAGATAAGTAGATTTAAATAAATAGATCAAAAAACTCTGAATTATGTCTAGATTAAAAGATTTCTTTATGTATTGAAATTTTAGAAAAGAATCAATAAAATCGAAAACTTGAAGATCTTTAAGTAATTGTAATGAATAATTAGATTATTGAAAAATTTGCAATAAGAAATAAGTTTTTCAAATAAATTTAAGAGGAGCGAGGAGAAAATATATTAAAAGAATGTTGCAAAAGAATAAATTTAGAAAGTTATGAAGAAGTAAAGTTTATAGTGATATAAAGAATTAAGTAGTTTTTGAATAAGGAGAAAGAGCTTATTCTTTTTTTATAATACTTGTAGGAAATGTTTAAGTATATGTATATAAGAATCCAAAGATTGATATTAAAGAAGAGGATCTAGATAGAGCAAGTTTAATAAAGAAAAAGTAAATGGTTAAAAAATATTAGAGAGATCATTCAATACAAATAAATTAATTCAAGGTTAAAGTTTTGGAGAGATGGCTTTGTTAAATGATAGTTTAAGATCAGCTAGTATTATTTGTGATACAAAATGTATATTTGGTGTTTTAAGTAAAAAGGATTACAAAGAAATCTTATAAAAAGCATAAGAAAATAAAATGAATTAATAACTTAAAGAGTTTCATGCATGTATGGAATATCATAATCTTTCTACAAAATTGTTGGACATCCTCTTTTTTGCTTTTCAAAGTTTCCATTATTAATTCAGATAAGGTGTCTATTATCAAGGTTAATAGAGTAAATAAGAAATATATCTAATTAAAAATGGAGAATTCATCATAACAGAGAACAACGACGATTATTATAATCCTAAAAGATGTGTGAAATATATTGCATTGTTATAAAAGGGATAATTCTTTGGAGATCATGAATGTTTTTTAAATTTAGAAAAACGTTAATAAAATGTTATTTGCAATTCTGAAAATGGAATAGTATTAAAAATATAATTAAGTAACTTAATTTAAAGATTGTAATCTACAAATTAGATGCATTTGTATGATTAATTAAAAAATGCTTGTTTATAGAGAGAATAAATAAGATTGGAACGAAAATCAAGACAAATAACTTTAAATGAAAACTATTTTATTGATATGAAATACGTTAAATAAAGAAATTTATCATATTAAGTAAAGAGTGTTCGCTCTGCAAGAAGAAATACTTTTAGTATTCGAAGTCCATTATAAATGGCTTAAGATGTTATTAAGAATAAAAAACAAGTTTATTTGCAATTATATAAAGAGGAAGATTATAGACCTTAAACTTAATAAAAATTAACAAACATTTTAAAATAAAACATTTAATAATTAAGAAAATAGACTTGGGAATAATTTTTAATAAATGATTAAAAGTATATCAATTGATACGAATTCCATTTTTCCATTCTCCATACGATATTTTTCCGTTCGGTAATTTTAGTAATGCTTTTCCATGTTATTTATCATTCTGCCATTCTCCTTCATATTATTTGCCATCTGGAAATTTCAAAATGCCTTAACCATGCTTTTAATCATTAACAAAATCTCCTTCATATACTTTTCCATCTGGCCATACATACTTTCCTTTTCCATTTCTATTTAATATTAAATTAAATACTTTTTATTGTTCTTCCAATATCCTTAATAATATTTGTTATCTGGCCATGTATATTTTCCATACCCATCAATATTATTACTTCTAAATTCCCCTTCATATGTAGCTCCATCAATCCATACAAATTTTCCTAATCCATCCTTCTTTCCATATTTATAGAATCCTTCAAAATAACTAAATTTACTTTTATTCACCATACCTTCCATCTGGCCATTTTTCACTTCCTTTCCCATGTTATAAATCATGTTCCCATTAACCAGTATATGTTGCCCCATCTTCATGTATATATGTACCTATTCCATGTGCTTCGTCATTTTCCCATTACCCTTCATAAACTTCTCCGTTTGAATGTATCAATCTACCTCTACCATGAGCATTCCCTTAATAGAAATAACCTTCATATTTAGATCCATCCTTAATTATCTTCTTCAAAAAAATACTTCACAAATTAGTATGCCTTTTCCATGTCTTAAATCATTTATCCATTCCCCAAAATACATTGCTCCATTTTCTAATTTACTTGGTGCTTTGAGAACCTTCTAATGAACAAGTTAATCATTTATATCGTCTATGCCAAATTCAAATGGTGGCAACTACCTTTAACCCACATTAATCACACTTGTGGAATACCTACCTAAAAAACTTTGGCTACGTTCTTAACTATTCATTAACACTATCATTGTATTTTTGTAATTGCATTTTCCAAACTCTTTAACGAGCTTACCAGCCACGGATCCAGCACTATACTTTTATGATTTTTTGTTCCTAACTCTTCAATAGTTCTAAACTTTGCCATCTTGGTTTTTGATTGCCTCTCACTTCAATCTAATTTATTGGATCATGTTTCCAACAGGTACAATTATTTCCCATAATACAAATAAATAATTATAATATGTATTTGCATTTAGTAGAAGCTTCACATGAATCAAAGATGTTATAATGTTAGAAATCTGATTTTATGTAAGCAGTTGAACATAGTTAATAATGTTTTATCGCTTAATAGTATTGCTAACATGATTTTTTATATTTCAATTATAGCATTTTGAGTTATTGTTGGTTGAATGGATCAATTATGGTAAAAGATTTAAAAACAAATAGACAACTTTAATAGTATCTGGTTTCGTAGGATATTTGGTATACAATGGAATAAGTGAAGTAATAAAAGAATATTTGATTCCTTCATTGGAGGCAGTAAAAGTACGTTTTGAAGTTTCTGAGATTATGGCTGGTGTCACTCTATTAGCATTTGGTAATGGTGCAGGAGATGTTTTAACAGCTTTAGTGGCATCATCTTATCCTGGAGGTATAGATTACAACATAGGTGCTACAATGGGAGCAGGATTTGTAAATTATAAGCAATAATTATATTTTATAGTTCTTATGCAGTATTGGTGTTTATTTAATTACTAAAACATCTAAATCTTAAATCAAAATGGATCCTATACATTTTTGGAGAAATGTTGGATTTCAAATTATTTCAATATTTGTTATTATGGTATTTGGAGTAATAGGTCAGATTTCATATTTTTCCAGTATTTCTCTTACAGTTTTGTATTTGATTTTGGTATCATTGGTCTATTATCAAGAAAGAGATAAAATATTAAAAAGTAGAAAGGATAATATGGGAGAAAGAGTTTAAACTGTTAATGAGGCTAAATTCGATTTAGAAATCGCATAGAAATTTGATGATATGAAATTAATATATTTTTGGGATAAAAAATCAGAAATGGAATTAGCAGCAAAACCAGTAAAATGGTTAACTCCCTTAATAAGATTAAATTATGTATCCGGAGATACAAGAGTCAAAATGTTAGCTAATAAATTTAGATCAGCAGTTAAACTTACAATGGCAAATATGGAATCTTAAAAATAGAAATGGGAAAGATTATCATTTCATGAAAAAGTTAGGGCTGTTATTATATATCCTTTATAAATGATATTAAAATTCACTCTACCTAAACCTTAAGAAGATTAATTCGATAAAAATTAAGCTATAAGTAATTCTAATTTTATTTATTTTAGTTTTTCCAATACCTGGATCTGCTTTCTTTGTTTCTGTTGTATTTAGTTTCCCTCCATGGTGGGTATACTTCTTAGCTTTAATGTGTGGATTTGGTATATCCATTTTCATTAATACTACTACGCCTACTTAAAGATCTCCTCCAAAATACTTTTTTTATATACAATTATATTGTATTTTAGGTTCTTTAGTATGGATATTCTTTTTGTCTGGATTACTTATAGACTTCTTACAATTTTGGGCCATCATTACAGAATTGAATAAGACATACTTAGGATTTAGTTTAATTGCTATGGGAAATGTATTACCTGATTGCATCACTTTGATTTCTTTAGCAGAAGAAGGTTATGGTAATAAATAACCTTATTTATAGCAATCATGGCATTAAATGGAATTTATTGTAATTCATTTTACTAATTCTCTAGTTGGATAAATGTTCACTAATTTAATTGGATTTAGCCTTGCATTTCTTAAACAAAATTTTGTGAATTCTGGCCCGATCAAATTCAATCTATTCAGTATTATAGATATTGAATAAAATGCCTTTAAATTAATGGTTATTTTAGCTGCATTCCTTAATCTCTTATTCACATTAATTATGGTTATTCGTAATCATTACATTATTAGTAGATTTATTGCTAAGATACTAAGCATATTTTATGCCATTTTTTTTATCTTATCATCTTCATCTGCATTTTATCATGCATGGGTAAAAAAATGAGAATATTATATTTATAATACATCTTAAATTATTATTATTATTATTATACTTATTATTGTATACTATCAAATAACATCTAATAATTTCATTAGATATTTTGAAGAAATTCTTAATTATTTATTCATAATCATATATTATAGTATATACAGAATTATTATAATCTTATTCTTTATTTTCTTCATATATTTCATTCTATCAATGTTAAATATTGTTCAAATTTTAATTTAATTCTTTAATCTAATAACTTGTAATTATAAATAAGAGTAGAAACGAATAAACCCTTTTTTGAAATAAAAAAAACTCTCCTTAAAAATAATTTTGTTTTCATTAAACTCTACAAGTATTCCATGTTTTAAAGAATTCTTAAGTAACCTTAATAATTGTTTTAGTTTGAGAAATAACGATTCAGAAATATCTCATCATCCCTGGAGTATGATTTCATCATAATAATATCATATTCTGAAATCATTAAAACATCAATTCTAAACTTCTTCTAAATATTCAAAATTTGATTGAATACATAAACTATTTATATTATATATTTTATATTTTCATATATACTTAAATTCTTACAACCTTCTTATTTTTCATTTTTATAACTCACAATAATAATAAGAATATTTATTTACAACTAATTAATTTTCATAATAATAGAGATATATGTATATATAAATGATCAAATATTTATGTTCCAAAATAGTTCTTTTAAATTTAGGAATAAGAAGAGGGGTTAAACTTTAAAGAGTAGAGCTATATTTTTTATAATTTAAATTTTATTTTGCATTTTTTACTTGATATGACATACATACATATAGTGTTTATATAAGAAAAATAGATTACTAAAAATAGATAGCTAGAAATAGATAGCATTGAACAAAGATATAGATATAATTGTAGAATAATAAAATTAAATAAATATAAAATATGTATGTATTCATTTTGATGCTTTGGATAGCAATAACTACATTTGCAAATGAAGCAGGTAATAAAATTAGAGTATTATATGAGTGAAGTAAATCAGCTTAAATGAGTTAGTAGATGATGCAATTGTTGCTTATGATTATAAGGTATATAGATTAAAAATACCCAATCCAGAATAACTAAAAAATCGTACTTTAATAGTACAATTACTACCATAAATAGGGAATCCTAAAGTAGGTGTAGATTGTGATACGTAAATATATATATAATAAAGTAGATAACCAAAACTATTAGATTATTATGAATGGTAAACAGGATCTTGGTTCATGTAATAACTTGCAATATCTTACTAAGAAAGATAGGTAGTAAACTGTACAGATTATGATTTTTATATTGGCGTCTCAAGTGAAGTTGTTTCTGGTTATTAGTTGGTTACTTATGTTTTGAATGGGATTCAATAGTTAGAATACAATATTCCATTAAGGTAAATATAATATATAATAATAGTGGTGAATTAGTAGAAAATGAAATTCTTCAATTCAAATTAAAGCCAATCTAAGCAACAGAATAAATTACCTTTTAAATTACAGCTAATCAAGTAGATAAATTCTTGAAATAATGTACTAATGATGATTGTTAAATTACGATATCAGATTTTGAAGGTAATGATACTGATACAGCTATTCACATTACATAATCATCACTTTCATTTGTTCATTAAAGTTGTTATAATTGTTTTTATTTGATTGGATTAAAAAGTGATATTAAAGCATAATTTCGAATTTTGGCTAAACGTAAAGAATAACATATAATCTTAAGAGAGGGAGAATAAGAATAATTTCATGTTGAAGAAGGATTTTATATTTATTATATGTATAATATTCCTGATGACAATAATATCAAAAGTGTGAAATTTCAATTAACTTAATATAATGGAACATGTATAATGTTTGGTAGTTCATCTAATGATTATCCTGATGATCAAAATAATGAAATAAAGCACTCTTCATAATTAAAAGCAAGCAATAACAAAACTTTCTATCTAAGTGTATATGGTTTGACATAATGTTAATACGGGATTTATACATAAGTGGAAAGATTTTAAACTGTTAATTAAACTCATTTCATTTATTTATAAAGTGGTATTCCACAATAATATGTGGCAGGAGAATAATATAGTTTTTTTTATTTATAATTAACCTAAAAACAAAATTTCACCATTACATTAAAAAATATTGAAGGCAACTTCATTATGTATGTTAAAACTAATAAAAATAATTAAGAAATACCAGATAGTAATACTTATTAATGGAAAGATTCAAAATATATCGAAATCCATGTTGATGATCCTAATTATGCAACTGTATATTACATTGGAGTATAATGTTTAAATGATCATGGTGAATTCATCATACAATATATAATGCATGGAGATATTGAATTTTATCAAGTAGGTTAATAAATTATAGGTACTGTTGCCGAAAAAGAGTTTAAATATTATAAATTACCTATGTAATCTAGAAATCTAACAATAACGAAAGACATCTATTCAGGCAATGATGTCTTTGATTTAGATTTATTCATTTCATTTGATCAAAAGAACACACGTCCTAATATCAAACATTATAATATCTATCTTATAAATAAGAATTTAACAATACCTGATTCTGAATTAAAATGTTCAAAGAACTCTACAAAAATTAATGAATAAAATCTCTGTTATATTTACATATCTGTAACATCTTCATCTGGAACTATTTTTTATACCATCTCAACCAAATACAATAATAGTAGAATACAATTAGATGAAGGATATCCTTAAACTGTCACATTTGATCAAGAAACCTTATTCTATTATATTCTTAATTAAAAAGAGGTTTCTGTATAGTGGTATTCGTATGGAGGAAGCCAAGCTAATATTGAAGCTTATTATGGAAACAAAGATAATTCAGATTTGAAATACGAAACATTTAAATCACAATCTTACTTTACATAATTCTAAAGTATTACCATACCAGAATCTGAAAAATATTAAATATTATACATTCATGTGTAACCTATTGAACCTCACTATTAAAATGACACATACACCATAGGAGTTTATGAAGGAGTCAAATTAATGACTCAATCTGATCCTATAATAGATACTCTACAAAAAGGATAAACTAAATTTTACAAACTTACTTTGACAGAAGATGTTAAGTCTATTCAAATTAATCTACATGTTAAAGGAGGTGGAGATCTTGCTACTCCTAGAATCTCTAAAGGAAGAGAAAAAAGACCAACATTGTATGAATTTGAATATTTTTGGACAGAAATCCTTGGATCAACATACATCCTCTAAGAAGAACAAGATCGTTATTTAGCCAAAGACGATTATATCATTGGAGTATATGGATAATCTAATTGTGAAATTTAAATTAGTTACAATCTTGATGATGCCAAATTCTTTAATGCCTTCCTAGGTTATCCATTTGATGTTATCTTCCCTGAAAATATACCACATAATTATATTTTTAGAGATAATCCGAATGATAAAGAATTTAGAATCATTGTATTTGCACTTTAAGGCAAATTATAAGTTAGAGCCAAAAAAATAGATGATAATGATAATTCTACTCTTATTAATAGTCATGATGTTTTGTTTATAAATGAAATTGTTGAAAAACAAAAATCTTTTTCAATATACACTTGTGACTAAGTAAGTTGTGTCTATCTAATTGAAATCACTGCTATTTCGGGAGATAGTAAAGGATTGATTGAATTCAGCAGTCAATCTTATTAAACTACTCTATATGATGATCTTTAATGGACAGAAGTCTTGAATGAATCGCAAACTTCTCAATATCGCTTTTATTCACATGATGATGTTCACATAAATATCTAAATGATAAGTGGAGATATCAAATTATATTTAAAAGAAAGCCAAGAACTTAAACATAATGATGAAGCTGATTTAAGTTAAAGGATTCAAAATGATACTTAGATTGAATTTAAAAAAAAGAATGCCCTCATTTCTTAGATTACGATTAAGGTTGAATCTTTATCTCCAATTTCCATCTTTAAAATTAGTGCATCCAGATACTATAAAAAATATTATACCATACATTTGGGTTAAATGATGACTTATCATATAAAATCTCATGAAACTATTTTATTCTAATATCAATCAATTACTTAATCTAATAATAACCAATCAAAATTTATTACTCTACAAATTCAAAATATTCATCAATCAATTGAAAATTTATACTTTGATATTAGTCATAATTCCATCTAACCAATTAATTATTTTAATAAATATCCAAAAGCTATTTCATATCATCTATATGATTCTTTTGGACTCTATGAAATTTCAATTAAAGCCTTACAAAATAGTAGTACAATTAGAATTATTATCACTAATGGAGAATTGAATGCTTTAATAGATAACATATCATAATATTAACTTACAAAAATTGGATAACCAAATTATTATGAAGTCTTTTTATAATAAAAATCAAAACTCTTCTTGGAAGTTTTCACTTGCTCAGGATCTATATTAATCTAGGGAACAAAAAATTAAACCAATCTTGCCAAATAAATATTTGAAATTCAAGTGATGAATTCTTCCAAAGAACATATTCAATCAATTTTACAACTTGAAGCTGGTACATATTATTTCTTGGTGAAATTGATTTCTAGTCATGTTTAAGATGAAAACAAGAATAAAGTTTCATCTTATTTTATTAAATAATAAACTTTTGATTAGGATGAAATAATCCCTTACTCATCATTTGAAATAAGTAACAAATCAATAGATTGGTATAAGCTTGATGATAATTTGATCATCCATATTCCAAATTTAGTTTAAGTCAAAAAGGATATCACATTAATAAATGTTTACTTTATAGTGAGAATGCAATAAGCTATAGGTGAAAAGAGTCTTGCATGTTTGTTCGAATCTAATTATGTTAATAATAAGACTAATGTTTATGGTAAATATACATAAGTTGTTGATTAAAGCATAGAGAGTAACACTACCACTGTAAAATTTACAACAAAAGATTAATAGGCCAAATATTTGAGTGTTGTTGGAAAGGTATAATTGTAAATAGGGAATGAGATTGAAGAACTCACATATCCGTTACCAATAATAGAAATGAATTATTCTAAAAACTAGTAAGAATCTATTTAACAATGGATTTTGCTAGGTGTATTTCTGACAATCTTGCTTATAACGGGGTTTTTCATTTACTTTAATATAAAAAAATAAGTGAATCATTAAACCCATAACACACTTAATATTGAAATGAATTATTAAACATTTAATAATTGATGAAATAAACCCAATTTAAGAATATTTCACTCTTGGTCTTAGTTCTATATGGTCTTAATTATGTAGTTGACATGCTAACCACATAATTTTAGAATGTAATCAAGTTTCTTATGTTAGATCTATTATCTAAAACTTCTAGTTTTGTCGATAATAATAAAGAAACTTTTTGAATTACCTGTCACTAGATATGTATCATAAACCACTGGATATGTGATGAATCTTTACATTCCTAAAATTTTGAGGTGAAATTCTGTGTTTATACAAGAATACCAATTTTCACAATATTTAGTGAAATCTATAAAGTAAGACGATAAGACATGATCCATCCATTATAAAATTATGAAACATTTAATAAATTCTTCACTAGATAAATTAAGCCAAGAAAAATAGAGTGTGGAATAATTAGTCCTGCTGACTCAAAGATATTATCCATTAGTAAAATAACTAAGAATGAATGTTTACTTGTAAAAAGAGTGACATATCAAATTGGATAATTTTTAACAGGAATTAAGGGATATGAAATGGAATTTAAAAAAAGATAAGAATCCTCTAATCTTTGGTCTTGTATTTTTTATCTTGCACCTGGTGATTATCATCGATATCATTGTCCTGTTGATTTTATTGCAAGAACCAGATTGCATATTCCAGGGAAATTAGCACCTGTAAAAGAAAGCAGTCTAAAACAAGTATAGAGTTAAATTATATTAAAAAATAGGGATTATATGAAGGTAATGAAAGAGTAGTTCTTGAAGGAGAATGGGAATAAGGATTAATGTATATAATATTCATAGGTGCCACTAATGTTGGATCAATGAAAGTTAATTTTGACTCAGATTTGATTACTAATACAAATACATATCACAAAAATGGCTATCGCAATTATTCAAAACTATCAGTTAATTCTCCTTATTCATCATGTGATAAAGGTGTACATATTAAAAAAGGATAAGAAATTGGTAGATTTGAAATGGGTACTTATCATCTTCATTTAATTATTAGGATCTACTGTTGTAATGATATTTGAAAGTACATCAATTGAGTGGAATGCAAAACTTCAATAAAAGGTTTATTTTGGATAATAAGTTGCTTCTTATTGATATAAGTGTTATCAATATGTACATTAAAATAATATAAGTCAAATATTTGAATGAATTTTAAACATTCCTCATATTCTTCCCAAAGTTTTTGAATATATAGATTATTATGTAATCTAACAGAGGAGAATTTTTATAAGAGCTCATTTTCGAAATTGAATAATAGTCACTTGATAATGAGCATAATGAGTCTTAAATTCAAAGGAAATTAAGTTAATTATGTATTGAACCTTTTCTTTAACATTTATTACCAAAAAAAAAATCAATCCGTAAAAGGATGACTAAAAAGTTGACAATAAAGAATAAAGAGTTAAAAGATTTTCATAAAATCTAAGAGAGCTTCGATAGATTATGTTTAAATGATTGTTCCCAATCATTCCATTAAAAAGCAAGTTTTAATAATTTCTAAAAAATTATTGATTGAGTATATTGATTGAACTTGTGTTGTATTTTTCAAGTTAAATAATTTTTTTATGAATAACAATGACCTAGTACCAGTCAACTTTAATGCTTAACAACTTGCATTTCCATTGTATATTCCTCAGTTAATGAATTCCCAATAAATCTTTTTTCCCTTCATGTATTACTAGTTCCCATACTTTTAACACTTGTAAGCACAATAGACTGTAACAAAACCTATTTAATCAAATGAATAAGAATAAATAAATAGTTGTTCTTAATTTGTGTCAGTTAGTGGTACAAGAATAAAGCTGAATCTAAAATTAATTAAAGAGCTTCCATAATCCACTCCTACTACCATTCATGATGAAAATGAATCAGAATTAAATAGTAAATAGATAGATAAACATTTCAAAATTATAAAATAGAGTAAGCATGTTAAAAGACATATTTCCACTCGTAATGTGCACGTAAATACAGATTAGATTAATCAACCTTATAAGTTCTATTTCAGGAAAAATGATGGATTCATTCATATAGGAAATGGACATTAGACTGACCTAGTGAAAAACAAATTCAATTTCAATATGATGAGAATGAAATTAAAATAGTTTTAAGTTTGGGATCAAAAGAATATCTCTTTATGTATGAATGACTTTCTATTTAGATGATGAAATTAAACAACTTTTGAATTTGACTGATGATAAAACATTGTAAATTTTATAGTCATACAAAAATATTAAGTTACTTCACAAAAAACTTATGAGTGGAGATCCAATTGCATATGAGGAAGTCTAAAATCTACTAATTAAAAAATATAATTAATGAAAATAAATAGATTATCATATATTTCTTATCTTTATCAAATCAAATTAGCTTTGTTTATATATTTTGAATTCCTTATAATCTAAAAGCAAAGTATCAATATTCCAATAAAAAAGAAATACTTCAATATTTTATTCTAATCAAAGCTAATTAATTTAGAGAGATCTAAATTATTAACTCTGATATTTATTCATTATAATATATCTATTATATTTTGTACTATTAAAAAATAACATTTACTACGTTGATTTTTTTATTTTATTATTTACTTTAAGGCTTTGTAAATTAATTTTATTTTATAATATATCTTTATCATAAAATTATAAATTATTTAAAGGACATTTAATTTTTATTTTGTCATACTTGTAATATTGAATGAAAAATAACATACCTAGAATCAGTTGAATGACTGAATCATAAAATATTTGATATCATAAATCAGATAATAATCATATCCTTAAATCTTGGTAAAATCGACAAACAGCTACATATTATTAAAAGTATACTTAAAATTATTTAATCCATTCTATTTATTAATTAATCTTAATATTAGAGGAATTTTATAAATTTTTCATAATGATATAACAATATAAAAGTTAACTAAAATAGAAAATTATTTTTAGAAAAGATGGTTGATATTATATTAATTATCTTAATTAATAGATGAATGGATCAATTTAATTATTTTCTCTCTTAAATAAATAAAAGTTTTCTATGTAATGGCTATTTATTTTCAGTTAATTAATAGAAAAAATAGAATTGTAAAATTTTAAGTAATATAAAACCTAAAGAACTAAAAATTAAGATAGGAACAAAAAAGTGTTATAAATAATTATTAATAGATGTTTTAGATGTAAATTTAGAATAGTTAGAAAAGAGATAAAGTTGTTGAATAATTAAAGGAGTTAAAAGATTATTGGAATACATAAAATTAATTAAATAATCATTCATCTTCGCATTTTACAAATTAACTTACCTACTTGCTAAATAATCCTCTTTTATTAGTTTAATGAGATTTCTATGTGTGTTAAGATTTATGAGATTTAGCATCTGGGGCAATAACATTTTCTTCAATTAAAGGATTTCCTACAGGACTATCTTCTTCACCCTTATGTTTATCATCATCTTCTTATCGTACTCTGGTTGGAAACTTGACCATTTTTTTATCTTCATTTTATTTCTTAAATGCTCCCTTAGTTGGTTATTTGTTAGGATCGTACTTGTATTTATTTTCTAATTCATTATCCTATTCTTCGGCCACTTGTTAAGCACAACAAGATGATCCCATTTTAATTAAATAATATTAATCAAATAATACTTTCCAAATAATATTAAATTAAACTCATTGAAGTATTATGATTATCTCTATGCATTACTTATCCTGTATTTAATACAATTAAATATTCTAAGTAACCTCCCCTTTTCCATAAACCAATAAGTTAATCATCCTTCATTTATTTAGTCAACTGACTCTAATAAAAGAAATCATCTAATTCATAATTGATTGATATCAACCATTACATAGTTCCTGAAGGAGGAATAAGCATATCAAATTAAGATTGATAAATCAGAATGTTTTTATGATTAAGTAAATGTTGTATACTAAATATTTATCTAATTATTTACATATTGTTATCAAATGGCTCAAAATAATTATATTTAAATTAATCAAACACAGTTTATGAACGAGCCACAAATTCTGTTTCGAATGGAATATAATAAAGTGAATCTGGATTATTCAATGCATATTCTAATTTATCTTCATCCTCTGAATATAGTTTTTATTCTAATACATTATAAAGTGAAATATTCCCACTTAAATAATAAAGTAATTTAAAGAATTTAGCATTCTCATGTTAATAATCCCCATTAATTATATCATCACTCAACTTTATTACTGCTTTCTCAAAATATATTAGCTCTTAATAATCAATTACACCTAAATGAAATGCATAATTAGGAATTTCTGCTACTATTTTTAATGTATCTAAAAAAGGATCTAACAAACCTACACATTTTATACTCTTGCTTCTATTTGCTATTGCTAATGCAAATCTAGCACCAAAATCAGTTGAAAATAGAATTACATCTTTATAATTCACTTTGCATAAATTGTTGAATTCATTCATTGCTATTTCATAATCTATTGCCACTTCTTCATATGTTAAATTTTTTGTTGTATTTGTTCTCCCATAACCTGTTCCTGCTGGTAAATCCATAAATAGTAGATTACTAAAATTATTCCATTATCCAGAATGAGGTCCTATCTCCAAGTAATTTGATACTTGACTAGATAATCCTGGACCACCATTTATATAAACGATATTTTATTAACCTTCTCCTTAGTAATAAATAAAACTTATTGCACCATTAGGAACATGCAAATAACCATATTTTGTTTTTGAGTCATGATTTTTACAATATTGCTTTGGAAGTTAAGATTCTTCTGGCTAATATTTCATATCTTCGAGGTCTTATAAAATTAATCGAGCATAACATGAAACTATTAAAATCAAGCAGAACATAATTATATTAATCAAACATAAGGATTGTTTCTCAGCTAATCATACTTGCTCGGCTATTAAGTATTATAAAGGTTCCTTATATCTTACTCATCTTTTGCAAATGGATTATTTTAGTATTTCTAATTTGAAAATTAGTTAGTTGTATTAAATTAATGATACTATTAGTTATTATTATTATTATTCTAGTTATTGCTATTATTATTATTATTATAGTTATTATTCTAGTTATTGCTATTATTATTATTATAGTTATTGTTGTTATTATAGTTATTTTTATTATTATTATTAAAATTGCTATTATCTCCTTAATCTATTGGAAATTAAATATTATTAAATCCTTAATATATCGACTAATTATTATTTTAAATATTATTTATTTTATTATCAAATCCAAAAGTTTATGTATTATTAGATTAAACTTGATTATAATACTAATTTTATTATTATTATTATTAATTAGGCAATTATTACTATACTTAAGGTTGCTATTATATTTAATTTGTAGTTTGATAATTAATTAAATTATTCACTTATTATTGCTATATTTGAGGTTATTTATAATTTGTATTTTGATAACCCACTTAAGCATTTGATTTTCCAGGTAATGGAGGTTTACTATTTACTTAATTATATTATTAAGGTTATTGTTATTAAGGTTATTGATATGATTATGCTCCCCAAGGCTATTATTAAGAATTAAATCCAAATACATTATTATCAAAATTTAATAATTAAAATTGTTGTTATTACTAATTTATTTATTAATTTATTTGTTACTATGATTAAATTTAAGTCTATTTCTAAACTTATATCTATGGTTATTAAGTAGTTGGATTGTAAGTATTAAATTATGAATAATTTGCTTATTATAGAGTTGCTGAATGATTTGGATTATGTGATAAAAATTATGAATTATCTGATTATATTGAATAAGTTAGTAAATCGAACTCATTTAATTTATTGTTTTTTGGTTTGAAACTTGGTGATTGATCTTCATTTTATTATTTTGTTTTAGGAGGTATTTCTAATTAATTAGTTTGATATGAATGATTTTGAGGGATACCAGAAAAAGTAGAAAAATGATTAAAGGAATTCCAATCAAATTCTTTACCTTAATCTGGTGAGATTAGATTAGCTTCTTTCTGTATTTATTTGGTATCTATACTAAATTATCTATTATTTCTTTATATTCCTTATTGTTAGGTAGAATGAAATTGTTTCATATCATCTTTCATCTGTTAGCCTTAAGTTCCATTTTCACTAAAAAATGTATTAGTTTTTGAAACTCTAAAAGGTACACCACTCATAAGACATTATGTATATCTAGTTTTTGGGTCAGCCTGACCCTATTTAACCCAAGTTCTCTTAATATACTTTTCTTAAACAAAAAGTTTAATTTCTTCTGGAGTAGCAGAAGGTTGTATTTTATTATTTTTTTGCAATCTCCCTTCCCAATACCTATAATTATTCATTATAAATTTTACTCATTTTAATCATTTCCTAAAGCATCCATCATATCAACATTTTCTTAAGTCCAACAATCTAATTTTGTTGATCTCACTCTAGTTATATTTTATCCTAATGCTCTATGTTATCCTAAATAAATTTATTTATTATTTTACCTGAGCAATTATAACATACAAAAACACCAAAATCTAGAGATGCCCATGTTGGAGATTTTGATGAGCAATCTGCACAAATTGAGTTGCATTGCTTTTTAAGAATTTTCTAAAATGCTGCTTCTTATTACTTAGTTGACAGTACTCCTTAGTGACTCATAAATTAATTATAAAATTATTTTTATTAAAATTATTTTCTTACATTCTAAATTTGAGAACTATATTAATTAATCACAATTCATGATATTTATATTTTTAAGGCATTCTAAAATTATTTAAAAATTCTCTTTTAATTCAAAAAAGTGTGTATTTTAGATTTATAATAGATTTCTTTAGAAATAAGAACTATACAATTAATTTTATATTTTTCTTATAAACTTTTTGCTATCAAAAGATCGCTTATAACATGAACAATGTTTGGAATTACTAAAAAATAATTATTATATATTTTATATAAATAAAATCTATAAAATTTTATTTTCTGTATAATTATATTATATAATTTTTATTTATCAGTCTAATGGAATTCAAAATAATCTATATTTTGAGTTTATCCAATCTGTTTTGATTCTTCCTTAAGGTTGTTGAAACAATGGAGAAAAAGTATTATTTTTTCTTGATTCTTTATTCATATTTCTAATAGTCTCTTTTGGTAGTAATCTATCCAAAAAGGATTGATCATATTATATTCGATTTTATGAAATAGTCTTGCCTTTAATGGATACTACAGATTTTGAGAATTTTTCGAAGATTTATCTGGGTGATATCACGTATTTCATATTGTTAATGTCAGCGGGTACGTAGTTTGACCTAGTAGATTTAAGTTGTTTTTAGGGTTGTTTGACTAACTTATGTCTTAAGAGTTTCAATTTATTGAATATATGAGATGTTTGTGGACGTAGTGAATACGATTTAAATTCATCCATGGAAAAATAAATTTTATATGCAAATTTGAATAATGTAATAAAAGTAATTAAAGTCGATTGGAGTTTAAAATTGAGTCAAATATGGATTGATTAGATTTTGTTAATTTATATAATCTTTGTATTTAGTTGCATATAAAAATAAAAAAATAATTTTGAATAAATATTTAATTCCGCCAAATAAATGCGCCTAACATAAATAATTTATTTAAAATATATTTTTCAAATGACTACTTTCGATGGTGAAAGGATATACTATACAAATCAAAAATTTACAACAGATGAGTATCTAATGATGATTACATATTTAATAGTGAATTTAATCATGAGTCAACAATAACAGATGCTGGAAAGAGAATTTTGAAATTTCTGAAGGAATTTAATTTTTAAGACAAGTTTATATATAGAGATCAATTGAAAGAGAATGTTGCAAATAATGAATATATATTGCGAGTGGAAATAAACGATATTGAAAATTAGGATAAAGAATTATATTCTTTTATATTAGATCATCCATAAGATATTTAAGAGACTTTTGAAGATAAAATAAAAGAAGTAATATATAAAATATAAAATAAAGTTGTATAGCTAAGAAAAGATGTTAAACAAGAGTGATTGTCCAGATTTTTAATTATAATTGATATCATAATAGAATCCAGATTTGCTTAGAAATTTGACAGCATAACATATAGGTAAATTGGTAACAATAAAATGCATAATATCTGCATCTAAATCAATAAAAGTGAAGGCAAAGAAAATATTAGTGAGATGTAGAGAATGTCAAGATGAATAGAATATAAATCTTGGATTTGGACCAAAACCAATGAATTTACCAAGATATTGTTTAGGAAAGGTTTAATAAAAAGGTGCATAGACAGATGTCTAATGTCCAACAGATCCTTATGTAATAATACCAGAAGAATGTTAATACATAGATTAATAAACATTAAGAATTTAAGAGCTTTCTGAAGCAATTCCAACCGGAGAAGTTCCTAGAAACTTTATGGTTTATTGTGATAGATATTTAGTAAACAAATTGATTCCAGGATAAAGAGTGATAATAACAGGAGTATATTAAGTGCCACCAAAAGGATCATCTACTATAAAAAGTAATGCAATTGATACAGAATTATTATTACCTTATATTCATGTATTTGGGGTATAAACAAATAAAATAAATATTAAATAAGGATTATCAGAAGCTTAAAGATAAGAATTTAAATAATTAAGTAGAAATAGTGATATATTTAAAATTATAACAAATTCAATAGCTCCAGCAATATATGGTCATGAAGATATTAAATTAGCAATAGCATGTTTATTATTTGGTGGAACATCAAAGAATCTTCCAGATAGTATGAAATTAAGAGGAGATATAAATGTATTATTGATAGGAGATCCAAGTACAGCAAAATCTTAATTATTAAAATTTGTTGAAAGAGCCTCAGATATTAGTGTTTATACAAGTGGTAAAGGTAGTAGTGCAGCTGGTTTAACAGCTACAATTACATATTAACATAATACTTCATAATTTACATTAGAAGCAGGTGCATTGGTATTAGCAAGTGGTGGTGTATGTTGTATTGATGAATTTGATAAAATGAGATCTGAAGATAGAGTTGCTATGCATGAAGCTATGGAATAATAAACTATTTCTATTGCTAAAGCTGGTATTACTACTCGATTAAATGCTAAATGTTCTATTCTTGCTGCTGCTAATCCTATATTTGGTAGATATTAAGAAAACAAATCTATCTAAGAATAAATTGAACTATAAACTACAATCTTATCTCGTTTTGATAACATATTTATTATTAGAGATGTCAGATCTATGGAAAATGATTAAAGATTAGCTAATCATATTATATCACTTCATACTGGATAGTTTGCTGATCAAGAAGGTATGCAAATTGAATAAGATAGCCATACTCTTGATCTTATGAAGTTAAAATAATACATTAAATATGCTAAATCTACTGTTAAACCTTTACTTACTGAATAAGCAGCTTAAATGATTTAAAATCTATATGTTGATGATAGATAAAAATCATAATAGCCTCATCATTCCAAAAGTGGAGGAAAATCTCATATTCCTATTACTGTTAGATAACTTGAAGCTATTATTAGAATTAGTGAATCTTTAGCTAAAATGTAATTATAAGAACATGTTAAAGAGGATCATGTCAAAGAAGCTCATAGATTATTCTAAATATCTACTATGATGGCTGTTTCTTTAGGATCCAAGTATATTTTTATTTTATTATTTTAGAGAATTTGGACTTGATTTATCTAATGATTTAAAATAATTAGTTACTAAAATTGAAGAATCTATACTCAGAAGAATCAGTATTGGATCCAAAATACCAGCTACCAGATTAATTTAAGAATTATCTGATAGATTCCATAATCAAAGAGCTGTTGAATTTGCCATACACAATTTAATTTAGACTGAATAACTCTAATAAGTAGAAATGAAGAAAATGCTCATTAGGAAAAAGTGATTTTTTATAGTTTTTTCTGTAAACTTTATGTTGTTTATATTCATTTCTAAAATATCATTAAAAACTATTTGTAGTTACAATATTTTTATCAAATAAATTTCTTTCTATTTTTCTAAAAAATCTTAGTTTTTAAATATATATTTATTAACATGTAAATTAGCTTCATCTTTAATTCCAGAATTTTAATCTATTAGATAATTAATAACAAATGTTATTCATCATCTTAAAGATATTTTTTTTAGAATAAATTCAAATAATAAATAATAATTATTATTTTTTAATCTTTATTAATATGATTTAAAATCTAAGTAATTATTTTATATAATTCTTCTACTAATTCCAGTACTTGTAAAATTTATAATCTATTTCAAGAACATTAATTTAATCGCCTTCTACTTTCATAGATCAAGAAAAAACTTCAAAAATCCTTTAAATTCTTAAAATTATTCTATACATAGTTTTTATATAACAGAATTTTTTATTATACTGATTTAAAACTATATTGAATTAAGATCTTTTTAAATTATTTTTATATTAATTTTTTGCATTGAGATCTTGATTTTGGATAATTGAGCCTTATTATTGACAATTATAAAATGTAAAAATTTTAATCTTTTGAAAATATATATTACAGAGCTCCTGATGTATTGTTAAGAATTATTTCATATTAAACTTCAAATATATATATGTAAAGAAGATTGCATATTTGCTAAAATAGTAACAGAAAAATATGTTATTAAGATGATAATATTTTTAATGAAGATCAAGTTTTTTCACAATGAATTTGATTAAAATCAAAATGATTTTTTATCTTGAAACACCAGACATTTTTGTCCCATTAAAAATAAATAAATTAAATGACCGCCTTCTTATCTTTTGGATATGATAAATTTTAAAAACTATTATATATAACTTTTGGTTAAAGAATTAAAGCTGATAAGGCTTTAAAGTTATTATGTTTAAAAGATTTGTATATGCAAATAATTAGGTATAAAATTTATCTTATATAATGTAAAAGCCTATTAGAATTCCAATTTTGAATATGGAGAATTAAATTGAGAAATATGAATAAAAAATTAAATAATTGATAGACAGCCGAAATTCTTTTATCGTTTTCCTGATTTTAAGTAACAAAATGAAGAAAAGACTATGGAAAATGAAAGTGATATCAGTCATATATTGTATGGGGAAGGTAGGAAAGTAATTGATTCAACAGCAGATGACGAAATCCCTAATGATTTTTAATTAAGATATAAATATCTATATATAATATACAAAATTTCAAACGATTTTAACATTGTCAATCAAACTAGATAATAGATTTTATGAATACTATCAGCCAAAATGAATTCAATCAATAATTCAAGTAAAACATTCAATTGATCCTCTTTTTGAGATTAAGTTTTGTCTTTCACAAAAATTCTAAATATAACAAAAATTTTAACTTATTCTCTTTACATTTTTACTTCGATATCTTAAGACTTTTATAAAATACCTAATTAAATATACATAATACTCTTTTCCATTTTTATTCAATCTATGTGAACTTCTATTTACATAGAGGACATGTATTTTCAATCTAAATTTAAGAGATTATAATACATTTGACCATTTTTGAATGCATGTTAAACAAAATGAATGATTGCAACTATCTAATTATCCCTGAACATAACTATTTCAGTTTACTTATTATTCTATTGCATAATAACATATTCCACATTATTCTGCTTTAGATTGAAATCTTGTTTGTCTTTATTGTGGTTCTTTCATTTTTAGTTGCTTTAATTATTAAATTATTAAATTAATGAAATTTTTAAGACTTAAACTAAAATTTTAAAGAATAAATTGAAATATATATTTGACATAGCATAGTGTTTTAGTATGAAATGATTAATTTGTAGTAGTATAGAAAGGAATTGGGATTGAAATTCTGTTATTTAGAATGAATAAAATTTTGTTAATAATAGTAAATTTGTTGGATAGAATACAAAAGAGAGTATAAAGGTGTGATGTGAATAGAAATAAAAATAAGTTTATAATGAATAGGATGAAAAATAATATGTTTTTAGATCAAATTGTAATTTTAGTTAATTCCCAACCTAATTGTTCTAATATTTGGATTTATTTGGCAGCAGATTGTCTTCTTTTTCTATAATGATCTTGACGATTAAGCCAATCTAGATCTGAAAGTCTATATGATCTGATAAACTTCTTATTTTGATCATAATGAAGTATTTCATCTTTTCCATCAGGTATAAGCCATCCATCAGGTTAACAATTGGAATTATAATAACAACCTTAATGATCAACCCAANTATCGTTTTCCTGATTTTAAGTAACAAAATGAAGAAAAGACTATGGAAAATGAAAGTGATATCAGTCATATATTGTATGGGGAAGGTAGGAAAGTAATTGATTCAACAGCAGATGACGAAATCCCTAATGATTTTTAATTAAGATATAAATATCTATATATAATATACAAAATTTCAAACGATTTTAACATTGTCAATCAAACTAGATAATAGATTTTATGAATACTATCAGCCAAAATGAATTCAATCAATAATTCAAGTAAAACATTCAATTGATCCTCTTTTTGAGATTAAGTTTTGTCTTTCACAAAAATTCTAAATATAACAAAAATTTTAACTTATTCTCTTTACATTTTTACTTCGATATCTTAAGACTTTTATAAAATACCTAATTAAATATACATAATACTCTTTTCCATTTTTATTCAATCTATGTGAACTTCTATTTACATAGAGGACATGTATTTTCAATCTAAATTTAAGAGATTATAATACATTTGACCATTTTTGAATGCATGTTAAACAAAATGAATGATTGCAACTATCTAATTATCCCTGAACATAACTATTTCAGTTTACTTATTATTCTATTGCATAATAACATATTCCACATTATTCTGCTTTAGATTGAAATCTTGTTTGTCTTTATTGTGGTTCTTTCATTTTTAGTTGCTTTAATTATTAAATTATTAAATTAATGAAATTTTTAAGACTTAAACTAAAATTTTAAAGAATAAATTGAAATATATATTTGACATAGCATAGTGTTTTAGTATGAAATGATTAATTTGTAGTAGTATAGAAAGGAATTGGGATTGAAATTCTGTTATTTAGAATGAATAAAATTTTGTTAATAATAGTAAATTTGTTGGATAGAATACAAAAGAGAGTATAAAGGTGTGATGTGAATAGAAATAAAAATAAGTTTATAATGAATAGGATGAAAAATAATATGTTTTTAGATCAAATTGTAATTTTAGTTAATTCCCAACCTAATTGTTCTAATATTTGGATTTATTTGGCAGCAGATTGTCTTCTTTTTCTATAATGATCTTGACGATTAAGCCAATCTAGATCTGAAAGTCTATATGATCTGATAAACTTCTTATTTTGATCATAATGAAGTATTTCATCTTTTCCATCAGGTATAAGCCATCCATCAGGTTAACAATTGGAATTATAATAACAACCTTAATGATCAACCCAACCTCCATAATTATCAAAGAAATAAACTTGATCATCAATTTCAAATCCAATAGGTGTACCATCTTAATCAAAGAAATCTATGTATTTTTCAAAATACCATGGTTTATGAGGAACAAACATTAAAATATAAAGAATAAATAAATATATTTGATTGATTGATTATGTTAATATTAAATTCATTAACTTGCAAGAACTTGATTATCTTCTTCAATAGGTTGAAGTTATGCAAATGAAAAGGTAATAGATTCCATCATAGGTTAATTTGAAATAAAGGAGGTTCTCTAACCCTCATACTTCTCTTTATTAAAAAGATATAATCTTCTGGAAACAGGAACAGTCAAAGATTTAATAGGTTTAGACCATCCATATCCTGGTAAATCTGGTATTCTATCACATACAGTAATGGAATCTCCTTTGAAATTGAATTCAGAGAAGAGTTCAGCACAATCAGGGTCAAATATTTTGAAATTAGTATCAGCAACAAAGACAGCAGTTTAATGGAAGACTCCATAAATTTAAGTATCCCACCCTATAATCATAATATTAATGTAAAATTACAAGTTACAAGATTATATTGCAATTTATTTTCCAATACTACTTTATTATACTACAATCTCATATTTCTAGCTCTTTCTACATCATATCCTCTAAGTGTAACAATAGGAACTCTTGGACCACTTTACCATACTTTAGGTAATTCAATAGTTTATTAAACTTCAGCAGCACTTGGTCCTCTTTTAACAAATGGATGACTTGATGCAGGATCATTATAGAATACAAATGGAGGAGATGTCCATAAAGATTGGTCAGTACCCAAAAGTACATTAAATCTTACATATTCTAATTAAGCTTGCCAATATGTTCTTGCTGATACAGTAACTGATTTTGGAGTTACTTATTCAACCTAAAATACATCTAAGTCTTTACTTTAACTTCTACTATTGGATTTGTCAATAAATGTTTGCAACCAATCAAACCTACTATAGCATTAGTTGCTTCTTTTAATCCATGTTCTATTGTATACGATATCTTTCTTTCACCTGAACCAGTCTTTAATTCTTTAACGTCAGTTGTTTCGAAAGTTACTACTGATATTCTAGGATCGTAAATTGCATACCAATCAACAAATAAAGAATAAACAGGAGATGGTGCTACTGCACCTCCACTTAATTTAAATCCTTTTTATTTATTATTTCACATTTTTACCTGTTGTAGTAATATCGCTAACTCTTTCAAGATAACCATGAGGTAAACCAACACTCCAATCAAGTAATTGTGCTGATATAAACACTTAAGGAACTACTTCGAAGGTTTTCTTGAATTTTACGTCCACTACCACTTATCTTGGAACTCCTGCTTAAGCTTCCAATATATGACCCCCAGCATATTATACTATTACTTATGAGCCTGTCTCAAATTGTGGTGTTCTATAACTCTATGTTAATGATAATATTGCTATCAGAACTATTATCTTCATTAATCCGTTTTTATATTATATAAATTATCTCATTCTCTTTATAAATTATCAATTTAAATCAATTCTATAACAATCTCCTTTCTGTTCTCTACTTCCATCTATCATTATATCCAATATTAAATATCATTATCTCATTTAAAATTTATATCTCCATTTAAATCTCCCATTTTTATCTAATTATTTATCATATTCATTAATACATATATATTTCATTAAAAATGAATGTATGTTCCAATTTTGCATTGTCTCTGACTGGAGGTTTCTAAGAGTGTAGGAATTGTGGAAGAGAGAAAAAATTTCATAATCTTGACTTTGAAAATAAAAATATTGAGTATGTTCAAAAATCTACCAACAATAGCAATGCTGGTATTCATATATTCATTATATTTATTAGCTAAATTCTAATCAGACAAACTTTAACAGATTGCTATATAAAAATAAGTTGAAGAAGATGAATTGAAAGCCAAGGCTTGTAACAATTTTGTATTAGCACTTGTTGGATAATTCCAATAATGTGGTAATTGCAAAATTGAAAAAAAGTATCATAAACTAGATACAGCAGGTTAAATTGCCTATCAACCCAAATCCTAACTTAATAGATCTTCTATATAACCTTAATAATAAGCAAAACCAAGTGCTATTGCTGGTAAACTAATTTTTTTATTCTATCATAGAAATTGTCTCTGAAACTATGATGGTGTAATCTGTCAAAGATAGAATTGCATAAATGAATCAAAAAAAATAAGGCAATAATGAACCACAATTTAGACCAAGTGTTAAAAAAGAGTAAGTTAAAGAAAAAGTTCTTGGATAAGCTGAAATAGTCACAGAACAACTCTTTACATCTGTATCTGATAAAAAAGGAATTTTTGATAAATAAAGAATCAGAAAAACTATTGAATAATCCTCATAACAAATCAGAGAAGAATAAAACGTAGAGGGTATTAGAAAAGCTGAATCTTCTTACATTACATCATAAGATAATTAACAATAAATTTATGATGAGCAATAATAATTTACCAATAATTAATACTAAGAAAATCAATAATAAGACTCTAAATTAAATTAATACTAACAATAACAATCAGAAAATGATTAAGATTAATAATAATAATATCAAGATTAATAATAATAATATTAAGATCAAGATTAAGATTAAGATTAATAATAATAATATCAAGATTAATAATAATAATAATAATAATATCAAGATTAAGATTAATAATAATAATATTAAGAATAAGAATAATAATAATAATATCAAGATTAAGATTAATAATAATAATATTAAGAATAAGAATAATAATAATAATATCAAGATTAAGATTAATAATAATAATATTAAGAATAAGATTAATAATAATATTAAGAATAAGAATAGTAATAATAATAATAATATTAAGAATAAGAATAGTAACAATAATATTAAAAAGAAGAATAAGAAGAATAATAAGTTTTAGAATAAGAATAAGAATAATCTAATTATTAATAATAATAAAACAATTAATATGAACATGACCAATAATAGTAAGATGATCAATATGATAATGGACAACAAGATATTCAATAACCTGATTAAGAAAATAATCAAGACATTTATTGAGAGATGTTGAGATATTCATAAATAATAATAATTTATTTATTATAATTTGATACTGTCTCTCGATGCTATTTAGATAAAAAGAAAAAGTTCCTGATATAGGAAAAGATAACTTTCGTGATTTCATGAGAAGAGAAGGAGAATCATGCTAATAAACTTAGATGAAACTTTCTACATGTATTCATAAAACTGTTCCAAATGATTAAACAAAGTCTTAATTAAGGTAAATCCTTCATCATTTTTTAGTCCAGTTTCCCAAGCATTAGATGGTTCATTGAAAATGTAAGGTAATACTTGGGATGCCAAACATTTAGGAACTTTCCTTTAAAAAAGTTAATTTGCTACTATTGGTGGAAATTCTCTCAAAAATACAGACCCATTCTAAAACTGCATGAAGAATTAAAGTTTTTTCTTTAGAAGCCAATAACCTCGTATTATAGATGATCATGTTGATTATTTACATCAGCATACTATCAATCATTTAATAAGTGACCATCCTACCATTAAAAATGGAAGCCAATTTTTGTAAAAGAAACTTTTATCAGTACCTGATAAAACATTTGATGAATCGAAACTAAATTTTTTAACAGAGCAAGGTCTAAAAAAACCCAAAGAATAATTAAAAGAAATGTAGGTCGCAAAAGAAAATCGATAAAAATTTAAATAATGGAGATCAGAATTCCACGATGTAAATCGAGCTTACAAAAAAGCAAAGTAATGCTTTAAAAGTGGATTGTATGGTTTAGATAATCCATTAAATGAAAATACAGAATTATATAAAGAAGAAAATGCCAAATTAAAAGGATAAGTATAATAAAGTGTTAGAAATTCATTACAGAGATTTAAATGTACAATTCAAATTCAATTTTAATAGCACTTGAAAGATTTAATGCTACTAATCCTGCTATTGAATTTAATAATATAGCTCATTAACCATTCCTTTTTAAATAATCAGATCCTTTACTATCCAAAAATAATTTTCCATCAAAAAATTTTGAATTGCATGATTAGTGGATGAAGAGAAAATAGATTGAATAAAAGATTGATACAAAAAATAGAATATTTGGTGATACTTCTCAAAATAAGGTAAATTCATAAAGAACTGTATTTTTGAGAGAATAAGAAGTGAGAGGAAGAAATTACAATCCTGTCAACCTCACAAGAAGTTTAATTGGTTGATTATTATAAAATTAATTAAATTCCAAATATTTTATTGATAATATTATATTTCTTTTTTTCTCTCACCCTTTTTAATATATGTAAATCAAATGATTGTAATATCTTCTATGAAGGATGATTAATAAAAAATAAAACGATTTAAAGGTTCAAGAAATATTTTTATTTATGTAGGATTTTATTAAAATTATTGATGCTTAGGTAATGGAGGAGTCTCTAATAAATTACACTTAATATTAAATCAAAGGCATACGTAAGGGTGAAGTGTTTGTTATCAACAAAAGATATAATGATTTTGTCATTTTAAAGGAGGTCTTTAATAAGTCTTGGCCAGGTTGCTTTATTCCTCCAATTCCTTAAAAAAAATCTCTAGTATTATATAATTGCTAAGTATTTAGGGCAACTTAGACTCAAATGTTATTACATATCGTTCTAAATACTTATCATATTTTCTTAAAAAGATTTTGAAAATTCCTTATCTTTGGTTAGGTGAAGAGATGAGCATTTTCATAAAAGGTACCACCGAATAATTGTAAGAAGTGGCTAAAACTAAAACTTTACAATCTATTATAAGCAAATATGAATAAACATTCGCTTTTAACTAAAATTAACAAGTTCATGATATAGATTAATTTTATTCCTAAATTTGTTAAATTATTCCACAAATTGAAAACTTTTCTACAATAGCAAAGAACTTAATAAAAGAAAAAGATGCTTAAAATTAAGGATTAGTTATGTTTGTTGAACAATTTTTGCCTTAATTTGAGAAATTGCAATAGTAAAATCATCCAAGTATGATAAAATATAATCTAAGTTTTTGTAAATGAAGAAACCTAGGAATAATTTTAATTATCAAAAAAATGTTGCACTAAAAATGAGTACAATAAAGTTTATGAATACACAAAAATAGTAGAAAGGGAACTACTAGCGTGTAAAGATGCTTTGATATAAAGAAATGCAATATCTTAAAGAGTTAAAGATGAAGATGAAAAATTATATAAGCTAAATATTCAACTACAAGAATTGCATTCAAAAACACCTCTCTTTGGTAAAAAAGAAGAAAAATTGGCAAGCATTTAAAGTTAAATTTAATTATAATAACAAACTCTTTAATTATTGAAATCACTTGAATTTTTAATTAATAAAATCATTTCATAACAAGAAATACCCAATTTTTATAGATTCACTAAGGATAAATATGGAAGACTTATAAAAGTATTTTCAGATTTCCAAATCAAATATCACTAAGCTTAAGCAGAATTTTGGGAAAAAATTTAATTAAAGATTTGAGTTTAGAAAATCAAATTTTTTATCTTATCCAAATATAAATTAATTAAATCTATATAAAAGCATTGAGATGATCAATTCTGTTCAAAATAAATAATTGACTTCATTTTTGTTAATTACATAATATTTATAAAATTATGCATAGTATAGTAAAATTATTATAATCACAATTTAATTATATTATGTAATCTCATGCAAAATAAGTGGTTGCACTAATGAATCAATTACCTAAGAAGGATGAATTGAAATTCTTAGAAAAACAACCTGGAAATAAAAAGTTTATAAATGAAACTAACAAAGTGTTTATCTCAGTAATTAATGGACTACGATCTTTGGTTGGAGATGTTTAAATAAATTAAACAACTATTCCATTTAAAGTAATGTTTAATAAGTATTTAGTAAATAGAAGAAACATTAGATCAATTTTTAGAAAATGCAGCTATACAATTTGATAAAATGAATAAATTAAGTGTAGCTCCAAAACAACCTTAAGTTTAAAAATCAAACTAGCCTAAACCAAAAGATATTTATGGATTTGCTGATGTTATTTAACTAAATAAATTACCATTCATTCCTGTTTTAAAATGCAAATAATATGCTTAAACAGAATTAGATTAAAAAATAATAGAAGCTTAAAATAATCCATATTAATTTTTTGAAAAAAATGGAATTGATGAATTTACTCATCCATATTATGAAGAAATAATGAGATTAACACCATAAGACTTTGTACTTGATGTACCATCTAAAATAAATAGATTTAGAGATTTAGAACCACCTATAATGATTAGGAATGCTGATCAATTAGGTGAACTAATCCTAAAGATATAATAAGAAGTAGATTAGAATGGTTATAGTGAAATAGCAGTAGATTTAGAACATAATCATTAAATATCTTATTTAGGGATTACATGTTTAATTCAATTGAGCACAAGAACCTAAGATTATATTATAGATCCTTTTCCATTATGGAAATAACTTGGAGATATGTTAAGTGCTGTGTTTTCAAATCCTAAAATTGTGAAGGTTTTTCATGGAGCTGAGAATGATGTTTAATGGCTTTAAAGAGATTTCGGTTTATATATTGTTAACTTATTTGATACTTTTCATGCATCTAAGGAATTATAACTTATGTAAAACTCATTTTAATTTCTCCTTTCAGAATATTGTAAAAAGTCTACAGATAAAACCTATTAAACTGCTGATTGGACTCAAAGACCCTTATCGGATGAAATGGTTAAATATGCATAGATTGACACTCATTATCTATTATACATTTATGATAGAATGAGATAAGATCTTAAAAAATTAAATAAACCAAATGAAAATTTAAACAATGTACCTAATTATTATATTGAATGTGTATTAAAAAGAAGTAAAGAAACATCACTTAAAATTTACAAAAAACCTTTATAAGACTAAGATTAATCTTTATAAATCATTCTTAATAAATAAGATAGGAGAATTGATTCAAAAAGCTTTGATTTAATGGTCAAATTGTTAGAGTTAAGAGAAGAATTAGGAATTTAATATGATCAAAATCCAAGATATTTTTTACCAAATCCATTTTTATTTAAATTAGTTGAATCAAAACCAACTTCCATTTAAGAATTAAAAAGCCAATTAGGAGGTGAGAAAAATATTCATGATATTATTAAAGAAAATCTTTGGTAATTTTTAAAAGTTTTATTGGAATTTGACGAAAAAGTTCCAACAGTTGAAGTTATGTAATAAGAACAATAGAATACAACATAAATATAGATTGAAGAAATTCAACCAAGTATATAAGTGGAACCATTAAAAATTATCTAGATTTCAGTCAATCTTTAAAAATTTTAAAATCAAAATACAAAAATTGTTTAGCATTCATTTTAAAATGAAAATATTGAATTAATAAAAGACCAATTTTAATGTGAATCGCCATTTAAATTGCTCAATGTATTTTATGATGGTTTAGGAACATAAATATTTTAATCAATGAAAGAATAAAGTTAACAATAAAAGTAATTAGTTGAAGAAGTAGAACAATAAAAAATTTAAAAAATAAATACATCTGATTTCATATAACTTCCTAAATTAGAGGAAACTAATCGAGATTAATCAAAAGAGCTTGATATTAGATTAAATAATACATTATAAAATTAGCATGGAACTAAAATTTTAAAAAGACATTAAAAAATAGAATAACAGAGAACTTAAAAATCTAACATTAGTAACAGATTTGAAATATTATGATAATATGCTGTGTATTTATTTTTAACAGTTAATTTTTAAATTGATATATTATAATTTATTGTAGTTTTTAATAAATAAAATTAATATTGGAATTTCTCGATTTACATTTATTTGTATAATTTATGTAAAATATTAAATTAAAGTTTTGGTTAATCTTAAAAAGCAATTTGAAGTTCAAAATTAAAAAACCTTATTCCTTTCAACTTAAAAAAGTCTATATATCTTTTATCATTTAAATATAATTAAGTCTTTTCAATCTTTTAAAAAAAAATAAAAAAATAACAATAAGATCAAGATCGCCCTTTTTGTCTACTCATGCATAATACGTCTGATATTAGTGAATATAGCTTCAGATTAAGTTTTTAATTAAGAATAATTATGAACTAGTCTAAGTAAAACAAGTAAATATTATGATATCAATTTAATATATCATTATAAAAGATTAAAATGGCTATATTATGTTTTAATAAAAAAATAAATTATTTCAGTTTGATTTTGTAAATTTTGGTTTAAATAAACCTACAAAATGGAAAATAATAAAATAAAGTAGAAATAGTTTTTTTAAAATAACTTTATAATTAACTTAACAAATCATAAAATGTATATANTTTTAAAATCAAAATACAAAAATTGTTTAGCATTCATTTTAAAATGAAAATATTGAATTAATAAAAGACCAATTTTAATGTGAATCGCCATTTAAATTGCTCAATGTATTTTATGATGGTTTAGGAACATAAATATTTTAATCAATGAAAGAATAAAGTTAACAATAAAAGTAATTAGTTGAAGAAGTAGAACAATAAAAAATTTAAAAAATAAATACATCTGATTTCATATAACTTCCTAAATTAGAGGAAACTAATCGAGATTAATCAAAAGAGCTTGATATTAGATTAAATAATACATTATAAAATTAGCATGGAACTAAAATTTTAAAAAGACATTAAAAAATAGAATAACAGAGAACTTAAAAATCTAACATTAGTAACAGATTTGAAATATTATGATAATATGCTGTGTATTTATTTTTAACAGTTAATTTTTAAATTGATATATTATAATTTATTGTAGTTTTTAATAAATAAAATTAATATTGGAATTTCTCGATTTACATTTATTTGTATAATTTATGTAAAATATTAAATTAAAGTTTTGGTTAATCTTAAAAAGCAATTTGAAGTTCAAAATTAAAAAACCTTATTCCTTTCAACTTAAAAAAGTCTATATATCTTTTATCATTTAAATATAATTAAGTCTTTTCAATCTTTTAAAAAAAAATAAAAAAATAACAATAAGATCAAGATCGCCCTTTTTGTCTACTCATGCATAATACGTCTGATATTAGTGAATATAGCTTCAGATTAAGTTTTTAATTAAGAATAATTATGAACTAGTCTAAGTAAAACAAGTAAATATTATGATATCAATTTAATATATCATTATAAAAGATTAAAATGGCTATATTATGTTTTAATAAAAAAATAAATTATTTCAGTTTGATTTTGTAAATTTTGGTTTAAATAAACCTACAAAATGGAAAATAATAAAATAAAGTAGAAATAGTTTTTTTAAAATAACTTTATAATTAACTTAACAAATCATAAAATGTATATATGATTATATTAAGCACATATTGGAATAAAAATAAACAAAAAAATAATTTAGATTAGATATATTGAAAAAACCGACGAAAAAATTTTTATCATTTTTAGCTCTTACAAATCTTATCTAAACCTAATTTTTGATGATGAAGATGTTTAAATGCATTTTTATACGAAATAATTTACTTAAATAAAAAAAATATCTTCAATAACATTATAATTTACTCTAAATACCATAACCAATTTTCTTGCGTGCATTAAAGTTTCCAATTTAATTTCTTAATTTAATTTTTAGACAATATTTCAATTATCCTAGAAATCTAAATATAATTATTTTATTTATTTTAAGGGAATAATTAATTCTTAATAATTTTGAACTTTCATTTCAAATGAAAAAAGAAGTCAAAGAAGTCATAATTTGACAGATTTTTATAATTAAAAAAAATAATTTCAGATAGAATAATGACTTTATTAATGGAGTTGATTCATATTTATTAAAAAAGTTAGTCCTAAAATATATATTTACAATCTAATCTAATCATTAACTAATTCTATTCTAGAAAATGATAAAAAAAATTTAAATAATTATTTTGATCCATGAAAATCTAAGATTAATTCATTTATTTTTAAATTTAACTATTTCAAATAAGATCACATTTGATTTAAATTAACTAAATTATGAGAATAATTATAGGGATCAATTTTTAAGTACTTGCCTATAGATTTCTTTGAAATTTGATTCCAACTTTTTTTAATTTGATTTAGATAGTCTCTTATTTTCTATCATATCCTTATATATTTCTGTTTGTGTATTTATTAATTTTTTATATTTTGTAACATCTAATATCTCTGTGTAAGATTTATTGCTTATTCGCTAATATGTGTACCTAGAAAAATTATTTAAATGTACCTATCATATATTTTTTATATTCTAATTTTTGCATTTTTATCTTATAATTTTGAGGTAAAATTGTCAAATTTTAATCCATATTTTAATTCATGCTAATTTTTTGGAGGTTGCGTATTGATTAATGATGAATTTGAGTTAACTTGTTCTTTTTTTATAAGGTCTTTCTGAATTCTCTTGATTTCGTAATAATTTTGTAATTTAGGATATTTTTGTAATTATTCTTCTAGACTTATCATTTAGTAACTATTTTTATCAGTTTTTATTCTTTAATTTTAGAGAATATTTTATTGGACCTCAGGGAATTAGACTTCATTAATTGGTAAAATAATATTTGGCATATTATCATAAGTTGTATATGTTATACTAACAGAACTATTTTCATGGAAAGAATTAAGTTTTTTCCTTAATTTATTTAATGGTAGTGATTTTTTTCTAACCAATTAGTTTAATTTTTCATGTACACTTATAGGATTGTTTTTTAATAAATATTTTCTGAAATCATGAGCTTTTAAACTTGCTTTTAGAAATTATTCGTCATTATTGATAGATAATTTACTATTTTTTAGCGAATTAGAATGCCTTGAACGTATATTTTTAGTCTATTCTTCTAATAAGTTTAATAAATTTTAAAACTTTTACATTTTTATTTTAATTATTTATTCAAAAATACTAAAAATATTTATTTTTGTAATTGAAAGAACAAGTAAAGATTTTTTTCAATTATCCTTTAAAATACTTGTTTGCAACCTTATTTTTAAATTTAGAAATAATATTGAATTATTTTTTATTAGAAATAGTAAATAATTAAATAAAGATAAACTTCAAAAAATATTTTTAAAATTTAGAAATGTCTTGAATGTAATTTTTATCCTACTCAATTATCACAATTTATTATATCATTTATCTTATAGTTTATGTCAATAAAATTAATTAATTTAATTAAAATTTATGTATTTCTTATTGATTTGATTAAAATTCTCAAGAATAAAATTGTATTTTAAGATTGAATTCAAATTTATTTTATTTTGCATAAGACAATTAGTAATAGGTAATTTAAGTAAAAAAGATTTTCGTTGCTTATAGTAAATAAAAAGTTTGTGAATAATAGATGATGTCAATAAATTATTTTAATTAAATAATACACAATGCCCATTACGAGTAAAATTGAATATTAAAACTAGATGAAATCTATCAAGAGTTGCTTGAGTTTGAAGAAAGATATCATAAAGGATCAGAGAAATATGATGTTATACAAAAATTGATTGATTTATATGCTTTGTTAATAGAACATTATGATAGCATATAAGTAATAATTGAATGATTGTAGGATCCAGTTGGATATTATTTTAATGAGAAACTACAATCGTTATTTGCTTGTCAAAGAGCTCTGAAGAGCATTCGTAAAACTAACTAAGATTAGCCACCATCAATGCCAAGTCATACATAAAGTTTAATTATATAAGAGACTAACAATATTTAAAACAGTTAAGAAAGTATAAAAGCAAAGGTATATTATTATGATTATATAATAAGTAATCTATGGGTGTAGAACATAAAAAGAGAGAGCGTTAAACAAAAGCAAAGATTGCAATGGAAATATAAGATAAGATTGAATTTAGCCAAAAGGATTTGTAGCATTTGATAAGTGGATATTAAAAAGCATCAGATGAGACATAAAAAGTAATTGAGGAAGATCTTAAGCGATAAGATGAATTGTTTTTGTAGAGAAGGCTTAAAAGAGAGAGTATAATTCCATATTGATAAAAGAAACAAATTTGATGAGAAAATCCAGTAGAATGTGCTCAACTAAATGTAGTACTGAAAGATTAGATCTATTTGAGAGTTGTATTGAATTTTCAAGCGGAGGAGTTGATTAAAATTAAGATCTTAACAATGCTAGATTAATGTTGCTTCTTAAAGAATAATCAGGGAAAATAAGTTCAGATAAGACAAATCCTTTAATACAAAATCAAGTAGAGGAAGTGTAACCTTTTGAAGAGATTTAAATAGAAGAAATGGATGAAACAGAGAATATTATACCACCAAGAAGATAAATTAGAGAATCATCTTCTGAAGATGTTACAGATTCTCCTCCATAACCAAAGAGAAAATTTTAATAATTTGGTATGATAGATAATAATGGTGATATGGTATTAATTGAAGATGAATAAAATTTGATAAGCGATTTAAATATTGAATTAAATTGAACTAGAATGATTTTGAATTTGCAATATAATAATATTTATTTTATTATTAAAATGATGATCTTTTTTTATTAAGAAATAAATTAAATATATTGCAGTTAATTTCAATGCTCATATTTTCGATCTAATTTATACAAATATACAAACCTTTTATTTAATTAAAATAATATATAACGATGTAATATCTTTAATTATTCATCTGAATCAATTTTAATATAATAGGATTATAAAGATGATTTACATTGTTTTGTGAAAATGAAATATTGTTGATGTTATAAATTAATTTAACTCTTAACTACAGTACATAACTTTAATTGGATTGAATAGATTACTATAAGATTTGATTATGACATATTAAGATTTTATTTATATAATTAATTTAACTCAATTCTACATGTCAAGTGAAGAACCTGAAGCTTAAGGATGCGAATTATTGGGAGGGTTTGGAATACTAGTATAATCAATTCTAGGATTCCTTTGCTTTTTAGTCCTCGTTTGTAATAAATAAATATTATTCTAAAAGTCAAAAGACATATTGAAAAACCTAAAAGAGTTTGGAAGATATTTTTAATGGTAATTTCAGAGTAGATAATTTAGGATACAGCTAAATAATTTGTTAGTGCTATTGTTTAGCATTTCTTAAATATTGGATTAGCTTTATTATTGAGTTCTGCAGATAGTGGAGATTAATGTTAATGGTACTTCATTAATTAATTTAGGTATTTTATTACATACATGCTTGATTGCACTATTGGAATGGCAATCAATTGCATATTGATCACTCTCTTCGAAATACTATTTCAAAAGATGGGTTAGACGGTATGCATTAGAATTATTCTTATAGTAATTTTAAACTGGTAATTACTACACTATATCATATCCTCAAATTACTACTTATTCTCTAAGTTCTGACAATTAGACTCAAACAAAAAAAGCAATACCAAAAGTTGAAGTTGCTTATGGAGTGTATGTATTTTAATTAACTTTGTGGATTTTAATCGTTGTTATAGTAAGTTATCCCTCAATAAACAAGAGCAAAATTATTCTATACTTCTTCTAATTACTTTTGGGAGAATACTTATTGATAGCAGTATCATGGATGTTTTAACCTATCAACTAATATCCAGAACTTGAGCTTGTTATTGTACTAGTCATCATACCTCTAATATTTAATGCTCTTTGTGTATCAAAACAGGTTATTATAGTTTTGGGTACAAGATTCATTTCTAAAGAAAAGTAAATTTAAGAAAAAGGAAAAAACTGCAGTTTTGGATGCTCTCTATGAAAAATCTGACTAGCCTATTGAAGTTGAAATTATAGATGGAGATGAAAGCTCCAGACCTTCCATAGCAGGAATAGAATTACAGACTTAACAAAATAATAACGATTTAACCGTAACAGAGACTAAATCTGATATCGAAGTAAGTGAACAATAGACTAATTCATCAAATGAAGTTTGATGAAAAGACCAACTTTTTATATTTTTTTATCATACTCACATAGTTTCTTATAATTATACAAGAACTTTTCTTCTGTTTTCCATCAAAAATAAATTATATAGACTTAAACTAATTATAATTATTAATTTATATATTTTTGAGAAGCTTAAAATATCCCATAAACAGAAGAGCTGCAACATATACTTACAGAAAATTATATTAGATTTTATAATATAATAAAATATTATATACTTTATAATCAATTTGTTATATTTTGAAAATCAATTTCATTTATAGGGGATTTATATTTTATTATTTTAAGCAAAATTGTTTTAAACTTGATACTAATAATATTCACCTTAATAAATGTTTTAAGGAAGGATCTAAGGTTTATTATTAACTTATACAATATTCCCATATAGATTTTATTTTCCAATTTAAGGGTTCTAGAAAATTATATTTGATAAAATACTTATTATGCTTAAAGAAGTGTCATATTTAATGGAATTCTATCTTTTTCACTACTCCTACAATAAATGAAGCTCAGTAGTAATCCAATTAATCCTAATACAAATATGGATAATGTTGAGATTCCATAAAAAGTACTGCGAATTACTATATTATAGCAAAATGCTATAAATGATATCTTCACAAATATAAAACAAATTAAAATCACCCATTTTTTATCACAATTACAGGGTTATTAATCCACTACTAATTCTCTACACTTCTAACATTAATAATACATTAATTTAATTTATTTTTTATATAACCTTTCGAAGTCTTGAATTAATGTCACAGAATTTAAATTAATTAAACAGAAATTAAAAATATTCATAAATAAATATAATGAAGAAGAGTATATAAATGTACAAAAATGATTTCAAAGATTAATTATATATACATTAGATCTAGGTTATAAGTAAATTAAATTAAATTAATTTTAAAAACAACAAAACTTTGAAATGAATGAGATTTACTTTTAAAACTTCTTTTATGATGATATTTTAATTCTTGGTTTAAAATTAAAATTTAAACTATTTAAAATAATAAAATTCATCAATTTTTGCTTTTATCAACATTCCAAGCTTAATTAAGTTCATAAAATACTCTTTCTGCAATATACCTTTAAATAGGAGGAGTCTAATTATGTTTATCAGGATGAACAATTAATAAAGCTTAGCGATACTTCAACTAGAATTGATAGAAATATAAATTACTTTGACTTTTCCATCAGTCATTAAATCCCCTATTGAACATTACCAATCAGTTCCTTCCCATAAAACATCATTTAATGTAGAGAGAAGTAATCTTAAATTATTTCTAACATCATTTTTAAAAGCCCATTTCAATATTTTTGGTTCTACTTCATCTTTAGCTTGTTATCTCTAAATGTTATAATCTGCCTCATCTTACCATATCTTTTATAAACCTTCTGCTGCTTATGCTACTTTCATATCAACAATTTGTTTATCTGTGAGTCCCTCATATTATTCATTAGATTATTATTATTATTATTATTATTTTGGCTGAGTTGGAGTATCAAATTAAAATAGATCCTCTCTCTAAATTTAATCATTTTATATATTAGCTTAATTTTCTATTGGACCATCAAATTCAAACAAATTTTCACCTTTTTTTGTTTATTATGATTGTTGTATTGGTTAAACTTTCATAAGCATATTATCATCTATATCATTTTATTAAACTGTTGGTTTGAAATGATTAAAATTTTAAAAATTAATATTATTTGTATTGTTGATATCTAAATCTGCTTGACTTATTGGTTATGATTAGGTATGATGAGGATTTGGCTTAAAATCTAATTTTTCAAATGCTTCTAAAAGATCACCACTCTGACTGGTTCCATTTGATTAATTACTTAATTATCTATTGCTATATCTTTCACTACTCTATTGAATAACAGGTTGTAAAGTTTATTTTTAATTTTATTGCTATTACAATTTAGGTGATGAATTAGATTGTTATGACAAGACTTTATTTTATGTTTATGGTGATTATTAAACAATATTTTTTTAAACTCTTAAATCTCCTACTTTTAAATCTCCAACTTTTTAATCTGAATTCACACTTTCAACCATTTTCTTAGCTATTCTGCTAAATGAAACATCTTAAAGTGTTAATATTTTGGCATATACAGTATCATTTACTACTGGTACTTTAGCATTTGGATTCGATATATCAAACCAAGCATGTCTAATAAATAAAATAATCAATTACGTTTTTGGTTCAATGTCTTATACAAATATCTTAAATCTAATGTGATGAGATGTAATTTTGAAAGGAAATTATTGCAAAATATTTTTTACAAGAAGCTACAATAAAAATTTACAATTGATATACTTCCTCTCCTTAAAAAAAGAACATATATTATGTCTTTGGTTCATTTTGAAAAAAATATACAATAGGAACCTATTTCATTAATTTATAAAATAAAATTTTATATTCTGAAAAAATTAATAAAGAGAGTAATAAAAGAACAAGAATAATAATAATTTAGATACAATTAAAGAATATTATATATCAATTAACACTTTATTATATTGATTAAGAAAAATGTAGATCTATTCTCTTGATTTGCAGCTTTATAAAAAGAAATAGAAATCATATTCTAAATTTTGATTAAGAAGTAGTGTGAAAAATAAATAAAAATTAACATCTATTATAATGTTATTTGAATTAAATTGAATAAATCAACCACTTGTATATTTGGTGACTGCTTTTGTTCCTTCTGAGATGGCATGTCTGGCCAATTCTCCTGGAAGAAGCAATTTGACTGCTGTTTAGATTTCCCTTGAACTAAGAGTTCTTCTCTTATTGAATCTAACCAATTTGCTAGCTTCAAGAGCAATTCTATCAAAGATATCATTGATGAATGAATTCATAATGTTCATAGCTTTTCTTGAAACACCAATTTCTGGGTGAACTTATCTCAAAACCTTGTAAATATAAAGAGCGAATGTCTCTTATCGTCTTCTTGCCTTTTTTTTGTCATCTGATCCTTTCTTTGTCTTTACTGTTTTGACTGTCTTTTTAGCTGCATCAGCCTTTGGTGATTTTGAAGGTGCCATTTTAATTAATTTGAAATTAATATTTATAAACCAATACTTAATGTGTCTATCTTGCAATTTGATTGGTTAATTAGGAATATTTGAAGTATATATTCTAAAATAATTAACAATTATCATAAACAACACAATATGCAAATATTGACTAAAAGAACATGTTTGTTAATCTATACAAGATTATATACAAAATTTTAATTTTTAGGAAAGGTTGAAAAATTAAATATATGATGAAACAAATTAGAATGAAATATTTTGAAGTAATTCATTTAAGTTTCTTAATATAAGATTAGAGATTCAAATTGATTATTTAAATTGTTAGTTATTCTCATTAGAAAGAGTATTAGAAAAAAGAAATATTAGTTTAATTTTTACTTTAAAGAATATTTGAATATAATATAAAAAGTCTGATTTAGTTAAGAAGAATATTAAAATGTGTATAGTTTATCATAATATTTGTAAAATGAAAGTATTATATGAGTGGATTCAAGAATATGATGAAAGAATGAAACAAATAAAATATCTAATATAAACTGCTATAAATATATTATTAATCATAGTGCTCTTGATGATTCTAAAGCTTTCTTAATTAATTTATTCATTGCAAAGACATCTAAGCCACCGAATTATGCAATATATTTTCCTTTTTCAAATAAGTATACATAAGGTAATGTGGTAGGTGAAAATTATTTGACTATTTAATAACATCCTTCTTTTTCATGATCAACTACAAATATATTAATAACCCCTGTTTATTAACTTAATCTTTTTCTTTATTAATCTAATTCTTTTTTCATTAAAGTAACTAAATTAAGACTTGGTTGACACCTAGAAATAATGCAAATATAAACCATTCTGCTGTAAATATTAGAATGGCCACTCTTTCTTCAATTAGAATGGATGATTTGAATTCATCTATATTTTGAAGTGGAATAATTTTTGAGTCCATTTAATAAATTAATTATTTACATACAATTTCATAATACACTTTTTTTACCAGCTGTGTTAATAAATGTTCTTAATTACCATTCCACAATGGCTTCTTTTTATCCAATAGTACCTAAGGTTATTTTGTATGGTTTAAGTTCGAATCTTGGACCTTATTCATTAAGATCAACTTAATTAAATGTTTTTTAAAAAGTATGATGTCTAAATGAAATAACACCATTTTCATTATGAAAAGTTAAAACTCTTTTACTATCAATTTTAGGTACTGGAAATAGATGCTTTAAAACTGTAATGACTCTTTCACCAAGTTTGGTAGAGAAATTATCAAATATCAAGTGAGGATACTATTCAGAAAGAGGATCTAATATAAATTTAGATTAATACCTGCCCTAACATCTAAATCATGTCTTAAGACTGCATTCTTAACACCAAAATATATTGTAGGACCTAATGGCATATGTGATATAATTAATCCATCAGGTTCTCCTCTATGTTCATGTACAATAATAAGATCTGAATAATTTTTTTGTTAACAATGTGTTACTAAATCTTTAACTACCAAAGCACCTCTATTTACTCTAGTACAATTAGGGAATATTAAACCCATCTCTTTCATTAATGTTACTAATCTTTAAGATGGAGATCTGCTTGTTGTTAATGCAATTTAAGGTTCTCTATAAAAACTCATTGCATATTCATCATCTATATGAGTTCTTGGTACTATTCCATTATTAATATAATCAAACCTATTGTATTATCATCTTATGCATTTATTTCTTTTCTTAGATTATCTTCATCTCTATATAAGTCTGTTGGAACATTTTTTCTTTCTATTTCAGCATTCAGTAATCTCATTTTGTTATCATATTTCTATTTTGCTCTTTTTTCATCCTCTATTCTCATTAAATACTCTTTTCTAAGTCTTACGTTCTTTCTGAGCATTAATTAAAATTATGAATAAAAAACAATTAGAATAATTAGTAATTTTCATTCCAAAACCAAATATTCAAATTCTATATCAAAACCAGACTAAACCTAAACTCAATGCTAACAATTCAATCAATCCCAATTAACTACCTCAACAAACTTATCCTCCAATAATAATCACTAAAAACAATTTTAATCTTCTTTTATTCTTAATTAATCTAAAGTAGTTATTACCTCTAGAAAAAATAAAATAAAATTTTATTCTGTTTGCTTGCTTATTAACAAAGGAGACTTTAATGAAGATGCATTAATTAATTGTTTATCACAAATCTTAATAAATATGATATCAATTATGCTTTTTTTTAAGTCATCATGAACTATCATAAAGCATATATTTGAATTGCAAATTATTTATGGATACTCTATATAAAAAAAATTGATATTAATAAATCACATTAAAAAAAAATAGGAAAACTATAAATCTATTTAATTAATAATTAAAATTGATTAATACTTAGTTAAATTATGAACCTTAAAGCTTCAATAAATGAGATTGCTATATTTGATTTCACTTTTTACATTAATGATTTGAAATGAAATAATATCCATAAGCTCATATTTTATAAAGAAAATTTAAATTAAATACCTTAAACTTATATTTATTTTATTAAGCATAATATTTAGATAAACAAAATTTAGAAGAAACAACTAAAAGATCAGATGAAGTTTCTGACTGATTTTGTGATGTTTCAATATGAAAAATTAAAAATCAAGACCGATCCAAAACAATCAATCATAAAAATTCATTAATTCTGAATCCGCCAAATTTTTTGATGAAAACCCTCTTATATAAATTAAATCTTAATGGAAGGCTTATTGTTTTTCAACTATTTCATTGATTATAAATATTTTATCATATTAATATTAGATATGTGTCTCTAACATTGTAAATTATTTTTGAAGGATTAAACATAATCTGATTCTTAGCTGCATCTTTTATTAGTACTTTTGTAATTACGAAAACTGCCACTGATGATGTTACCAAATGATTTGGTATTACTTCAAGACTTAAAAAAAAAAATTGTTTTGAGGACTACCTTAATATTTAAGTAATTTTATGAAGACATCTTGCTGTAATTATAAACGTAATGAAACTTTTGAGTTCTATTAAAATGGCAGAAATGTATATAAAGTATATTTTGCAATTTTGTATTTTGAAATGTGAAAAATGTTTAATTTATACATTTTCATTTACTTTTTTATTGTGATTCATAAAGTGATTTTCATAATATTAATTTTTTATTTGAAATTGAAATATCTAAATAATTTTGAGGGTTTCAAATTATAATTAAAAATTTACACTAATTAATTTCTTAGTGAAAAATTCACAAACTAGGTGCAAAATATATGTAATAATAATATTATGAGTTCTAATTAGAAATAAGAAACTTAACTCAGAATATTTTCACCTCAAAACAATTTTGCAAGCAACCTATAACAATTTAAGTAGGATTCTTAAAGAAACACAGAATATGATAATCCTCAGATGGCAAATAGCATATGTAATTCTGTGAATAATCTAACTCCAACGAAATTGTAATAATCAAGAAGAAAAATATCTGGGAATTAACTTTCAGTTTCAAGAACAGATAACATAATTATTTAATGTTAAATTTGTGAAAACATCGATGATATAAATCTAATATAACCATGTTAATGCGAAGTATTATATTATAGATATCAGAATAGAACTTTTATCATCAGAGTTGTTTCAAAAAAAAACTATTAGCAACAACTGGACAATTTACCAATGAAAAAATAACTTGTTCTATTTGCGGAATTATTTATAAAATTAGGAAAATGGAAACATATGAATCAAAAAATTTTGTATAATTTATATTTAATTTAATAGAACAAAATAACTTAAATAGTTTCTTTTATAATTAGACTAATAATAGTTTTGGGCGGTTTGAGTGGTTTGTCCTATTGGTTTTATGAAGAAGTGCAGAATCCAGAAGAAATGTCTTCAGTAATAGCAATTATAGTACTATTAATATTATTGCTTGTGCTTTATTTGGTTTATTTACTACTGGAATAAGTAAGAGGCACAGTGGGAATAGATTGGGAAATTCTTGATTAAAAATAAGATATTGATCAAAATATTAATCCTGATGAATTAAATTTGATCGAGAATAGATAGAATTAATAATCTCAAAAACCTTAAGTCATATAACACATTGCCAATATATAATATCCATAAATTTCTACATCAGAAATAATCTAATGATTAAAAATTAATATTATGAATAATAATATTGAATAAAAGACTTAAATTTAAATTCTCTAGTTTTTTGAGTATTAAAATTCAGTTCAAAATGAGATCGAAAAATCTAAAAAGATCTTACAAACTTTAATAGATTAAAAAAAGAAAATGTATAATGACAAAATACTGTAATAAAAGGAGATTCAAATGTAGCAATAATAATAAATTGAATAATACAAAAAAGTGATTGAAGAATAGTAATAAAAGTTAAAATCAAAAGGAAACAAAGAGAATGTTTAAATCTAACTTGGTTAAATGATTTCATATTAATAAGAGTAAAATCAAAAGATTGAATCTTTGGTTGAATAATCATGCAATGAAAATTCAAATTATATAAAGTTATAAGAGAAACTAATAAGTATGAATTACTTTTAACAATTAATTAGAATCTTAAAGTGATATCAATTAATTGAAAGAAGAGAGGGAAATGAAAGAGAAATTGATAAGTCAATTATAACAAATAACAGGAGTATATTTGGAATATGATCATCATCAAAAAATACTTGATATCTAATTGGAATATAATTTGAATGTCCATATTCAAATAAAATTTGAAGAGAAATTAAGAAGTAAATTTTTGAAATCAGCAATTTAGTTTATACTATAAATCCTAAGAATGAGCATTTCTACTAATTAATTAAAGAGTTCAATTAAGATAATTAATTGGATAAACTTATATAAAGAATCTAGGCATTTAATTGATAGCTTATATAAAGTATATATAAGTAATCAAAATAAGTCTAATCTTTCTCCAATAATTCCCTTTATATATATAAATTTATTCATTTTTGCATGGGTCTTTAACTAATTCAAAAATGATGATTAATACTTTTGTCTAAAATTTACATTTCCTTTCTTCGTTAATTTATTATAGTTGATGTTTTTTATCAAAAAATAAATCAATGAAACTATATTCTAAAGATAATAATCAGGTCTTAATTTATTGGAGTGATTTAATTTATTCTATGTTAAGCAAAAAAGAAATAATTTTATAATTTTGAGATAAATCATATCTTTTCCAAAAAACAAATTCTCTTCCTCTTTAAACATTCCATATTCCTTTTAATTTATATTTTTCTTTTCTCTAAATAAAAGAATAGGATATTAGATATATTGAAAATAACTTGAAAAATTTGCAAAAGAGTATGATAAACAGTTCCAACTATATGATGATTTTCTGATAAAATTAAGACTCCTGTATTTTGATAATTGAAATTCATATTACCAATATATTCAATATAAATATTTCCAAAAAGGATAAAAATGATGTTGTGAATTTTGGCTATAAATTTATTATACGATATATGATCATTAAATTATTTTAATTTAATAAAGATATTTCTTAGAGATTATTACCACTTTAATTAATCTCTGAACTTTATCGATAAAAATCATCAATTTTGTTTGAGGTATATCTGAATGTTTAGAATAAAGGTTAATTATCTTCAAAATTTTAATTTAAAATTACCTGATTATTGAGATTCTAACTTTTCTTTTTCAACCTCTAACAATTAAGCACTTGCTTTGGTTATTTTTCCAATTAGGGTACAAGTAAATTTAAAGTTTCATCAAATAATTATAAAAATCAAAAATTTACACCTAAATTACTTAAATATCAGTAAGAATATCATTTACTTCTTTAATCGAATCTCATAGAATAGTCTTTTAGAAGCTTTCTTACTCTCTTTTTAAAGCATTTACCAATTCAATTTTTTCTGGTACACTTGAAGATCTCAATTGTATTTCATTTGTTTCTGGTTTATGATAATCTTTAGAGGATCTTCAGTAATTTATATGATAGTAGACATCTTCAAATGAATCTAACCTTTAAATTAACCTACATAATGTTCACAATAATGGAGAATATGATCATTCAAAATGAAATAACTGTACTACCATTTTTAGTAACAATATTTATCCACTTTTTAAGATATCATAATAATATCATTATAAATCATATCTTTCCATTGTGTATTTATATTATATACAATATAAATTCAATAGATATTATATTTGGAAGTATATATTTAATTTATAAATGAAAATTCTTTTTATTATTCTTTTATGGTCAATATAAGGCCAAGAGAATGATTTTTCATTTATATAGATATCGGATTACAGTTAAGATTTTGATTCCATTCGAATTAAAGTATATTCTAAATAATTGGATAAAAAAAATTCAAATCATAAACTGTTTAAGTAATTATTAAAAACTGCTACACGTTTCACAGAAGACACATATAAAGTAAAACGTACTACAAAAACTATAATTATGAATGCCAAATAATGTCATCATGTTAAAGTCCCTAAAAAACATAGAAAAAAAGGAGTTAAAAATACTGATTTTATATTATATGTAACAGAAACTAATGTTTAAGAATCTTGGATTGCTAAATCATCTCCTTGTTTTTATGATTAAAATTATAGACCTTTGGCAGGACAAATAATATTAAATAATCATCATTTCCTTAAGAATATAACTTAAATAGTTAAATATGAAAGATTAGGAACAATAGTTCATGAATTTACACATACTTTGGGATTTCATAGAAGAATTATTGATTATTTCAATATGACATAAATAATATAGGATAAATTATATCTTAAAAGTCCAGGAGTTATAGAATATGCAAAATAATATTTTAATTGTTCATCTCTTTAATATTTACCTTTAGAAGATGATGGTGGACCAACAGCACAATTTTCGCATTTTGAAAAAATGACATTTAATTAAGAAATTATGACAGGAACTTCAAGTAGAGATACTGTTTATAGTAAGTTTACTATGCTTGTATTATAAGATACTGGATTATATTAAGCAAATTTATCAAAAGCTGGCAGATATGAATATGGAATGAATTAAGGTTGTTTGGCAGCTTAAGGAGGTTTTGATTCACCTACTATTTGTAAATTGGCAAAAAATGAAAGGTTTTGTTCTTATAATTATTAACATATTTAATTGTGTAAATCTTCTTAAAAATTAGCTGAATGTGGATTAGTTACTGCTTTAAAAGATTGTAATAAAAAAAGATGCTTCAATTATCATGATTCTTATACTTAACTTCATAAAGCTAAATGTTTTAAAAGTAAATGTACAATTATGGGAATTTAAGTAAAATATAATGGTTAAATTTAATATTGTTAATCAGATTTTGCTACAATCTCATTTAATGATTAACTCATTTAATGTCCTGTTTATAAAGATTTTTGTAACAATTATTCTCTATGTAACAACAGAGGAGAGTTTATTAATGGAAAATGCTAATGCTATTTAGGATATAAAGGAAAGAAATGCTAAAAATAAATGTGATTTATTTAAGACATAAATTAAATTATTTAATGAACAACTCTATTCTTATTCCAATTCTAATGTTTATTATAGTAAATTTTAATTTATAACTTACTTAAATTTTAATCTAATAATCTTAAATTACTAGTTTTATTTCATTATATGATACACAAATCAAACAGTATTGAAAGAAGAATTTAGGAATAGCTATAATATCTTTATATATATATATCTATATAGTTGAAATATTTATATATTTTGGTTAATTAAACAGAGTAAAGATCGGTTAAACTCAATTTAAAAAGTTCAAAAAAGGTTATAATATTTACAAAGTAAAGTTTAAACTATATTAATTAAAGTAAATAATAGGATATAATAACTTACATGATGAGACAATTTCTACAACTTTGAAAAATCTCAAATATTAATATTTGAAATATTTTAATAATTTGTCATATTATAAAAATTTATATAAAATTTCTTGTAATTAATATGAAATATATTGCTAACATATAATATTATTAATTAAACATATCATTTTAAAAATGAATACCATTTTGAAATCAAATAGCAAGTCGATTTTTCAAAAGGCTAATTTCTATTATTTCAGATTTTCAAATCTCTCATATGAGGAGACATTCAGACTCTTATTCATACTTTTGGCATGTAATTGTATTTTATGAATATTTAAGCTATTCTCTCATTTTTTGTCTTTGATGCTTTACGTTTCAGAAAGTACTTAATAATGACTGATATTCCTGTAATCTCTTATTCGAGTTTTAGCATCATGTTATTTGGATTAATCATTGTTCATGTAAAAAGAATTTAAATTTTTTAGTACTCTAAGTGGTCTGTTAATTATTTTTGCCATGATTTTGTTTATAGGACAATTTCTACTTAGTATTCAGGAGAATTTAGAGATGCGAGAGTTAAGAAAATTTTAAAATGGTTATTTGATGGAGTATATTATTCAACAACATCAGTATATTATTTAAATATTTTAGATACTTTGTTGGTACTTCTTTCATGAAGAGCCTTGGTATCCAAATGGATTAGGAGGTACTAATTATACAGGAATTTGGTAAGATTTCCCAAATATGATCAATGTAAGAGATATTATAATTATATTTTAGAATAAATGGGTCATTCCCTTTTATATGATTTAAACAGCAAATCATTTATATGCTTTAATTCACTTGGCAATAAAGAGAAAAGAAGTAGAAACAAAGTATTGGGAGTATATGTTACATCATACACTTGCAACTTGTTTACTTATCTTCTCTGCTCTCTATAATCAATGTAAGAATATCATATTTAAATATTAGTTCGATTTGGTATTGTTGTATTGGGAATTCATGACATTGCTGATATCATTTTATCTCTCTCAAGAGCTCAGCATGATTTAAAGTCAATCAAATCTCTCATGTATATTTAATACGTAATGCTTTTATGTACTTGGATTTATACTAGAGTTATCATATTTCCTTAAATTATTTTGGAAGCTATAATGCACTACTAAGAATAGTATATAATTTTATCTATTTTTTTCTAAGTCCTCAAGCATCCTGGGGAAACAAATACCTCATTGTTTAAATGTGCATTTTGTTAGGCATGCATCTCTATTGGACCTACTTTATGATGCAAATTGGAATTAATGTATTTAAGAAAGGTAAAAAGTATGAAGAAATCAACACATATGACAATAAAGAGATTCTTAAACAAGGAAGAATATGATAAACATTGAAAATCATACTTTTCAAAGTTAATTATTTAATTATAAATAATAAATATATTTTGATAATTAAATATTCTTAACAATATTAATGCAAATTTATATAGAGGTTGAGTATAAAAATTGAAAAAAGTTATTAAATCAATATGCACTAAATTGAGTTTCTTCAGCTATTATTGTATCTTAATTAAATTTATGTTTTTTTCTTATATTATCATCATAGTCAGTACAAGAATTGCTTTTTGGATTTTAATCAAAAAATGTTTAAAATTTTCTAAAATTATGAAAATAAATTATACTCTTGGAAGATAATTTGTAGTTCATCTAAATTTTATTGTTTCAAATTAAAAGAGTTTTCTACATGTAACCAATATTAAAATTTTTTTTCAAATGTTTACATTCCTATTTTACAAATTTAACTAACGAAATCCTCTCCGACTAGATGTTAAGAAAAGTATTATTCAAAAAATATTGTACCATAAATACTATTATAAAATTATATATTTATACTTATGTTAATTTTTGTATGACCATGTGGACAAATCAGGTTGAATTTCTTTTTTAGATTAAAAATATTGTAAATATTTTTCCCTGGTTTTGCATTAATATGGAAAAGCCTTATGTTTATTATCAAATGATAACAATAAAGAGGGATAACATAAAACACCTCTTCTTTCCTATGCCATTGAAGATTAAGGATTTTGAAGTGTTTATTTATTCCAATTAATAAGTTAACCCCAAATAAATTATGGTGTGTATTACTTAGATAATGCTAATTTAGATTTATTTTTTGGTTAAGGAATATATTCAAATTCATTTTCTTCAAATGGTTTAGCATCAAAACCTTAATATTAAGTAGATGAAAAGTATGTATGAGTGAATGACATAAAGTATAAAATAGTGGAAAAAGCTTAATTATTAAATGAACAAGTTTAAATATTTAAAATAAGTTCGCTTAATAATAAAAATAACATTCTTGTTAATTCCAAAGCATAATCGTATTTCTGATCAATTATTTATTTAATTTATTTGATTATTTCTAACCCTATACTACATTAATGTATTTTAGAATGTCTTTTTAAGAAAATGACAATTTCATTAATTATTGAAGACTCCATCTAAATTTTTTGAGTCTGAGTGTCATAATTGTTCCAGAATTAATTGAAAATGTTATTTACTATAAAAATAGGCGGTAACATCGTCTTTAAATGTTGTAAAGCAAACTTGACTTTGTCTACACAAGATAGTATATTAATGTAATTTTATTGATGATTAAGTTTCTGCCAATTTGCTAACCATTCAGGAATATCATTTTATATATTTGGGTATGAAATAAGTGTAGATTATAACAAAATTACATTTCTTTGTATATAATTAGGAAAGATGCTAAGCTGATGTGTATTTTCTATTTCTAGCTGTTATTTTCTTTTGCAATGTAATGATCCACATAGACAAGAATCTTAAGAAGTAAAAGGGAAAGGCAAAGTCAATTCTTCTAAATAATTTATTTTTCTAGATGTGATAACAGCCAATAAGTTTTGAGAATTAACAATTACTGTTATTAACTTGCAATTTGGATCACACGAATATGAGATATGCTAAGCCATGTTGCCATACCTCGTTGGATCAATAAACTTAAACATAGTTTCAAACTTTACTAATAAATCATCATTAACAAAGAATTCAGCATATGGACTTTATGAACATGTCTTTCGATTACCATCTTACATTCTCTTATGAAATATTGTCTATTTCTCAAACCATCTTTATGGTGTATATACTTCACCCAAATAAAAACATATAAATTCATCCCCTAAAAAACCTTCATTCTGACAACAAACCATTCCTTTCCCCTTCAAAGTAAAAGGATTCAACTATTCAATCATTTTTAATTAAACATCAAAGATATTAGACATGACCTAATACAATTCATAATTTAGAATTTTTTACATGCTATAAATTGCCCTTGCTTAAGTTAATTGCTGAAAGTAGCTAAGCCAAAATAACTTCATAATCAGGTAATAGTTAAAACAGAACTTTAGCTACTTCTTAATTTATTCCATAGGTATCTATCAAAATAACATCGATATTCTATTTTTTGACCTAGTATGATAAATCTTATTAAGTTATGCCAGCTAATTAATATAGAGGATAACCCCAGAAGTCTATAGATAATATATTATCATGCACTCTAATATAAAATATTATATTTTACTAGATTTATGTTGTAAGCATTTAATGAATCTCATCCACTCTATCCTATTAGTTAGGTATCAATTCTTGTACTTCGGTTATTTTTATTTATTACCTTCAATATAATGGTTCATCCTCTTTAATTAAGTTTTCTCTGTAGAACTTAAGCTTTTTAATACCTACAGACAATTAGAACTTATTTAATTAAACTTGTTTTTGTATTATGCATCGAAACTGGAAATGATTAATTTGACTTAATTCAATACGATATAATCGTCTAAAAATATTCAATATAAAAAAGTTGTGCTTACGTGTTAAAGTCTCTAGTTGCTGCTCAAATTCCACAATCAAATCCTCATAATTCCATAAGGGTCTAAATACCATTTTTTAACATATATTTTTTATTGTTTAAACAACCTACTGATATTATAGAATGTCTTTACATCATCCTCAATCTCTTCATTTTCATAATTCAGGCAATCTATGATGTACTCTTGTGTTAAAAGCATATACTCTTATCGTTCCTAAAATAACTCCATAAAATACTTGGTTTTATCGAATTTTCAATTATTATAATTGACCTATAGACTAGTCCATTGTATCAAAACATTATAATCCCATTTCTTTGTACTCTTAATTTGTTTACTGAGAATAAATCATTTCAAAATTAATAAATGTGTAATTAAAATAAAGCATAAATTTTAGAATCATATCAATTAACTAAATTGGAGAAGTTCTATAACTAATTAAATATGCAATCTTTCCAAATTCATCACCTCCAATTAAATAAAACAACTGTCTTTTTTCGTAACTTTATCCATTTATAAGAATAAAAAAGAGTATTCAAAATTTTTTAATCATAATTAAATTAAAATTGCATAAACTAACAATTAATTAAAATTAATATAAATTATAATAAAGTTCTGTTAATAATTTTTGAATATAAATTTGAAGTTCAACCTTAGTTTTAAATTCATAAACCCTTGAGTTATAATATAAATTTCTAAGAATTTTTGATTTTTATACAATATTTAATACTCAAACTAAAATAGACCATTTTAGAATGAAGATGAAATTCTCACAATCATTTGTAAGTTGTTAAGAAAACATCTAATTTAAAACTACAAGAATTTGATATATATCATTATTAGTCTAATAATCATTTTATTTTTAATCAAAAAAGATCCATAAAATGATTTTTAAGTTTTTTTACAAAAGATATTTAAATTAAAATAAGGAAGCTTTTTTTTTAATCAAATAAGAATATCATAAAAAAAACTTTCATTTTATTCTATCTTCTAAATTCTAATTATTTCTAAATCAACCAACTCTGATACAATTTTTAATATTATATTATTCATTTATATTAAGGTATGTTTAGTCCTCTTATATTAAATAAAGAATAGTAAATGTTTAATTTGTAATAATATAAATAACTCATGTCAAAACGGCCTCCTGTCCCAAAATTCGATGAACGAAGTTAAACGCCACCAAAAAAAAATTCTTTACTTGATGAAATTAGTCATTTGATTGTAAAAATGAACCTTAATGGCGATGTCGAAAAACAATGTGTTTTAATACTTAATATAATCCACTTACCTAATACATAATTTCATGCTTAAGCAATCATTTGTTGTGCCATACAATAACTTAATCTCAAATACTAAATGTTTTCTTAGAAAATTTAACTCTTAGCTTAACATATCATAAATCGACTAAACAACATGTTGACTTATTTTTGTGAAAAGCTTCATATGGATAAAAACTCAAAAAGACTATGTCAAATTATGCTTAAAATAATACATCCCTATGTAAACAAACTGTCAAAATCTATACAGCATGCATTAGCAGTAAAAATTGCATGTGACATAATCTATTATCATAAAGGAGGAATAAGTCTAAGATAGTTAGCTTAATGTTCTTAAATAAAATTAGAACAATTATAATCTTGTCTAAATAGGATTAAACCATTTGCTCATATCATTATTTAGAATTATATTAATTACTGCAAACAGAAATAAGAATCCCAATGAAATTTTATTTATATTTTCTCTCTTATTTAAACTTAATCCTATATTTTAAATTCTATATAAACAGATCGAAATATATTCGAGAAAAAAAAAACATCATAATTATATATTTAAATTTATAAAATGTGGTATTATATACATTAACAAGTATTTAGAAAATAATCTAAAAGTTTGACATTTCTGAATTGAATACTAAAAATAAAATAATCTAAATGTTCATTTCAAACTTTTTTAATTTTAGAACATCTATTTAATTTATTAAGTTTATTAGGATTATTAATTTATTTTATAAAGAAATAATTTTTATGGAATTTTTGAGTGTTTGAAGCACAAATATAAAAAAAGCCAGAACAAAAATTTAGGTAGAGTGATATTCTTTGAATCAAAAATTATACTTCTTCTCTTTTATATAAATTAATAATAAATCGGTGATAAGTTATTGATAAATTTTTATTTATATATGATAAAATAATACAAATAAGAGATTTATAAATTTGGATTGAAAATAAGATCTTAAAGGAATAGAAAATTGAAGGCTAATAAAATTAAATTCTTAATAAAATAAAAAAATAAAATTATTGAAGAAATTATAAGTATAATTTATGTAATTAAACCTATTTATTAGTGATCAATACTCTAAATATAATATAATGAACAATAGTAAGACAATAAAAATTAAAAAATCAATAGAAAAAGGATTTGATCTTGAGACCTGCTTCTTAAAAAGTGAGTCAGATCACTAAGATGGTTATATAAAGGATGCTGATTATTATTTTGATTCATATTCTCATTTCAGCATTCATGAAGAAATGTTGAAGGACAAGATCAGAACAAAAGCTTATTAAAATGCTATACTTAAGAACAAAGTAAATATAATATTTTAAAAGTTAAGCAACTTTTTCAAAATAAAATAGTCTTGGATGTAGGAGCAGGAACAGGAATTCTTTCAATTTTTGCAGCTTAAGCTGGGGCAAAACATGTTTATGCAGTTGAAAATGCTAACATAGCAATACATGCAAGAAAGATAATCAGTGATAATGGCCTCAGTGAATAAATTACTATTGTAAAAGGAAAGATAGAAGAAATTGAATTACCAGTTGAAAAAGTAGATATCATAATTTCTGAATGGATGGGGTACGTTTAAAATTAACTAAAATTATAGTTACTTTCTTCTTTATGAATCTATGTTAGATTGTGTTCTTTATGCAAGAGATAAATATTTAGCTGCTGATGGTCATATGTTTCCAGATAAAGCTATAATGTATCTAGCAACTATTGAAGATGATGAATATAGAAAATCAAAAATTGATTTTTGGTAATAGTTATATATAATAAATTAATAGGGATAATGTTTATGGTGTAAATATGAGTTGTATAAAATAATGGGCACTTAAAGAACCTTTAGTAGATTGTTGTAATCCTGAGTAAATAAACTCTAATTCATGTCCAATATTTGAAATAGATCTTAAGACTGTTAAAGTAGATGATTTGGATTTTAGTCATCAATATATATTGAAAGTTTAAAAAGATGATTATGTTCATGCTTTAGTTGGATGGTATTCACTCTTGTTTTATCAAAAGGTTTGATGTTCAATTTTCCAGTTGTCATGTTCCTGTAAGGCTTACAACATCCCCTTATGCAGAAAGTACTCATTGGAAATAAACTGTTTTTTATATTGAAGAGCCATTGGCTGTCAAAAATAATGATGTTATCTCAGGTAGTATTGCTGTAAAAAAGAATGCATAAAATCCAAGACATTTAGATATTAAGATTTCATATCACTTGGAAAATGTGTATGGAAAAAACGAACAAGTCATTTTGTATAGACTTAGTTGATTATTATGTTAATTTAAGCATTATTTTATTTTTATATGATTTAACTTAACAAAATTAATTACGATCTTTGCAACTCTTTTTTCTTTTAATAATCAAATTTAAGAATTGATTAATTAATCTATTATTTTATAAAAAAACAGAAAGAATATGACAATTTTTATTTGCTTAAAATAAAATGAATGATTTTGCATTTTACTATAAAAAAAGAAAAAAATATGATGTTATTATTATAATAAAAATTAATATAATTTAGATTTCAATCTAAATAATTTATAAGTCATTGAAATTACAAAATATTAAAGAATAATTATAATTAGATTAAGTAAAGAATGATATATTAAGTAATGGATAAAAATTGAAACAATAGAAATCTTTATTTCAAGTATTTTTATTATTGTGATTTTATTAATTTTATATTAAATTGTTAAATAAGAATAATATATATTATAAATTAGAAATGTCAGAAAAGTAAATTGCTTACAAATAGTTTGTAGAGCATAAGGCAAAATCTTAAGGATAAAAAGCAAGGTTTTTAAATGACAAGGAGGATTCAGCACATCCTTCATAGATGAGAAATGCATAACGGTTTTTGTAATTATTAATATCTATTAAGCCAAGTCGTAAACCAAAAACTAATTAAGAGATGATAATGCTTCCATAGCCATCAATTTAATATGTTTAACCAGTATAAATAAATGAAAGAATTATATTAGTATGTTCCAAAACCTACTCCAATTCCTGAAGCTATTAAATAAATAGATAAAAAGATTAAAGCATATAAGATGCTAATGGAGAGAGAGAGACTGGAAAAACTGAGAGCACAATAATAATAAATAGAAAATGAGGATGATCAAAAGAGAGCCTTGGATTTTATGACAAATCCTTAAATTGAAATGTTAGATGAAACTTAATAAGAAGAGATGGAATCTATGATTTAGGAACAGAAATAATAAGAAATTATAGTAAATCGAGATGATAACGATAAATGTACATACTAAGAGGCAGTAAAAAAGAGAGAAAAGATATATGATCATACTTTATAAAGAATGTATGAGAAAAGATAGAATCCAGCATTCTTTGCAGTAAATTATATATTAAGGCTATTTAAAGAAATTATAAAAGAAGCCTCCTCTATTGAACATTACAGCAAGGAATAAAATTACAAAAGGTCATGGAAGGATTGATCCTGAAGAACATAGATTAAGGGTTTATAATAGAGAAAATGTACCTATTATGCCAGAATTGATTATTCCATCTTTTACAATTAAAAAAGATTAGATGGCAAAAAATATATTAGCTTATTTGGTATTATAATTTGACTTATCTCAATTATTTAGAAAGAATACACTCCTTTGTTTAGAGGATATAAAAATTATGAATATCCAAAATGTGTTTAAAACATACTCCAAGAAGAAATTGAATCACTTCCTAATTAATGATTATTATTATTTTCTTTTGATAATTTTGTTATTTTTATTTTTATTTTTATTGATACTCTGCTTTTCTTCTTCAAATGTCAAAAGATAAACCAAAGTCATAGGAATTAAGCGAAAAGGATCCTTCTAAATATAGATTCTATGATAAATAAGATGAATTATTAATAAAGAAACCAGGTGAAGTTGATGGAGAAGCCTTTGTACTTAAAAATTGTGTTCGTTGTAAGATCTTCATAATGGACTATTCAGCATAAATTCTTATAGATGATTGTTTTGATTGCTAAATGTTTTTTGCTGCTGTTGAATCTAGTATGTTTATAAGAGGATGTAAAAGATGTAAAGTAATTACTGCTTGTGGATAATTTCGATCTAAGAAATGTGAAGATATTTAAACATAACTCTTTACTTAAAGTTAACCAATAATGGAATTATCTTTAAGAATGGGATTTGGTTGTTTTCGTGGTTATTATCCATAATTAAAATAACATTTACAAAAGGCTAAACTCAATATCTGGAATAATACTTGGGGTGATTTACATGACTTTGACCCTGAAAAATAAGCTGAAATTACTCATTTTTTTATGGTTTTAGAAGATACTTGTTATGAAGATATGTTAAAACCTCTAAATGAAGTACTTTCTTTACCTAATTTTACTTGGACAGATGAATGTAAAAGTGAAAATATATTAAGTTATTCCTTTTACAAGTGAATAAGAAAGAAACCTTTTCATGAAGAAGTATTATTGATTTTTTATCCTGAAGAATCATCACATCTGAATGTAGATGTTTTTAGTTCTACTTTTTTACCTTTACTTAAAGAAATTCCATAAGAAATCTTTGCAGAAGAACATAGTTAAATTAATAATTAAGTTGAAATAGAAGCACCAGAATAACTATATTGTTATTTAGTCAAATCAAAATTTCAACCTTTATTTGCTGATAATTGGCCTTTATTTCTGCTGTAGAAACTCATTTACCAGCAGACAAAGCAGCTAAACTTATAAATCAGGTTGTTATTAAAAATAGATTACAACCAACATTTTCATTGCATATTCGGACTGATAATCAAGATATTAAATTATTATCTTATTTATATTCAGTTTTAGATATGAAATTGAAATGTGATTTAAAAAAAGTATGCTTAATTGTTTAAAATTCAAAAGCTATTGAAGAATTAATAGCATTATTATTTGCAAATTAAAAAGATGAAAGAGCAGGACAATAATGAATAAAATAAATAAAAGAAAGTTGATAATATAATTAAAATAATTACTTTTAGTTTAATATTTTATAATAAATGAGTAAAATTCCAATGCTTTAGATGAAACAAATTCTTGATCAAAGAATAGATTACAGTTCTCCAATAACTTAAATAGCAATGAAGAAATTGGGATTGACTCAAAGAGCATTATAAAGAATGAATTATTTAGAATATATGACCTCAAATAATAGTTAGTAAGATTATTTTTTGTATTTGAATGCTGTTGCAATGAATATCAAGAAACTTTAATAAGAAATTGCAAAAATTAATCTAAAAGATAAATCTATAGATTGTACTGATCCTGGAAATGTTGATGAAATCATAGCATTATTGGATAAAAGAAATAAAAACAAAATTCATACTAGTAGCTAACCTTTTGTAACATCTAATCGAGATAAGACTTTTGAACTAGATGATACATTGGAATGTGAGAAATAAAAAAATATTAGATTAACAATTAAAGGAATAAAATCGATTACAGAAAGGAATAACCTAAAAAGTAATTAATAAGTAAATTAAAATTCTATTTGTAATTCTTCTAGTCCATAAAAGATTATATTGAAAAGTAAACACCTAATTAATAAATTTAGAATTGGTGATTTCAAATCATTAAAGTGTTGCAGAATTATTTTAGAAATAATAATAGGCTTCAATAGATGTGAATTCGATGGAATAGTTAAATGAATCAATAAGAAGAAATTAATTTGATAAAAATGTTGCAATAATGTCAGGAATAAAGAATAGATTAAAAGATAATTTGAATTAAAAGAAATCGATTGATGAGTTTATGTAGAAAATATCAAAGTTAAGAAGTATATCATAATAATCAATTGATTCTGGTAGAAAAGTACCAAAGTAGTTGATAAAATTAGGTTAGTAAAAGTAAGGAAATGTGATTTCAACAAAATTAGAGATGATGTTGAGAAGAGAGAGATTGATTAGAGAAGAGCCATTGAAAATACACTAAGTAAAATTAGGGAATATAATGGGAGTGATTTCTAAAATAAGGAATCAGCAGACAAAGATGAAGATGTTTTAATAAGTAAATAATGATTTTTGGTGATAATAAAGTTAAATTACTATTTATAGATAAAATAGTTGAAATAATAAAAGTTACATATTGGCATACTATTATATATAATCACATGCTAAAACTAGTCTTTTTACGCTATGGTTATTCAATCTCAGGTTTATAATCTGGATTCTTCTTTAAGATAACAAAGTTTTCTAAAATCATATCTTAAACAGGCATAAATTCATCGTTGGCTAATTCAGCCCTATAAAAAATTAAAAAAAGATTTATGATACCTTTCTCCTGCACTAACGATCACAGGACTAGTATGAGTTTAAAATCCAGTGATTCTTTTTGGTTTACCAGCTTATCCAACAGCATCAACAGCTTATCCAACTCTGACTTAGACAGGTAGATTTTCAAGATTATCATTTAACTAAATAAATAAAATGATTTACTGTGAAAAACATTCTTGGATACATAGCAATACCTAGATAATAGAGTAATGTATGATTCTTATCAAGTATTAGATTTTTGATATCTAAACATCCATGTAAAAATGAAATGATTCCAGCAATAGCCACCTTATTAATTAAAAACTTATCAGAATAATAAGGTTAAAGAGTTAACAATCCTTTTCCCATATGTAATAAACCTTGAGCAATTCTTACTAAGAATAAACCATTAGAATCATTCATAAAATAAACAGCTAATCCTCTTAATTTATCAGCAATTCTAGAATTGTTGGTTCCAGCTCCCAATAATCCCATTGATAAAGTAGCGCGATAAGATAATTCTTAATCTCTATCATGGGCTAGTTTAAGTAATAAATCCATTGGTTATATTTTAGGATTAGATATCTAAATAAATAATTAAATATAAGATTACATTAATTAAAGCTACAGCTAATGGGATAGCTCTCTTTACTTCCACATCTGAGAATTATAAAATATGTTAAAAGATTCTATAAACCATTTCGCTACCAATATCTTCACTACTAGCAATCAAAGCAATTCCTAGAATAGCTACTTATTAAAGTTCATAATTCTTATCTATTTTTGTACCTTTATCATCAGATGTTACTTCTGAACAATATCCTAATAATTCTTAAACTTTAAGGACATTTCCAGTAGATGCATATGCCAGTGAAGTAATAGTAACTTTAGCATATTTACCAATCTTATGATTAATAAGAGCAAGTGATTCAATGATAACACTAGCTGCTTCTGCTTATCCAAGATAGAGTAAACCTAATCCAACTGCATAATATCTTGAAATTGACATATCAAATTATGTATCTGGTCTATCCATTAGAATTTGGACAATAGCATTTGCTACTTCATCATTACATTTTCCTACAAATATGAGACCTAAAGCTAATGCAGCCATTGCTGATAATTCAACACTAACTGATTCAATCAATACACTTATCAATTAATCTTATAATTCAACTCTTGCTGATCCTGCATATGCTAATCCCAAACCCATTACAGCACCAATCTTTACTTAAATTTCAGGATCCTCCAATTATTATAATAACATAGCTTATGCTGGTTAATTCTCATCTACTATTCCACTACAAAATAATCCTAATCCTATACAAGCTCCTGCTTTTGTATACATATCACTTAAATCAAAATATTAAGATATTTATTCTGTACCATTATCAATATTCCATAAATTTATTAATCCTATACTAGCTACTGCTGCTATTGTTGTATGATCATTTTTAACATTACTCAACCATGAATTCTCTTTATTACTCATTAATGCATCTTTCTTAAATCCTGCATTTACAAATCCATTACAATATGTAGCTGCTAAATTTTTCTAAATCTATTCAAAATTTGCTTCTCTATTCTTTTCTTCCAAATGAGCTTTATAAACTTAATCTGG